ACTTCACCTTCCTCCCACAAGGCTGAACCTGTCATTTTAGTTCATTTTTTTGGCCAATCTTACTTTAATTTCTCATCAAATCGAGCTAAAATTTTGAAAATGGTTTTATTAGCTATTAAAGCACAAACAAAAGCCTTTGCTCTCTCTCTTTTTTCTTGACACGCACATCTGGACTCACACAGGCAAAATACTTTTCATTTTCCTGATATGCACCATGTCGAGCACAGTATTCTGTTCAGACTGACATGAACATCCAAAGCCTCACTCTTAATCCTGGACTGCTGAACCAGTGGTGGTGATGGCAAACAGACTTGTGACAAATCTCCAGCATTCCTCTTTTGATGATGGACTGCAGGCCTGGTCAACAGCCTGAAATTATGCAATGACAACTCACTCCAATCTTAATGTAGACAAGTGGTCCACAGACAAAATAAAACCCTGACATGACTTCATGTTACTTTTCAAAAACAACAGAGAAGTTGCCTTAACTCTTGCTTGTATAATCTCTACAGTTAAGACAATGAAGCTCGCTTGTAAAGAAGACTCTCCCTTCTTTGTACAAAATGAAATATACCAGAATCAACAACTTTGTTATCTTGCTAGTGTCAATGTATAGATGATCAGCTTTTTTCTGTAACTTGTATGGACTGTCACATTTTTGCTAAGAAGAAACCCTCCTCCCAATCTCCTTGTTCCCAAACATCCAATCTGTTCAACGTTTTAACTTGTGGTGGACTGTCAATCTTTTTGTGTACATTTTATAGTATTATTTATTGTTGACAAGTTTTGCATTTGCAAATAATAAAAAAAATGAAGGTGGTTTGACCTGAGCATTCAATTCCAATGTAAATGCCCGGTGAACAGTGAAACCTTTTTTAATTATTAAAAAATGAGTGAGGAGAAGATATGATCTTTTTCTTTTTCTTTTTTTTTCAAATTATTATGACGTTGTAACATGTACATAACATGTGGCCAAAATTGCTTTGGGAAATAATCATTTTTTTGTGTTGTAACAGTATTGTTTTATTCAGTGAACTGCTCATGAAGATAAATAAATAAGAGGCACAAACAAATCTGTTTCACATGGGTCGTATCTGCTCACTCTTTGTACAAGCACAGTGAACGTGCATGCATAAAAGGTCACAACAGAGTGTAAGGGATCATATTAAACTGTAAAGGTATGTGGTGCCGGTTTGGCCTGGTGGTTAAGTCATGGGCCAGGTCAAATATCATGTCTTTCCCTACTCTCTATTATTTCCTACTCTATCTACTGTCTGATCCTCTCACAAAAGGCATAAAAATCCATCTTTCTTTCACATTATGTCTACAGAGATTTATTCCCAATTCTTGACTTTATTACATAATTTCAAGCTCATCAGCAAAAGCCAGAATCTGTGGAAACCTGTGAAAATCACAGTTAATAACTTGCATGTGATTTTCAGAGGTGTTGCATTGTTAACTCAAGATATTCACCAATATTACCCTTTATATCAGCACTGAGGAAAGACAACGCAGCTTGTTTAAAAGGCAAACTTTGAGCTAAATCTGTGATTTATGCTTGACCTTCTATTTCTCATATGGGATGATGCAAATAAATACACTGTTCAATATTTGCTTATTTTTTGACATTATAAAAAGCTAAACGCACACAATTCAGGGAGTATGAAAAATCGAGTATTGCTTTTTAGGCATAAAATAAACGTTTAAACTGAAAAAAGTCATTGTTTTATTGAAAACATGCTCATTTTACATTTGATGTCAAATGATGATTTCTTCATTCCTGCATGATCTTGTCAAAAGATTCAGAGAACCTGTAGAAATCTCTGCACAAAAGGAGCAAAGCCAAAAACCAACAGATGTCTATGACCCTCAGGTGACACTGCAATGAAATCAAACATGACTCTATGCAGTGGAAATCACTGCAACTGCCACAAAACCATTATATGTGAAAAAAGAATCTGCAAAATGCAAGTTGAAACTGGACCATTCAAGGAGGAGACCATACAGACATGATAAAGAAACACCCTTGACTGCACCGGGTCTGACCCTGTTTCAGATGGACAGGAAAATGGAAAACTGTACCACTAATCAAGATTTGACTCTCTTTTTTGTGGAGATCATGAATGTTGCATCCTCCACTATGAAGAGGAGAGTAAGGCTTATTATCTGCCCACAATTTTCAACAATGAATCAATTATAGTTAGCCACGAGCAATCAATCAAGCCTTTTAAAGTTTAAGGTTAAATAATAAATAAATAATCAGCTCCTCAACAACAGGTCTAACAGAGACTTAACTGTCAAACACAGTCATCCCATGAGCTCTAAAATAATCAATAATTAATGATAAAGTGATTATGTGTTTAAACACATTTTAAAACATTAAATCATCAAAACTGGTTAGGCTTCAGTTATACAGTTAGAATATTCATGACTGAGATTAAGTGCAGTGGAAAGAGCACAAAATAATAAGCTCTGTGATAGAAATTTATTCCTAATGATAACTAACCCACCAGTGATGGTAATTAGTAATTATGTAAATTTTTAAAATGGACCACTGAAATATCTCACACTTTTGAAAATAATTGGATTAAACCACCAGCAGAGGCTGACACACTCGCGATGAGAGGAAATAATTTTTCTGAGAAGTATATCCACTAGTAATGATTCTTAATATTTGTTAATAATAGAACTTACTACATAATTACCTGATAATGTGTTTGTTAATGTGTTCAGTTTGAGTAGGGTCTGATAAATAGGTTCAAGGGCTGCAATAGAGAAATGAAGATTCAGCGGTCTCTAGCTCCATCTAAAGGCTTCTTAATGAAACACTGGAGGAGTAGGAGACTCCTTTTTATGGAGGTGCTTTTAGGACCTGGACACAAATTCATAAAGACACATGCACCTAATACAAAAAGAAGTTATTTAGCCTCCAGCATCCTTATTTTGAAGACAAAGGCAAAAATTCAAGATTATACTTTTGGAGCAGCTCAGCACAACATTTCAAATCTTGTGCAGACAAACAGAAATAAAAGCTAGTATTTCCACAGTAGAAATCATGCAATAAGGGGAGTTGAAGACATCATAATTTTTATGGTGGTTGATGTTTGACAAATTTAACATTTTAGTTAATGTCAGTAGTCTTAGTGTTGCCATACCAATGTTGTTACTAATTGTATTGCTTTGTTTATGTCTATTTTTTGAGATAGTTTAACCTTGCAATAAAACCTAATTCAGATGCAGACAGAGGATTTTAATTACCACGAGACCTCAAGGTTGATATAAGGGGGTTAGATGTTGTTTCAAGTTAAATCCTCTGATCTGGTCTGGCCTTGTGCATTAAAAATTAACAGGTAAACCTGCTGTTACTTTAACTTTGTTGTCACTGTATTGTTGTAGGCTACTATTTTCCAGATCTGACCTTCCAATTAAACTGAAAGTTGATTTTTTATCTTGAAGTTCAATTCTCCCTAGCTTGTGTTACTGTAGGGGGCGCTTGTGTGTTTGAAAGTCCTTACATTTGGGCTGTTGCTCTACTCACTCCAAATCAAGAAAATACCAAATACATCACTTCTTGCATGTGGGTTATTTTTTCAAGAGTGAGCACACCAGATCTTAAGATGGAGAAAATCCTGAAAGAGAATGCAGCAGAATAGTTATTTTGATGTAACAAAGCCACAAAATGTTGTTGACTGAAGGGATGCATTTATTGTCCAACTGCTCCCTCTGTTGTGTGAAACAGAAAATAACACATCCTCACGAAGTAAACTTCCGCACTTTAGTATTATTGGTTTTGTTTGATGATCCAATCTGATGCTTCATGTGTGAGATCGAGATATTTTTGTTTCATTAGAAATCGCTTTGGCACTTTACTTCTTGAAAATTGAGCAGTCAGGATTTTAGAAATTATGAGGGCCAATGAGTGTTGCAGAAATCCACGACAGGTTTGTTGCAGGAAATTCGGTAGACAGCTCGTTCTTTGGGTTGAAAAGTGAAAATCTAGATTCTGTTTGTGATTTTTACTTAAATAAGTCACATTTATCCTCTGAATATCCGTTATATAATCGATTTCATCTTTACATTAAAAAACAGTCTATTTATGGTAGTGTTGCTGTAGAGCGGTAAAAAAGAAGAATATAGCGGTAAAAATGTGCAGGAGGTAAGGCCAGGTGGCTTGTGGGTAACTGAGTCCTCGGTGTGTTGATGTCAAGGGGAGGAGAGAGGCTCCCAGACTCAGTGAGTGTTGGTGTGTAGATGTGAATGTACCGTGAAGAATTCAGCGGCTGAAAGACTTTTCATCACGAATAAAACTCCGAACTTTTTGTGAATGAAGCCAAAGGGAAGGACGAGGCGGAGAGGACCAACGCGAAAATGCGAGAAGAAATGCAGGAAGAGAGTGTGTGCTTATTAAAAATTCAGCGCGGGAGAAGAGACATTATCACCTCTTCGGATGACTTGTGGCAGCACCGAGGATAAACTACAGCACTAATGGGCTCCAGATACTGTTGAATGGGGTGAAACGAAGTTGTTTTTCTCTTAAAGACGAGTCCAAAGCTTTTTCAAGCGGCCAAAAATCCACAGGGAAGGGAAGGGGAGGAGAGGGGGGCAAAGAAAACGCCCTGCTGCTGCTGCCTGTTGCTATCTCCACATCCAAACTTTATCGCCGAGTTTGAGAAATGCATTTTTCATTGAACTAGAGGTGATAAATCTGATGTAACGACATCTTCCACTCGCTTGTGTCCTCACAGCTAGTTAACGAAAGGCCCCGCTCACTTGGCCAAGTTTTTGGGACGCGGGGAGTCTGTGCTTTGGGAATATTTTCTCTTCATTGTGCACACTATTCCTGTTGGAAGCTATTTGGGTGGGCTGGGAGCCCAAGGCTGTCCCACTAGGCCCACGGCCATTAGCCAGGGAACAAAGAGGTTTCACATGTAAAACTTAAATATTTTTTGGGAAAAACCTCTGAATAATTTGCTCACGTTTGGAGGACCGACGCTGCAGTCATGTCGCTGGGCGCTGAGAGGAGGACGGAAACCCGGCTGAAGAAGCTGGAGGACATGATCAGAGACCCCAAATGTGCCATAAACCTGGAAAGTTTGCTGGTAAGTCATGTGGGACACACCTCATATATTATTAATGATGCGATGCTGTCTATTGGCTGAAACGCTAGACACGTATGCACACAGTTAGGTAACATTAATCTATTGATTTACTATCTTTCCTTAATCTACTCCACCTACAGTATTGTATCCGTGCTACTGTTAGCATTGTGCCAGACTATGATGCTGCATGCTCATTTTCAATAATTTGTCCCATATGCTTCAACTATGAATCTGCATAGTTTTGTTGTGTCCTGAAATCAAACCTTTATTATAAAACCAGCCAAAATTAGAGCCTCATGGTGCACATACTGTAGACAGGCCTGATTAATGGTTAAGACTGAGTGCAGACAGTGCAGTTTGGGGCTCTGTCAAGCGTGTCTACAGATTAGGATTAACTACAAGAGAATGACCCTCTTGGTGGGTTTGTGGAGACTGATATTTCTGGCTAAAACTACCTCCTGGGTAGCAGTTGGGTCCAGCAGACCTCCATATTGCCAATACCCTTCAGCTCTACATACTGGTGTAGTCCTTTCTGCACATAGGTTACAGGGAAGATGCCAAATGTATACCAAACATTTTAAAACTATTATCTGTCAACTTGACACCAGGAATCTGGAAAACTCCTAAAAGAGTCCTCAATTCCTCAGTCCACAAAAGGATAGAACAGGAACTTTCGACTTGATCAGAGTATTTGATCATTTTCTCAGCCATTAGATTTAAATGAGCTTTTGCTGACATGATGCATTAATGGAGTTACAGGTAAAGCACAGGGTGGATTGTTTCATTACCTGGCATTGACATTACTGTACAATTGCATGATGAAAACCACTAGTCTGACAACATTTGCCACTTATCAACAACCCCATTTTGAGTTGACAATAGGGCTGGGCAATAAAAAGATAAAGATAGATATAAAAAATTAGTTTCCCTCAATATCAATATGAAACATGGTCAATATGCTTTTCGATAGATGGCATTCTGCCATGTTTTGGCAGACCATACGTATAGCCAATGAAAGGGGAGTTGCTCCGGGTCTATGCTGCCCTGAACAGACTATTCAGTCCGCTGTCTCTCGCGCAACGTCTTACAACAAAATGATGAAGAGACACAAAGACCTCACAGATGCAAGAGCTTATTGTATTGCAAAAGACATGCCACCAATAAGCATTTTTAAATTTCATTGAAGAGTAACAGGGATCATTTCAGATTGACAAGTAATTTTTTATGTCGTGATATTTGTCAATATCGACTGATATGAAAAAAATATATCGTGATAAACTTTTCCCCATATCACCCAGCCCTGGTTGACAATAGGCTTGTGGAACCTTTTTTTATTCCAAAATAGTTCCTGGCACTATCTTTTTCAGGCACTTTTCCGTAGAGCCCTAACTTAGTCTTGACTCTCTCTCTTGTGTGATGTACTACTAGCGTGACAGACTATTGAACAAATCTCTATATTACTAAGTGTAACTGTTTAAAAGTCCTGTTCTGTGCTGATCACATAGCCAAACTTTCAGTTTAGTACAGTAACCTTTGACTAATCTCTGAACTTGACGTTTAAAATCAAAACCATGCATCACCTTTGGCATAAAGCATCATTTTGACTCTGTTAAACCTGCCAAAGCAAAATTCAGTCAAAGAAGTTAGTCAAAAGATAGACTGCTTTATTTGTGCTCCTAGAAGCATCCCAACAGTCAGAATAAATTAGTTTTTTTTTCTACATGTCTCACTTATGAATCCACAAACTCTGGTGTCTCTGAACTGCTTAATCACCTTTTACTCACACAGCTCTGTATGAATGTGTCATGATTGAGAATTTCAAACATGTTTCCCCCCTCGTCAGTGTCCTAGTCTGATTGTGACTGATGATAAACCTACAAACAGACCAGGATGTTAGGCAATGTACACAGTCAGATCAGTGTTTCAGTGCATTTCCTTTCAATCTGATGCCAAGGACAGAAGTAAACACCAGATGTTTGACCCGTCTTTTTGAGGATAAAGTCACCTTACTTTACCTTAAGATAACTTTGCAGTGAAGATGAGACCTGAATTATGCTATTTTAAACACTAAGTTTGAATAACTATAATGTCTTTTGCAGAGGCCTTTGATGAGCCTTGTTATGATGACTTAAAGCTGTATAGGACAGTGGAAAAATTCTCCCTTATACCAGCGTCTATACCAGCATGAGTCTGACATAGTAAAAATAATCATCTCCTGTGGGCACTGTCTTCTTAAAATAGGTTCTGGTGTTACTTATGGGCATCTGACCACAGGAATGAACTAATCTGAACTTAAAGAGCATTGTCAATATAAAGATGAGAAAGCTTCAGTATCAGGACATACACACTATTTTCAAACCCTCACCAGCTGTGTGTCAGAGTACTTGGCTAAGTTGTAGAAGTACTTCAGTTTTAGTGGCAGGGTTTGAATTTCTGGGCCTCCTAACTGGATGTGACAGAGGGCAAACATGCTGTCGGGTCTATCTTAAAAAGCATCACCTCACCCCTTTTAACGGGCCCCATCCAACTTGGGGCCTCCTGTTCATACCCTCTTCTGTTCCCCCTCCTTCCTACTCGAGGCAATCCTGGTATAGCCCCTCTTCCCTTCGAACATCCAGCAGAATACTCGCCTGAAACCAGTGGTGTTTACTTCCTGCACGCAAGCTGGAGAGATAGAGGTGTTGAGTGTTTGAGACAAAAGTTGAGTGGGAAGCATGCGTAGGAGAGGACAGGCTGCAGTTTTCCATTTTTAGCAGCCTCGGTGCTGTCCCAGGGATCAAGAAGTTTTGCTGTTCAGGTTGGGATTCCAACACACACTCACTCACGTACACACACAAACAGTAATGGCTCAGAAATGTCCTTTTTTGCAGGTGGAATAAAAACATGCATACTTGAAGTGCCTCTAAAATTGCTCACAGGCTCATATTCGGTAAACAATGAATCACGAATCCGTAGCTCTTGTGGCATAGCAACAGCAAAAAGACAAGGGAAGTCGCTCTATCAACTATTATATAATCTCCTCAGCAACAGCTTGATAAAAGTAAGAAATATTGGACTTGTGCTTTGAAGTAAGAGGGTTTGCAGGACTTGCTAAGAGGCAGTGAACTGACTACCCTGAGGATGTGGGCAGCTGACAGTGAGGAATTTGCAGCATCTGTCCAGTAAACTCAGTGACTTTCCTGTTAAGAAAGCAAACCCTTCATGGGGCTGGATGGACAACATTTCACAATGAGGCTACAGTTAGGATGCACAGATTCCTCTTTAAGCATTTTTTGAATCTGTAATGTACCCTTGACTCCTCACAGCTCTCAAACTGAACACAATACCCAGTCGAGATCACATAATTGATGCTTCAGTTGCACCACACATCTCGGATGAGCCTGTTAAATATATCTACCGAATGATATGAACCTTATTAGATATAACAGTGTTTGGTACCTCTGAGGCTGAGAAGACAAGATGACACATTACAACGGATTTAAAGTGTATGATGATGCAACACTTAATTAAACAGACTTACTTCAACAAGACAGCAGCCTTTTAATTATCTCTCAATAGAGGTGGGTGGCATGGCTAAAATTTAATAGCACGTTTTTTTTAATGGCATAATCATGACCACAGCTCCGTCGCCATAATGTAAATAAACCTAGGTTAGCCAGAAGATAACTTTTCATCAGCAGTCCCTTTGCCAGATGTTGTTGGGCATAAAAAAAGAAAATGTTTAAGAGTGCAGAAAATAACAAACAGAAATGTAATTAAAACAACAAACCTGAAAATATGGGATATTGAATGTCATCAGATGATACAGTTACAGTTTTAGTGTTGAGTACATCATCAACCCACGGCTTGGCGGGGTGAAAATATACTCATATTAGCACAAGAAGGCAATTAAACATGATGAAAGTTGAAACGCTTAAAAATAAAAACAAATATTTAGCAAACCACCGGATGTTGATTGTGGACACTCTTCAATCTTCCTGTCTCCAGCCGGTGTCCAGTGGGTTAGGCAAATCTAAAATGGTAAAAACAAGGGGGATGTTCTGAGACAGGCTGTTACCTGTGAAACAGGGGTGCTCTGAAAACACCCCCATTAGCACTTTGTACGTTCCTCCTGATGAATTTAACCATTTACTGTAGATTGATGAGGAAAAAAATTGAGTTGACCAATCGCAATTTTGGTCGACTAAGCACATAATGACCAATAAGTCAACCAGTCGACTAGGACTTTACAGCCCTACAATAAACACAATTTCAACAAACTATATATGATTTAAACTCAAATTTGTTTGAAATTGTAGACGGATAAGAGGTAGTGAGCATCTTAGAGTGTGTTTCTACTTTAACACAGGTGAGACTGTCTGTGCCTTTACTGTCTTTGCAGCTTACTGCTCTTTTTCTCTCAGCAGATTCTTAACTCATCACAAAACATTGGGAACACACAGCAAACCTCTAAAAATTGCAGGGGGTTACTCAATGTTGCAGATGCTGTTTGTTTAACTTGTGATCTGAACCAGAGCGCTGAATTGGTGAATTGAAACATCAACATACATTCTAGTTTTATGAGCATAGACCTGTAATATAAAGAACACGCAGAGATCTGTCTCTAATTGGAGGATATCCTTCATTCATAATCCTTCATTATCTAACATCTTCCTGTCACACCCCCAGAGCTCTGAATGGTGTTATTGGTGCACATTCTATTTAGAAGAGATGTGTTTTCATATTTGATCTCATTTACTCAATCGCCCGCCATAGATGATGATAGATGTTTCATATTTTTTCCTTCTTGAATCAGCATCATGTCAGTATTATATCCCTGTGTCAGTAAAGCTTGACAGTGTTCGTATAAACTGTAGATCACTTTATTGCTCCAATCAGCGTTCGATCAAGTGTAACCTGAGGTCTCAGCAACCTTCCCCCCTGATGAAAACTGAAGCGATCATTACTTGGCAGCACATCTCTGCTGACTGAAGTGCTGGTCTTAACTTGGCAGCTCCAAGCCCAGGGAGAGATTGTCGGGCCAAGCAGAGAGGGCATTTTTCGAGATAAAGAAAAGTATGGACATTTGATTTTGAGCCACATAAGTTGGCTTTCTGCGACTTAAAGGAAATGACCTCATTGAGTAAATACTTGGATAGCTATATATGGGGCTCATGGTCCCTGTGAATGACTGCACTTTCCCCTTTCACTTTTCACTCTTATCTCCTTTACTCTGGCTCTGCTTCCTTCTTTGCAGTTCTGGCTTGTTAAACACACTGCAGGTATTTTAACTGTAGCTGTAGCAGTCAAACACTTTTTGATTCAGCTGCAGACCTGGTACCACGAAAAAACTTCAGGCACAAAACTCATGTGTGAGGGGAAAAGCTTAAGAGCTGCTCTGATGTGCTCCAGATCGTGTCCAGTGGATTGTATGCATTTGATTTATTTTGCTTAAGATAGGGTCCGCTGATTAAACAAACTCATCAAGAGAATTTAGAATAACATTTACAACAAATGGGGTGATAAACTTGGACTTCTCACTGTACGGATAGATCATACATCCAAATTAGCAACAGCAGCCAGCTTTTTCCATCACATGTGAGGCACTCACTGCAGTCCCTGCTCATGTGAGACAGCAAAACATCAGCTCAGGAATAAATAAGTGGAATAAAAAGGACTATTAAAGATCATCTACTAGGGCTGGACTATATGGCTTCAAATCAATATCACGATATATTGAGCAGTTCACCTCGATAACGATAAATGAATGATCACTACTCCCCCTCCCACATTAACTTTGTCAACTTCAGCCGCCGCTCCAGCCGCTAGAACTTTTGAACTGTCCTCCATCTCCTCACCTGTCTTTCCCTCTTTGTTACGGACTGGATGGGGTGGAGTTTTGTCTCCTACACACATCCAAAACCAACTTATATTTATTATTATTTTTTGACACTGAATATACTGATATGGGCAAAATGACGTTGGTTATTGTCATAAATTTCAGTGTCAGTAAATTATTGGTTTATTGCCCAGCCCTATCCTTTACCAAAGGTGAGAAAAGTGTCGACAAAAACTAGAAACCTGGCATCATTTATTTCATGTTGAAGTTGGTGTCAGCTCAGTAAACAACCCCCAATAGACATTAGGTTTGCCTAGAAACAAAATAAATTTGTTTTATTGAGCTTGATCTGCTCTTGGTCCTGGTTTTAATCAGTAAGTAGATTGTTTCTTCAGTTGTAGGCTTTTGTCAGGAATTAAGTCCAAGCTTAGTTTGTGGCAACTCAGCTCACAGTGCCCCTGGATGGGCTGTGACCAGTTGAGGTTGTCAGTGATAGGCCCGAAAATTATGATATTAGAAAATGGGATCTACATAAGTTTAAAAGTATGAGTATATTTAATTTATGTGTATCTGCTGTCTTCATGTGTTTCCCTGAGTCCAAAACAAAACTGAGCTTAAGCTTCCCCTAACTGCGGCAGACTGGAGTTAAAGCACAAACATTGTTTAATGAAGTATACAGTATATTGCACATTTAGTGAAAAATTCAGACTGGTAAAGATTGAGAATGATCACTTTGAGATAACAATAAAATGGAGATGAATTATATATTTGTCCAGATTTTGCCTATAGCCCAGTCCAGCTGGTGGTTGTTGGTTCCAGTCCCCCTCTCCTTTTTTTATCTCTCTGTTTCTCTCATCCATCTCCATTCACATATTCTCTGTTTGCTCCTATCTCCCTGCTTCGTCCACAGACCTCCCACCTTTTGTTTACCACTTTTCTTCTCACCCAGCGTCCCCTGTCTCCCTTTCTTCTCTGTTCCTCTCCATTCTTTTTATCTTATTGCACATTCCCCCCTCCCCCTCCACCCCCACCCTTCTTTTTGTGAACCTCTTCAGGGAGTTGGGGATAACCCCTGTGTGTCTCCTTTTCTGTTTCTACCCTGATAGTCAACCTGAGTGTCCACTTGGTCTCTGGAGTGCAGTTGTGTTGCTCTCAGGAAAGCAGCAGCAGCAGTCCTGGCTTCCATGTGCTAGCTGGATAGAAACACTGCCTTATAAGGCACTGGGGACGGTGGCCCCAGCCAATTTTTTTTTCCTGCAAAACAAGCGAGTCTCTCTGCTCCACACCACCTCTGGTGAGACGCTCGGGTCTCTCTGTAGCCTTTTTTTGGTTTTTGCTTCACTCCAGTGAAGAAGACCTGGTGTCCTCTGGGTGTGCAAGCCCTCAGTGTTCTGGACATGTCACACTTTGTTTGAGCTATGTTTTGTCTGGCCTTTCGTGGTTGTGAGAAGCTTCTCAAGGTTTCTCTTTTATTGAAGTTACTGAAGGACAAGCAGGAGGTTTTCCTGAAAACATATGATACTGACACTTGTTTAAAGGTTCAATGTTAGCCATAAACATTCTTACTTTCCCTCTTAAGTTTTCTCTCAATCCTTTATGAGACCATCCTGAAAGTTATCATCATATATAGACTTTATTTTAAGTACTAAATAATGTATTACAATTTAAGAGGGGATGTGTGCTGATACTGACCATTGATAACAGCGTGCTTGTGATGGTAGAAACAGAAGACAACACTTTTTTAAACATTTGTGGATTTTAAAACATCATTTACTGCTGACCTTTGAAACAGAAAAAATAAAATAATGATAATAGAATAGCATGGAATCATTAGCACTGCAATAGCTGGGGATATTTCAGAGTTTTTGAGATGAGGTTGTGTTTGTTACCCCCACTCTCTTGCTACTTTCTCTTCTACACTTTTACATTTACGTAACTCGCACTACTCGCTATATAGACTGTGTATAAGCTTGAATTTTATCCTTCACAGTCATGGAAGAGGGTCTGACAGGATGCACAAGTCGAAAATAACGTGTGTTGTTGAACTCACACAGTGCAAGTAGAAATCAGTGGTGGCGCATTGATATTCATGATCATGTGAAATTACAGTAGCGTTGCACGTAATTCAGCAGCTGTGGTGCGCTGCGAGGTAAATCTACAGTTTTTGGCAGATAGGGCAGACTCCTCACAGCTCATTTAGACAAACACTCATTCTGGTCTAAGTTTAAAGAAATTTTCCAGCACTTCACATTACCACCAGAAAGCTCACAGGTCGTAAAAATAAATTAGTAGCATTCTCAACGCAGTATGCAGTTGCTATATGGTTTCTTTACCTGAGCGTATAGTGTTGGATGGTGATCTCACTGCTGCTGCATCAAATTTGACCCTTTAACTGCAGCAAGGACTGGCTGATTATTGGTCACTGCTCTGTCTTCATTCTGTAGACTTCATTTGATTTTTGGAGGATGCAAAACCACACTGCTTGGTCTGCCATAGTTATGCTTATGAAGCGTAGCCGCCATATCTCTTCATAAGTAAAGCAAATGAAGCTGCTGCACCACAGGTGGCATTAGTTTGTTCTGTGCAGGTAGCGCTGAACAGGATGCACTGGCCCTTTTTTTGTTTGCTATGGCAAAGCCTTTACAATTAAATAAGCATGACATTTTAAAGCGCGGTTGATAGCAAAGACAGTTACTTTCTGCATCCTTCTTCATCACTTTGCATTTTTTGTCAGTGAATCACATTTCAAGGAAAAAAATCTGGTCATCCAGCTGTACATAGCTTCAGTAAATCTTAGGTCAGTCTTAGGGTATCATGTTAAAAATTTGCAGAAGCTAACGACTGGAGAACAAAATGCTTTGACAGGAAGAAGGATTCCCTCAGCCTGCTGTAAAACATTCATGACAAACAGAGGGAAAAAAATCAAAGTTCAGCTCACACACACACACACACACACACACACACACACACACACACACACACACACACACACACACACACATTGGTAAACACACGCATACGTCACAAAACCTTGATCACACATTATATAATAGCTTGGGCAAATAGTACAAGACATGCGCCGGTCCAAGATCCACTTCACAGGGATGTAGAGAGGAATGCAAAATTTGAGAAGGAACTTGGTGTCCGAAAAATAAATGGGTGCTCTGTATCGGCCCAGAAAAGCTGAAATATTGCTTTAGTTTAAATTACATACTGGCTCATCTGGCAGTATGATAATATAATATGAAATAAAGTGCTGCTAATGTCATCCATCCTCATTATAGGACGTTTTGGACGAAGAGCAAATCTGCGCCGTGACGTCTTGATGTGTTTCTGTGGTATATGGTTCTCTCATGTGAGAAGAAACGTATGCACCCTGAGATTTGTCTTAATCTGGCGGATCTTCTTGTCTAGACATAAGGACTATGGTTGAGATAATGTGGCTGCGGTGCATTCAAGAGACCATTCTACAAGCTTTCATGCAAACTTGTGAAAACCAACTCTGAACAGTTCTGAGTCTCCTATCTTTCTCTTTAAAAAACAGCTCTGATGGAAGATTTGACGCTTGAGGAACTTTCACTCTGCACAGATTCACGACGTGACTCATTTCATGGGAAGCCAGCAGTGGCTGATGCATAAATCTAGCTGTTAAACTCTGTACAGAATCAGCTCCCTGCTGTGTGAATGTTAAAGAATTTGATACCTGAGTCTTGTTGTATTTTTAGTTTTAAATGAGGGTGTGAGTGCGCAGAGAAGAGAGGAGAACGGCACTCTCCCCTCTCCCACGCAGAATGCATAACCCATCCATCTGGCCTCAGCCTTATCATTCCATCCCAACCTGCTGCCGAAACACAACCTCCTACACGCAACGTTACACACACACTTTCCCTCACGCACTCACACACATATGCAAAGGACGCACATTAGCATTATTCACTTGATCTTAGCAACACACAAGCCGCATTGTGAGCCACCAGCAGCAACGAGAGAACAATCCAACACGTTAGCAAACAGCTTTGTGTTGTCAGCGAGTTCACGAAGCTTTCATTTCCTTTAACAAACCCAAACAACAGTGATGAGTCCAGCAGTGTTGTCGTGTTGAGGCTGGCAGTTATATTTCTAAACAGTTTGTGTTAATACTTGAAATATTTATATACAGATTTGAACAATGTTCATCCAGAAGGGCTGAAACTGAAACCCTCGCTTGAAACCCAGCCTAATCTTATCATTCAGGCATGACTGACTTTGTATTGAGAGTTGGCAGGCTATATCTGATTCTAAACTGAGGATTTCTACCTCCTTTACAGAGATTTTTGTGGCTAAAAATCCTCAGAAATGACAGAAAATTAAACAAATACAGATAAAAGGTAGGAGCCCAGAATATGAGACACTGTCTTTCTCAGCGGGTTCTCTCAAAAGAGTCCAAAATGTGCAGTTTTTGTGAAGCTGTGTAGCTGTTTCATGTATTGACTGGTTCTAACTTTCACTGTGAAAACTCTCTCTGATCCCCTTGCTTCGCATTATGGTCATGTCCATCCTGAGAGGAATCTATTTAGCATAATCACCCTCTCAATACACAGACTTTATCCTGTGCTTTACCCTTTAAGCCAGGTATGTCCAAACTATTCCACAAAGGGCCGGTGTGGCTGCAGGTGTTTCTTCCAACCAAGCAGCAGCACACCAGACTTGATTCATTTCATCAGCTGATCTCAGTCTTCAGACAGCTGATTGGTCAGACTGCGTGCTCTTGATTGGTTGGAAGAAAAACCTGCAGCCTCACTGGCCCTTTGTGGAATAGTTTGGACATGCCTGCTTAAGCTACTCACTGAAGACACTAAAAATACTAAACCAAGTTGAGAGTAGAATTTAAAGATGGTTGTGTTATTTTAGGTGAGCGCCTCCATGGCAATGGTCTTCTTATTGGTCTTCCAATACTGATCCGATATCGGCACAAACTTCTGCATGACACTTTTGCACTCAGCTGCAACGTCTGTTTCAGACTTAAATACTGCCACACGACCAACATCACTCCTAATCTTTACTACTTTGTCAGTACCTTAGTACACACTGTTGTTGTTATCATGTGGGCTCTGCATGCTGGACCCGACCTCTGCTAGAAAGAGGTGCTGGAATGGACTGCTTATATCGGAGATTTTAGATATCTGCTGATATAATCTGATATTAGTTGTTTTGTTGATATCAGACCGATGTCCGATATCAATATCAGATTGAGATATCCTTAGCAGCATTCAGTAAGGCTCCTCTCTGTAACTTTTCTGTTCTCTTAACCTGTCCTGTTAAACCGCCAAAACTCATAGCATGTTGCAGTTTGTTTTTCCTTTATACCTGTTTTCTTCAGTTTGGCTGATGTCTCTGTGCATTTTCCCATCCTTTGCTGGTTTCTTTGCTGTTTTCATTCTCTTGCCTCCTTTTCTCTGCTGGTTACAGATCAACCTCTAAGTATCCTCCGTATGGATTACTGATACTTTCTAAAACCAGTGTTTTTGCTGTGTTGTCAACAGTCAAAGGCACAATATGACTTCAGAGACCTGCACAGGGTTTGACATTAAGCTAAATTTGCTGCTGCCCCCACTGTAGTAACCATTTTCTTTTTTATTCAAAAGATACCAGTCAAGAATTGACTTTGGAAGTGAAGAAAATAATCCGACATTCAGCCACATCATTTTCAGACCAACTCCAGCAATCTTACATGTTGACTTTGTCCTGGTGTGGTTTGGTACCAGTGGTGTCATAATCATGTTAGCTTAGGAGAAAACCGTGGGTACAGTCAGTGTTTAAGTGTACACCTGGAGTGAAGCGAAAGTGCTGGTGGAAGTGACAGTCCTGAAGCTGACAGTGACGGCTCTTTTCAACACTTCAGAAATGTCAACGCTGGAGCACAGGCACTTACAGAAATAGCCCGATGTGTGACATAATCTTATAGGAAACATGTTTTTCCCAAGACAGTATTGTAACCAGGCAGTCAGCTGATCTGGAGTCTGTCAATCATGCATCCAAGTGAGAAGGTCAGTTACAGTGATGCTGAGCCCTGCTGGGTATAGACTTCCTTGTTGGAAAAATTTTATATCCATTCTCTGTTGTTGTTTATTTGTTGATTGGAGAGAACATGAATACAAATGTTGAAATAAACAACTGTTTTTTTATTACTCGATTGCTGAATATAGAATTAACATGAAACAATCAGAGTACAAGGTGAACTGAGAGCATACAGCAGGACTTAATGTACTGGAAGTCCTGCCCTGCTCTGTTTTTTTTCCTGGCACATTCCTCTCTATACTTTATAATGAAACATCGGTGCCAAGAAATGCACAGGGCACAGGAGCATGGGACAGAAATCTGTCAAATACAAGAGTTAAGACATACTCTTGTTATTCCCCGCGGAGACATTAGCTGTGCTATTTGTGGGCCTCTGCAGGATTCCTGCTGTTGTATCTTTCTTGGAGAGTTTACGGGCCCTGCCTGGCACAGTCCCCTCTCCCTGCCCGGCCCACCGTTTATCCCCACAACTATTTTTAAAACGGCTGGAATTCAATCAAAACATTAACTTTCTGCTCAATCCTTTTAAAGCCCAGAGCTGTGCTGCTTGTTTTCTGTTCCACATGCCGAGTGATGAGATGGGCATAGGAGAGGGAGAGGGTGTTTTTTCTTTCAATAGAAATGTAGCTGTTGAAGTTTTAGGTTGTTTTAGGCTTTTAAACAGTTTATTTATTCTTCAGTGTTTACCACCACTCAAGTTAACATTAGTGCATTTCTGTTCTTGTGGATTCATGTGGCTGTTACTGGGTGATGGAGAGTGGGCGCAGGCGAAGGAAGGAAGACTGACAGCTCCATAATGTCGATAGCAGGTTGGGTAAATAAAATGGAAAAAGAACACAAGTGAGCTGAAATGGAGCACTTATAAAACTCCTGCCTGCTGCTTCCCTGCAACTTCAACTGGATTCAACTCTTTGTATTTGGCAGGAGTTGCTTAGCAACCAGCCAAAACCCATTGGCTGGACGACAGTGGAGCAGAGATAATGCTGAAGTGCTATCTAATAGATACGTAACAACTTATTCTGATAAGCTGAGCAGGACAGACATTGTATCAGTTCAGGAAGACATTAATGTAAACCTGTCACTGTAAATTGTATAGTGGAGTGCTGCTGTGGATTTAGCCCTTATGGCAGGCCTGATGTCATGGTTTATAACTATTAAAAACAATTGTTTTAAACCGCTCCTTTTGCCTGGATGTAAGAGAAGCGTGATGGTGGGAAAGAGAAGGAAAAGAGAGGAGGCGCTGTGGTAGACTCAAACAGGTCCAGAGATGTCAAATGCATGAAATTTTAAACCGTCAATTTAGCTCAACACCTCCCCAGACACTTGGCGGTAATTTCACATTTATTAATAAAAGTGCTTCTGCCCAGTAGCTGAGAAATGTCCTCCAGAGTCTGGTTGGTGGTTTGTACGGTTACACTAATGGAAGCAAATTGGAGGAGCTGCATTTTTTATGACCTGCAGGGTAGAGCCTGTATGGCCCATACGGGCTTATTTCAAACACATTAGAGTATATGCTTTTTTCTATACGCTTATGTTGATATATGCTTTCACAGAACAAAAAAGGAAGAAAATGATGTTGAAAAATATCAATAAACCCAAAACGTTGTGGTTTTTAAATCATTTTAAACCTTTATTTAGTTATGTAAAGAAAACTCAATGTTAAAACTAAAAACTGTGATTGTTTTGAAATAGTGTTTGTACATATTTTTAATTTGATGCCATATGTGTTTAATGTTAAAAATGTATAAAACTGTGAAAAAATGTGCGCAGAAAGTGATAAGGTGTTGTTTGGCTGAAATATGAAAGGTCCTCTTTAAAAAAAATAAAAAAGGCATCATCTTGATTGCATCGCATGCTGCTCCACAACTGTTACTTATCCGTCACCATTAATGGTTCCCCCCAGATGTGGACACTGAAGCATCTTTACACCATTAGGGGTGCAGGTTCCTGAACTGTGTGCTTCTGATAAACTAGGTGGCCCCTCTCCTCTTTAGAGTGGAGAATGGAGAACATTTGATAGACCAACACCACAGGACGGTATTCCCTGTGCCTGTCCATCTTAAATACAGTCAGACCTGAATCATGTTTACATAGATATATTGTTTCTTCTTTGCATGATACAGTTTCAATCTGCATTTGTGGATGCAGTGACTGGTTTTTAGATGTAGTTTGGGGTCCATGCAGTGATTTCCGCAGCAGTCATGACTTTTTTATGTCTCTTTGTTTTCACAGAGATATCTCATGATGATCTAAATATTTCCCTGGTTATTATGAACTGTAGTTTATGAAATCCTAAAAGTCTTTGCAACATTTTTCTCTGGAGCTGCATATACTGGAAATGCAGAAGTATTTCCTCACCCAGTCCTTCAAAGAGTGGTGAACTTTTTCCATCTTCTCTTCTGTGAGACGACATCTCCCAGGAATGCTTCTTTTTAAACCCAGTCACATAACTAACCTGTTACAAATAAATAAACCTAGTTAGTTGAAAGATGTTGTTCTGGGAGTTTTAATCCTATCTGATTGTTTTCAGGGTTTTGTTGTTGTCCCTGTCATCACCTTTTGAAAACAGTTTGCTTGCATTCATTTAAAAAAAAAATTAATTGAACAGAATTTCTAACTTTTGATGTGCGCTTTTCGTCATTAATTTTCAGTTTGGAATAAATCCTGTTTTTTTTTTTTTCAATCAAAACAGTGTCCCAATTCTTGAAGCATAGGGTTTCTACTCAAATTAGGTGCCCTGAAGAACTAGAACTGCAAATCTGTGCACAGTTGGTTAGCAGTAAATATTCCTCTTATCTTCACAGTGTAGTCTTAAGTCTTAAAACTCCCTAATTTGTCAGGCTTTGACAGGATAATTTTGGCTCATGATATTTAAGGCCATCTTTAAGTTGAATACTGTTCTCAAAAGTCAAATCTATCTTCATAAGCCTCTGAACAGTCCTCATCAACACCTCGAGATGCTTCTTTGGCTGTCTTCCCTGAAAAGGAAAAACAATTGTGTCTCAACATGATTCCACTACTTCACTGCATAGCCTCTGGCGCCTCTCACTGTCACCAGGGCAACGTCCGTTTCTTTATTTATCCTTCCTCCACATCTTGTTTAATGGGGTGTTGTTGAAATGACAGTGAGAGGAATAATATGTCACTGAGAGGTCCAGTTTGCTTTACGCCTGTAGAGTCCAAACATTTCAGCACAGCGTTGTATTCCTTGTTGAATATCTTGTATTGGCTGTTGATGAAAATGTTTTGTCTTTCTGACAGTTGTAGTTCATTGAATTCCCTCTAAACTGGAGACATTATACTTGATCAGTCTTGAACGAGTCAGATTTTTGGAATTCATGCAAATTCAGCTGATTTCTGAACTTTCTTTTTTTGCAAACTAGTAGTTTGGCTGATCTCCACAACTTTACACAATTTTGGCCTCCTTGATTTTAAAATAGACTGGAGCAAATTCACTTCTATTGATCCCTTAGGTCTGCAATGTTGCACAAACATCAACGGATAAAATTTACCATGCTTACATTATAGGGCTGGGCAATATGGCCTCAAATCAATATCAAATTATATTAAGCAGTTCACCTCGATAACGATAAATGGATGATAACTACTCCACATGCTGCTCTTTCCCTCCCACATTAACTTTGTCTACTTCAGCCACTACAACTTTTGAACCATCCTCAATCTCCTCACCTTTTTTTGTTACGGACTGGATGGGGTGAAGTCACGTCTCCTACGTAGGACAGCGTCTTAAAGGGACATGAGACCATAGCCTACTTACACACATTCAAAACCAATTTTTATTCATTTATTTATTTATTTTGACACTGAATAACCATACATGGGCAAAATGATGTCGGTAATGGTCATAAATTTCAGTATCTGTACATTTTTGGTATATCGCCCAGTCCTATCATCTACCAAAGGTGAGAAAAGTGTCGACAAAAACTCAAAACTTGGCATCATTTATTTCATGTCGAAGTTGGTGTCAGCTCAGCAAACAACCCCCACCAGACATTAGGTTTGTTGAAAATTTCGTTATCGGTAAATTTTCGGTTTATCACCCAGCCCTACTTATATATCAGTCTTTGGGCTGTTCACTTGAACTCATGGTAGATTTTGATGATGAACAAGGTCAGATTTACAGCTCTTGCAAGCAGCTTTTTTGTGTAACAGTGAAGGTAATGTGGTCCTTGACTTGAGAAATTTTGCAGCACAATGATCTTTTATTAGCTGCAGCTGATTTGTATCTGTTTTGTTCACCTGTTGCTTCCTGTTGTTGATTTGCATGCATCACTCTCAGCAAAAAAGTAGCAAGGATGTGAGCAATAATAGCTGGAAAATTTATCTCAAGTCATGAAAACATGCAGGGTGATGTGCCTGACTAATTCAGCAGCTAATGGTGTCATCATTTTATCCATGTTTCAGTGTTGAAACTGTTAGCTGTCCTCTTTGCCACTTCCTCTGGCTAAATAATGCTCTGTGATGATGAGTGTATCCTCTGTCAACACAGATTTCATTCAAACTTTTCCACTCTGTTTGAAATTTAAGTCATCATGAATAGTTTTTAGATGATCCTTGTACTGTTTGAAGTTTGAATGTGTAATGTGCCGCTTCAATAGGATCCAATACCCTATATGGAAATTGACTGGAAGTGATGTCAGAGGACAAAGAGCTTGGTCAGCCAGTAGATAGCTTGTAGTAGAGCCGCTGTGTAGAGGTCATGGTTTACACAAAATATAATCCACAAAACACGACAGTTTACAAAATCTGCTGGGGAACAGGAATTTGTTACTGCTGCTGCTGCTACGACCACAAAAAAAGTCCTGCAAAACCCTGGAGGCACTGATTTATGATTCTTTGTGGTGCACATTGCTCTTATAGACACTAAACACGAGGTCACTGACATGTTTGAAATCAAATGTCTCTCTATAGCAGTTCAATGCTCTAGCTATTGCTTTGCACAGAAATGTGGACTCACTGTCCAGGACATAAACTGCACATATGACCTGCCACAGCTGAGTCCAGCTGTCCCACCTCTGTAAACAATCAAAGTGTTTGCCTGTGATCAGTGAAGTGAGAGACAGGCTTGAATGCAGGCAGCAGTTCACTCAGAGAGCTTCGAAACATGTTGTGGTTTGTAGGGGTGTTACGGTCTGTCTCGCTTCAAGTCAGCTGTAGCCTGACTGACTAATGGTTGTGATCATTTTCATTCCAGGAGACTTAATTAGCCAAATTTATCAAACTTAATTTCACTCCCATTGAAAAGATTTCATCCTGCTGGAGTTTGGATTAGAAGTTGCTATGAAACAATGTGTATGAATGATAACAGCAATCAGCCTAATACTGAACAATTACACAAGCACCTCTTTCTAACTGAAACAGGGGTATGTGAAAATGAAATGTTTATGCAACTAAATACATGATTAATTGGACTCTTGTTGTGTAAATGTTGTCTGAGATGTATCTCTGCTGTTTGATGTTTAGTCACAGCTTATGTCCCTTTAGCTCTTTAGACCTACAGTAGAACAGATGTACTGCTAAGAAATGACTAATGGCAAAGTGCATGGGATCAATATACAAGTCATCCTTCTTGTTGGCTGAAAATGGGTTTTGGAAGGAAATAAGAAAGGAGGGAAAGAAGCACCTGCGGTTTGTGAGGTTTTCTCTGTATCCGCTTTATCTTGACACGCCCACACTGTTGAGGTAACGCAGCTTCAATTTCTGCGACTTTTGAGACACACTAAGACATTGTGGTCCTTAAGTCGAAGTCAGTACTTCCTTAAAATGATCTGGTCTTGATTTCAGTTTTGTCTTTGTAATGTAGTCTTAATTGTTTTTAATGAAATCATTTGTCTTTATCAAACATGCTACACATGATAATACCTGCAGCTGGTATGCAAGTTGTAATTTCTTGGCAGAGGAATGCGGCACAGCAGCAGTAGCTGAACGCTGCCTCAGAGGAAATGACTTGCACACAGGGACTGACTTCATGACACAGTGAAATTATCTGCCAGCCCTGGGGTGGGGTGGATCATTTCCTGTATTGTCGTGCTCGTGGGGAGATCCTCGTGCGTGTGGACGTGTACGTGCACACGCACTCAGCAACCCCTCTCCACCCCCCCGGGCGTGTGTATTTTTTTTCCCTTAAATAGTAGTTTTGTGTGAGGTCAGTCCTTTAATGGGGAAGGGAAGTTGATATGATGAAACAAGAGTGTGCAGCTAGTGCAGACCGACTGCAGCCGAGCGGAGAAGGATGGAGAGAGCAGGAAGAAAGGCAGATAAGAAGAAGAAGAGTGAGTCCAGAGGAAAAGGACAAAAGAGAGAGACGAGAGACGTGAGGGGGGACATGAAACAGAATGTGCCATCTTGTTGGGTGTCATAAAGATAGGAGAGCAAGAACAGAGAGAGAAAGAGAGAGGACAGACATGTTTGATAGAAAGCAGTTCTGGCCACTGGGTCAGATGGGGGCTGCTGTGTCCTTTGCGAGCTTGGTCCACTCTTTTAAAGTGTTCCTCATTGACCGTTCAAGAATGTATGCCTGAAACAAACTGATAGATGACTTCCTTATTGTTAAACACTGCAACAATTAGAGGCTCTGTCTGCATCAGTCCAAATGTTTCCCTCTCATAACCCCAGGTCAGACTATGTATGGCTAATTGGCTAATCATAAAATCACAGAGCGCTGCAGTAAGTCAAATGCTTTTAAAGCTCCTGTGAGGAGATAAAATGGACTGCAATGCATCTCTACGATGTCTAAAAGTGAATGAGACCATTAATGATGAGAGTGACAATTTCTACACAGTAATAATCACAGTAAGTAATATTCACTGTCAAATGTCAACAACAGGAGATTTTTATTTTTGTCAGTTAGAAGGATGAGCTGAAAGGATCAAAGAGCCTGAGATTGATACGTAGCCTCCAGACAGTCCAAATATTCATGGAGATTTTTAGAAGTTCAACAAAAAGTTATTAAAAGTTTTAGTGAAATTTTAGTCTCTGGACTTTTTCAAGTTTTTCATCTTATTTTCACACATTTTTGCATGTCCACTAACTCAGAATCTGAAACAAGCCGACCCAGTTTTTCATTCATGGTCTGTCTATGTCTGAAAACACACAAGCTGATGGTTTGTTCAGGATCTGCTGTCTTTGACATCACAAGGAGAGTAACTGTGATAATACCTGACCCCTCAGCTGGTATCTTCATCCTCGCTTTCTGAGCCATATGGGAGTTCAACTTTCGGGAAGTCCACCTTTGACTTTATCTTTAAGAGATACTCACCAAAAGCAAGCCCTCTGAGAAAGGCTGTTTCCTTTAGTCGACAGGGGACTGTGTTCAGTTATCAAAGGGGTACATTATGTCTCCTGTAAGTTACATTTTACCAGTGCAGGTTATGCCATGTTGGTATTAATATTCTTTGAGTATGAGTACATCAGCATTGTTAAGCCTGTTTAGATGTTTTATTGATAATAATGTTTGTAGTTCACTGTTTGTAGTAAATCAATCAGTGTTAGCCTCTTTGGTTGAAATTTGTGGCACTGATACTGATGCAAAGACAGGTAGGGATGTCTCAATCTGATATTGATATCGGATACCGGTCTGATATCAGAAAAAAAACCAAATATCGGATTGTATTGGCCATCATCTAAGATCTCTGATACAAGCAGTCCATTCCAGACTCCACTCCAGCACCTCTATCCAGCAGCACCTGGATCCATCATGCAGAGCCCACGTGATTACAACAACAGTGTGTACTATAGTACTAAGGTACTAACAAAGTAGTAAGGAGTAGGGGTGATGTCAGCTGTGTGGCAGTATTTTTGTCGAAAAAAGGCCTTGCAGTTGAGTGCAAAACTTGTCATGCACAAGTTTGTGTCAATATCGGATCAGTATTGGTATCGGTCCATGCCTCCACCGTTAGCTGAAGTAGTCATTGTCTATGAGAACATGCGACGTGTCGACGCATTTTTTTTTTTTGCATCAACGAATTTTTGCAGTCGATTACGTCGATGAATCGCCCCAGCCCTAATCGTATCAGATGTATAAAAGTTGTATCAGGACACTCCTAAATATAGGTACAAGGTTTAGGTTAATAGAAAACTTGCTGGTAGCTTAAGCTGCAATGATCAATTCGTTGGAAGGAAATTATTGCAAATGATTGTTTTTTTTTTTTTTGTTCAGAATTGATAATAAAACTGAATGTTTTGGTGTTTGTACAAGTTATCAAAGCTTTTCTTCTGATTCCTGCTGAGTATTTTTGGATGGATGAATGTGATGAATGTTTTTGCAGCTTTCTCGCATTTTAAGAACTATACAGAAATAAAAAAGCAGATTAATCAGTAATGACACTCACTGATCCTATTGTATGTTTTGAATGGTTGCAGGATGTAAACCAGGTCCTCTGTAATTTCTGTTTTCATTCATGGAAGCCTAACCAGGGGGCAGGGGTTGCAAATTAGCCATGGCTAGATGCCTGTAAACACAGCATCTGCTTATACTGTGCAATGGCTCATGCATTTGTCTCTGTCAAATAAACTAGTAAGTACACAAACAAGAGTTAGAGCAAAGGTTTGAGAGGGGTTTGCTAAAAAAAGGTAATACATCAGATATATAGTTCCTCACATGCAAGAAAGGACGGACAGAAAAATAAAAACATTTGCAGGCTGTGTGTCCGTAAATACAGCTGAACAACATTTTTACTGCAGTTCAACTCAACTTTTCCATTCAGGGCATATTTATAGAACCAGATCTACTTATTAATAGCATCAGATGTCATGTCCTTTATGAACGCCGGTCATAACCTCTAAAAAAAGCTTGTTCTTGCTTTTCACAGCATTAGTCTGAGGCGATCATTGAGGAACCATGGCTGTGGTTTGCAGTGTTTCTAACTGTGCCTACGTAGTGCGTGGAGGTGACTTATTCTCTCTCAGACAGACTGATGTCAAAGAGCCACTGTAACGGTGTGTTCATCATTCATCAGCAGATGAATATCTCTGACGGAATCAAGCAGACTGCAGCTGATGGAGGGATTACTCATTCCCTTTCTCTCTCCCTCTCTCTCTCGGTCCTTGTTAAGGAACAAAGCCTTCAGTTAAAACTGTTCCCTCATCACCGCTTCATGTTGCTGTCTATTTATCTAGTCTGCCAACTCTGTTACTGTTAATAGAAACACTTGGGTGAAACTGTTTGTTTTCAGTCAGACCTACTTTGTTGCCGCGCTGATGTATAAATTCACAGAGAGCAAAATTTCCTCACAAATGCAGACCCTGAAGTTTGTACGTATTTAAGTGGAAATGCTGATGAAGCATTTCCACTTATTGTTATTCCTGTCAGCCATTTTTCTTTATTATTAATATTCTTCTGCCGTATTTCGTCCGCTTTCTTCTCCTTCATACTTTGTGCTATTTCAACCGTTCAAACTTAATACTATTCCACTCCTTCAGGACATCATGGCTTGTATTTTTTTTCCTTTCTACCCTTTACACTTTTTCTTTTTCATTTTCCTTTTCATTGGTTCAGTTGTAAGAAAGTTATTGTACTTAAAGTGTGAAAATCATTCGGCCATCAAACACACCTCACAAAGCCTCTTAATGCAGCAGGATAAATTATTAGAATTTGATTAACATGCCTGACTTGATAACAACTGAGTCAAATTTAATACAAACACTGATTATTTTGAGGCTGTTTGAGCATCAATCTAAAAGTCCTGCTTGTCACTGACTGCTGATGAGCTTCGGACAGATAAATCAGTACTTCTTGCTTCCTCACCAACCAGCTGCTACGTTTGCAGGCACCACAATGACTCACTCTGATTCAACGTTTTATGATCCTTCAATGTAAAGCTTGTGTCATAACTGGTGTCTGTTGCATTACACTTACTGACAGCACTTTAACTTAGAGGGAAAAAAAGTGTTAAAAGACGCTGGGAGCTGTGTGATTACACAACATCATTGATTACAACACCACAAAGTTGACTGCAGTCACACTAACGTCATTGCAACTGGACAGACGGAAACACAGAAAACAGAAGCGTCCTGTTTCTGCCGGTTTACCCGGTCTGCGCAGTAGTTCCAGTATGAGGATGTATTCAACATGTAAAATAAGCCTAAGAGAGAAAAACCTTCTGGATGAACCGTACCTGCATGCATGAGCAGTTCTTCCTGCTTTCCTGTCTATTCTGTACACATGTCATACACTCGCCATTGTGTTGTCAGCAGTTCCTGAAAACCATTGTTTGCAGATGTTGACGTATAAAACTCTGCAGTATCTGTGAATTAATTATGCCTTCTTTTTAAAAAAAGCTGGCACTCATATACTTCTGTTTCAGTTTGATCAAATCCTGCACTATGACCTGGTATCACAAAGGTCTTTCCCACACGCTCACAGTTATTTCATATCTTTGAGTTTAAAACCACCACCGCTTTTTTAGTGCGGCGCATGAAAGCCTGAAAATATCTGTGGAGGCTGCTGCACTTTGATCCAAGTTTTCTGTTGGTCACGACTGATGATGGATTGTTCTTTCTGTCTGTGTAGGACTCCATCAACGCCCTGGTCTTGGACTTGGACTACCCTGCACTACGCAAGAACAAAAACATTGAAACCTTCTTAAACAGATGTAAGTAGTCAGAAGAAAGTAAGGCGAGGGGAGAGGAGATGTGTTTTTTGTTTTAAAAGTTGATTTTTCACCCTCATATATTCTTTGTTGTCTTTGTGCTCAGATGAGAAAGTCGTAGGACAAACTCGTGACCTCCAGATGAAGTCTGAAGACTTCGACAGAGTTAAAGTGATCGGCCGAGGGGCATTTGGTGAAGTCCAGCTGGTGAGGACTCCCGGATTATACCTAATCTAATAAAACTATCACTGTAAAGGAGTCATTCACTCATTTATTAGTTGTTATTTCATTCAGTGAGGGCACCCAAAAGTGTCTTCTTAATCTTAATATCTGGGTCTCTATCTAGGTCCGCCATAAAATCTCTCAGAAGGTCTACGCCATGAAGCTGCTGAGCAAGTTTGAGATGATCAAGCGCTCAGATTCTGCTTTTTTCTGGGAAGAGAGGGACATCATGGCCTTTGCCAACAGTCCCTGGGTTGTGCAGGTATGAAGTTCATCATCATCCAATCCGTGTATCTCTCCAACTGAAATACGAGAGATCATTGCTGCTATGCCAAAGCAGAGATCCCTCAGTAAAGTGATGCTTTGGTTTTTCAGTTGTGCTGTGCCTTCCAAGATGAGCACTACCTCTACATGGTGATGGAGTACATGCCAGGAGGTGATCTGGTCAACCTCACCAGCACTTATGACGTGCCGGAGAAATGGGCCAAGTTCTACACAGCAGAGGTTGTGATGGCTCTGGATGCCATTCACTCCATGGGCTTCATCCATCGTGACGTCAAGCCAGACAACATGCTGCTGGATAGACTCGGACACCTCAAGCTGGCCGACTTTGGAACATGCATGAAGATGGACCATGTGAGTATAATAACCCATCATCCAAACATCAGGGATGCAGGGGAAGAAGGCTGTTTTTGTTGATTTAAAGTAGTGTTGCTAACAGAGTGACTGAATATGAACATTGTTGAGAAAGAATTGTTATGGCCTGAAATACCTTAAACTGAGAGTGAGCAGTCATCACAAGGTTTGTCCTCTTATCGAGACGGATGATTACAACATCTCTGTCTATCAACCCACCCACCACCCAAATGTTCTGTGATTTCTAACTCTGTCTGTCTGTTCCCCCCGTCTGTCATATCTTTAATCTCTCCTGTTTCTATCACTTCTTTCTTTTCCTTCTATCTCTATATGCCTTTCTTTTAGATTGTCTGCATGTTATTTTCACCTTACTTTCTTTATCCATCTTCATCCCATCTGTTCATCCGCTATTCCAGCTCTTCCTCTGCTCACTCATCTATTTCTCTATCTGTATGTAAAACATGCTTTTTCCCTCTCTTTATGACCTGGATTATGTAAATCTAATCAATATTTTGCTATGTAATTACCGTTACTCCTCAAATAAAAAACATAGCTTTGATTTGTTTTTACTGCAGAAAATGTTGGGCTTTTATATGAAGCAGGCCTTGACATCAAACTCGCTCTGCTTTCGAAGTATAATTGTTTATATGCCTCTACAAAGTGAGGATTTGATTCATTCATTACACCCACTAAACTGTGTATACCAGCCGTAATGACCCACTCTTTGTTCAGGGATGGTCAGAAGCTCCACAAACTAAAAGACCCCAAAATCAGGCAACTGGACTCTGTAGAGTACACACAGTCCAGTTGCCTTATTTTGGAGTCTTCAGGAAAACCATGACCTGGATGAATGAGAATCTACATGGACATATTGGACTCCACAAACTGCACTGCTGAGCAAATAGGACCACTGTGCACTAGGGATGGACGATAAATTATCGTTAACTATTTATCATCAGAAAAATCCTCCACAATGATTTTTTTGCCATCTCACAATGAATGCGATAAACGCAAGTTGACAACGTAAGCGCGAGCAATGGACTCACAGCCGCAGCCCACACAGAGGAGAATAACAAACAAACATGGCCGAAGTTGGTGAAGTTTGGGATGGTGGTGGAGGCACTGTGAGAATCACCTTCTTTGATTTCTCCAGTGCTTTTAACACCATCCAGCCACTGCTGCTGGGTGAGAAACTGCGGGTGATGGGTGTCAACCATAGACTGTATATACTATGGACAACCTGGTTCCGCCTACCGCCTGTATACGGATTTGAAGCAAATCCGTATACAGGCGGATTGAATGTATTGAATGTAAACACTCCCAACCAGTTTTCCCCTCAGCTCCTCCTCTCCCCTCCCTCTCTGTGCCAGCAAGCCCCGCCCACAAACAGACGCTCCTGCTCGCTCGTATCATTCTAATTAAAATCAGATATATTGCAGGTAAATACTTCAGATGATTACAAATGGGGCCCAGTCAATGTCTATCTATTTATCTATTTTCTAGTCAATGAAAGTAAAAAGCATTGGTGCTACTGTAGATGCCAACAGACTACCAGCAAACACAATGTTTCCAGGACTTCTGCAACTAGGAGTACCATCTAAGTACCATCCAAGAAAAAGGATTGTGCGGTTCTCGAGACAGAATGAGTCAAAAAACATGGATTGGAATTTAATATTTTTTAATTCAGGTCTTTAATCATTTTCATACGAAAGAGGATAAGGGCCACATGAAGAGAAAAAAAATAATTACAGGAAGGGGATTAAAATCAAAATTTCGAGATTAAAAAATTGAAATTATGTCAATGAAATCCAAATTTGGAGATTACGAAATGTTGTGAATAATGTAGAAATTTCAAGATTAAAATAAATGAAGATTTGACATTTAACTGGAAATTTCAAGATTAAAGTCAACATATATTAAGTCAAAATTTCTTCTTTTTTGAATTTTGACTTTAATCTCAAATTTCCACTTTAATTTTGAAATGGAAATCAAAAAAATGACCCTCCTGTAATTATTTTTTTCTGTTATCGTGGCCCTAATCCTCTTTCGTACCTTCAACAGAATTGCAAAACTTATTGTGATTAATTTCTTAGCCCATATCACCCATCCCTACTGTACACCCATGTTGGTTGTAAATACATAAATGGACCATTCTTCATTTATTTGCAGCAAAATATGTCCAAGCCTCATTACAAAAGCCCATAAACCACTAACTGTCGGGCTACCTGCCACACTCAGTTAACAGTCTGGCCATCTGTGGGTCAATCCCTGTTCATACAGACTCTTACAGACACACAACTGACTGTGTCTTTCCCATCCAAATGAGCGGCTCTCTGCTAGCTAGCTCCAGGTGATAAGCTGGATACAAAACAAGAGATTTGTGTCACATCTGTCATGTATCGACGGCACAATAAAATGAGGTCTGTCTCTCTCTTTCCTCCTCATCATATATGTGGACAGAATTTAGTGCTGTCAGAATGAGAGCATTCAGCCTTGGCCAATAATTGGAAGCTGGCCTCTATTTACTTAAAAAGGACATGACCCCGACTGTTAAAGGGGGCCCAGCTGCAGATTTAATACTGGTCTTTATTTGAGGATTTGCAGCATGTCCTTCTATTTCATTCAGTCACTTATAATGGAGGATAGCACAACTGATGCCAGGCTCTGAATTCTCATGCTGAATGTGACTCACAGGCTCACTGTACAAAATGTGCTACTGTTTGCACAGCATAACCACATTATCCTGCATATTTGGCAGGGGTAATAGTTAAGTAAGTGTGATAAATTTGTCTCCAGCAAACCTCCAGTGTTTGATTTTGGAGTCAGCTGTAACTTAATACTTTATTTCTGCTGATGAAAAGTTTTATAAACTTGTACATTTGGATAAATAGACAGAAAACTAGATTTTAGACTCTTCTGTCAACAAGTCCTGCTGAAGTGATACGGGATATTGACCCCAGGATTTGTTTTGCAGACTGGCATGGTGCACTGTGACACAGCTGTGGGGACTCCAGACTACATCTCTCCAGAGGTGCTGAAATCCCAAGGAGGAGACGGGTATTATGGAAGAGAGTGTGACTGGTGGTCTGTGGGGGTCTTCATCTTTGAGATGCTCGTTGGTAAGTGAACGCTGAACGATTCTTCACTGGCTTTATAAAAGTAGAGGGGCCTCCTAAAAATATCTCCATTAAAAGTGTTGATTTCTCCTTTATTTTACTGTTAATGAATGACACGAATGATCTCAGTGTTTATTTGAGTAAGTCACAAGTGCTTTTGAAGACAGCTGAAGCTCTGTAAATCCTGCTAGGTGACACACCGTTCTACGCCGACTCCCTGGTGGGAACCTACAGTAAGATCATGGACCATAAAAATTCCCTCAACTTCCCAGACGACGTTGACATCTCCAAAGATGCCAAGAACATCATCTGTGCCTTCCTGACTGACAGGTACAGAGAGTTACAGTTTGTGCTGCCATACGGTCTCCTTATATAACGTGTTGATGCCTCTGAGATGCACACAGCCCACTTGTGCTTTTTCTCCCAGGCTGACCTGACTGTATAGACTGATATTTTCACATAAAGATGATTCCTCAGGATTGTTTAACATCCAAATCACCTTATATCATTAACCTCTGTATTCATAGCTGATGATGAGTGTTAACATAGCTAAAGACTCAGTCTGTCTAACAGGCCAAATGAAATACAAAAGTTAAGCACCACGATTGTTCACTTTCAGATTTATTATGGCTCACATCATAGGACTCCAATAACCTGAGAGGGTTGTAGCTGTGCATGAGTCTGACAAACTTCCTATCAGTTGGCCATGTTTTCCTGCTGCTGCTGCTGAAGACAAAGGACAGATTTAGTGCCATAGCGGTGTGAACATATGGAGGAAAACCCTCATAAAACTACAACTTCCACTCTCAAGACCAATTTTTAGACTTTTTAAATTGGAATTAAAGATAAACCAAACTTTCTTTAAATAAAACAAAAGACATTGTTGATTTGAACACCTTCAAAATCATGATATCAATGTGTGTTAAAATTTATTTGTCACATTTAAATGGAATATAATGTTGTCACATGTCTTAATGAAGCACTTTCTGTGTTGGTATTTCAGTATAATTAAATAACCTGCAGTCTAGCAGATGGGTGAGGGGTCTGCTGATGGGTATAGCTTCAAAAACATACTCACGCACTTTTTAAGATGATCTATTTGTGTCTCTCTTCTTCAATTGATCAATCTTTATTTATACAGGGCCAGTTAACAACCAATGTTATCTCAGGATGCTTTACAAAAAGAGCGGGTCCAAACCATACTCTTAATTTTACGATGTACAAAGTATGATCTGAGTCGCTGACATTCTACCTTAATGTACCATGAGTGTAAAATAAAAACTTCCCTTAGCAGTCTTCTACTGAGGCTGAACTGGGTTTAGAGAGGGGGATGGAGAAAGAGAGAAAGCGATATCTGAGGATATCACACTTAATGACTCTTAATTTTTGGCATTTTAATGGTTGTTAATATTATTTTTGCTGCATTTGTGACTTTTGTCTCAAAAATAGATGTCATTACTCTTTCTCAGCTGTGATTTTTCCCACATTGCTCTACTCTGCTCTGGTCACCATGTCTATTTAGTTTTTCATCCTCCTGGTCCTTCATTAGTAAGTCACGACTGGTTTCAGTCATGAGGGGTACACCTGCTTTAGAGATCAGTAGTACCATCCCCTGTTGGAGCAAAATTGGCATTTAATCATCACACCTTGGATATGAGGCAGTCCCACTTGTTCCAGATGTATTTTGATGGGGAAACTGTCTGATTTTAAGATCAGTTTGGGAATCCCTCCTTGACTCTTCTTTATTTTTAGGGATGTACGATTGGGCAGAAATGGCGTCGAGGAGATCAAACGCCATCCTTTCTTCAAGAACGACCAGTGGACCTTCGACACCATCAGAGACTGTTAGTATCACATCTCAAGGAGCTTTACCTGAACTAATAAAACAAGTCCGTCTTTAGACTTACACTGTAAATAGCTGCAGCAACACTCCTCCTCCTAAAAGCATTTCTTTGTTTTTGTACTTACTTTTCTTTCTCCTCTCCTCTTTTGCTCAGCTGTTGCCCCCGTGGTCCCAGAGCTTAGCAGTGACATAGACACTAGCAATTTCGATGAGATTGAGGAGGACAAAGGGGATGTGGAAACTTTCCCCACACCAAAAGCCTTTGTCGGAAATCAGCTGCCTTTTGTGGGCTTCACCTACTTCAAAGAAGATCAGTAAGTTGTGGGCCATTGCAAATCTGGAGGAAAATGACCCATCGATGATACATTTCCTATTAGCTGTTATCTCTGCTCTGCGTTTATTGTCTTCATTTTCTTCTGCAGGTTACTCAGTCCTTCAAACAACATCTCTGTGGCTCATGACAACTCAAAAGGAGAGGTGGGTGATTTAACATTCACACACAGTAGTAACCTGAGAGAAAATAAAGGTGTTAGTTTACCAGATCAGACAGAACAGGCCTGCTGATGTTGGGATCAGTCCTGCTTCATATTCTAAGAAGTTAAAGATAATTATAGAAATGACTTTAAGGACTTTTTTTCTCTGATCCCATGATTTATTAGTACTTTGTTTGAATTTCAGTGGTCTTAGCCACACAGCAATACTTAAGCGGCTTGCAGCATAAGAAGCTAAGCTAAAAGCTAATCTCTCACTTACTTCAGCTTTAATTGATCAGCCTACACAATCTGCTGCGACTTAACAAGGAGACAACAAAGGCCCTGGATGTATTTCAGAGTATCTTAGTGTTTCATTGACTCTCAGGGTTAATCACTTTTGTTCCTGCTGAAGTAAAACCTTTGGTCATTTTTTTAAGCGGGCCAATCCTGCATGCTTGAGTCAGAAAATTTTCTTTAACTATTAAATCTGTCTGTATAGATAGAGATATTGATAAATGTTTTTTTTCCCAACATGTTCTGATGATGGCTGATGTATCCTTTCTAAGAATTTACTGGATTGAGTAAAAGTTAATGTAGCTTGAAAAATTTGATTTTCCTGAAAAGACCCCCCCCCACAAAGTAGTGCTGTTATGTCAGCTGTTAACAGGTACTGTAAGAAATTTATTCAGAGAACTAACTGTGCAGAATAAGCTTCCTTTCTTTTATATCCACTAGGGCTGGACGATTATGGCAAAAATAATAATCACGATTATGTACACTTCTATTGAAATTACAATTGATAAACACCATTATTCATTGATTTCGAAACTTAAATATTTATTGAACCAACAAAACTTAACTTTAAATATAACTTGAAGAAAAGACAGAAATAAATTAGAAATGAGTGAACAAGAAGAAAAAAAAAACAGCTCTGTGATGATCTCCGACGATAACTTGCTCATGGTAATACTCTGTGTGCGTGTGTTCCGCCGTGCAGCGCCCATGTGCATGCACATAAACTGATACATAAGAGTTATGTAGAGCCAAGTTAGAGCCACATAAATAAAAAAAGAACAAACTAATTTTGAAGGTATGCCGCCTTTTGTTTTGCTATGGCAGTGTGCCATGGTCAATAGCATATAGGGAAAACCCAGAAGTTGGTCATGTTGCTGTGGGGAGCAGACACAACAGCATGATAAACTTTGCAAACAATTTCCTTTTGCTCCATCAGTTCGAAGCCAAAATTTTTCTAGCTAACTGAAGTTGTCCTGCCTTTCTTCCTAACCAAAGGCTGCCTTTCTGCCATGTTTTCAATCACTCACTCCTCATAATATTGATCCACACACGCTTGCTGTAGCTGCATGTAACATGGGTGCATTCAAGGTGTTTTTCCAGCACAGGAACTTACATACATGCTGTGCCGTGCGGTGCATTAATCATTTTTCTTCGTTTGAAATGTTATTTATGATCATGAGAAGCCAAAATAGAAATCATGATTAAAATTGTTCAGCACTAATATCTGCATATGACACAAAACCCAATTCCAATGAAGTTGGGAAGATGTGTAAATCGTAAATAAAAATGGAATACAATTATTTGCAAATCCTTTTCAACCTACATTCAATTGAATCCACTAAAAGAAAACATAATTAATGTTCAGGCTGATAAACTTTATTGTTTTTTTGCAAATAATCATTATTAACTTTAGAATTTGATGGCAGCAACACGTGACAAAGAAGTTGGGAAAGGTGGCAAAAAATACTGAGAAATTTGAGGAATGCTCATCAAACACCTATTTGGAACATCCCACAGGTGAGCAGGCTAATTGGGAACAGGTGGGTGCCATGATTGGGTATAAAAGCAGTTTCCCCAAAAATTCTCAGTCATTCACAAGCAAGGATGGGGCGAGGTTCACCACTTTGTGAACAACTGCATGAGCAAATAGTCGAACAGTTTAAGGACAATGTTTCTCAATTGCAAGGAATTTAGGGATTTCAACATCTACGGTCCATAATATCATCAAAAAGTTCAGAGAATCTGGAGAAATCACTGCATGTACGCAGCACGGCCGGAAACCAACATTGAATGCCTGTGACCTTCGATCCCTCAGGCGGCAGTGTATCAAAAACCGACATCAATGTGTAAAGGATATCACCACATGGGCTCAGGAACACTTCAGAAAACCACTGTCAGTAAATACAGTTCGCCGCTACATCTGTAAGTGCAAGTTAAAACTGTACAATGCAAAGCGAAAGCCTTTTATCAACAACATCCAGAAACACCGCCGGCTTCTCTGGGCCCGAGCTCATCTAAGATGGACTGATGCAAAGTGTTCTGTGGTCTGACGAGTCCACATTTCAAATTGTTTTTGAAATTAGCGGACTCTGTGTCCTCCAGGCCAAAGAGGAAAAGAACCATCTGGACTGTTATCGACGCAAAGTTCAAAAGCCAGCATCTGTGATGGTATGGGGGTGCATTAGTGACCAAGGCATGGGTAACTTAAACATCTGTGAAGGCAACATTAATGCTGAAAGGTACATACAGGTTTTGGAGCCACATATGCTGCCATCCAAACAACGTCTTTTTCATGGACGCCCCTGCTTATTTCAGCAAGACAATGCCAAGCCACATTCTGCAGTCCAGACCTGTCTCCCACTGAAAATGTGTGGCACATTATGAAGTGTAAAATACAACAACGGAGACCCCGGACTGTTAAACAACTGAAGCCGTACTTAAAGCAAAAATGGGAAAGAATTCCACCTTCAAAGATTCAACAATTAGTCTCCTCTGTTCACAAACATTTATTGAGTGTCGTTAAAAGGAAAGGTAATGTAACACAGTGGTAAACATGCCCCTGTCCCAACTACTTTGGCATGTGTCAAAGCCATGAAATTCTGAGTTAATTATTATTTGCAAAAAAAAAATAAGGTTTGAGTTTGAAAATTAAATATCTTGTCTTTGTAGTGTTTTCAATTGAATATAGGTGGAAAAGGATTTGCAAATCATTGTAATCTGTTATTATTTATGTTTATCACAATTTCCCAACCTTAATGGAATTGGGTTTTGTAGATTGAACTAAAATTGGTGTATACCCTGTATAGTATTGTAACTGGAAGAGTAAACATGATGAAAGATTCAAATTGTAACTCCAGAGTCTTGACAATGCAAAGCTCCTCCATTTCCTGATCAAATGTCAGAAGGCAGAACAGGTTGGAAAAAGGCACAACCCAACATCTCACTCAGGCAGCTCAACAGAGTTTAGAAAGAGTCAATATTTAATCCAACTTTCCTTCCATCAAAGGTTTTGATAGAACGACTTTGACTTGTAGCAGCAGGAAACAGAAACAGATCATCAGGACCTGTGTGTCTTTTTCTCTCCACAGTCAGCAGCTCTGCAGAAGAAACTGCGCCAAATGGAAGTTCAGCTGAACAATGAGAAGCAGGCCAAAGATGAAATAGAGCACAAATACAGGTACAGGAGCTGAAGAGACCTGATCTGGTGTTTTGTTTTTTATGTTTCAGTCTTGAGCTTGGCTAACAGACATGCTAAACTCTTCATAATGTCCTTATTTTGCAGGGCTACCACAGGCAGGCTGGACAAAATCAGTAAAGAGCTGGAGGAAGAGGTAAGTGATTCAACCTGAGAACACCTGAAATCTGCAGCCTGGACACCTGTTTGTGTCAGAGTTTGTTTTCATGTTTAGATTTTAATATCTGATTGTGCAGCTTCTCACTTCACCCCTGGATGGTTGGATATTCTTCATGTTTTAATTCAGAATATTGATATTCTCAGTCTTCACCTAAATAGTTGAATACCAATCTGTAATATTCATGGAGGTTCAGCTGAAGTGCTCGCTGAATCCTAACAGCCACATTAAAAAGTCTATTGGAGTGAGATTACCGTTAAGCCGCTATTAGACTCTGAGGAATCGTTTCTCTTAAAGCGAGTTAGGGGATTGCTGCACCATGAAATCATCCTTGTAGACCATATTGAACACAGTATCTGAGGATTGTGTGTTTTTTTTTTAAGGTGAGCAGCAGGAAGAGTCTGGAGTCAAGTCTGAGGCAGCTGGAGAGAGAGAAAGCTTTGCTGCAGCACAAGAGCATGGACAGCCACCGCAAGGCCGAGAACGAGGCGGACAGGAAGCGCTGCCTGGAGAACGAAGGTGACACACTATACAGACGGTTCAGTATCCTGTCCCTTTTTTTAAATGAAGGCCTGTTTCTTTTTTAACAACATATCACAGGGTCAACATGAAAAACTCAAGAAGCCAAATCCTGTCCATATACTAGACTCTAACATAGATCTGGGATAAAGTATGAACTGATATCAGCAAAGCAATAAGATGAACAGATATTTATATTCATATACCAATGATTTCAAGGCTGAACCTCTGATGGTGTATCATTCATTGGTATATGACACGACTTCACTTATACTTACTTCCTTAATGACTGAACACCAGGGGAAGAAGATCCATCAAAACCAGTCAGAACACCAACATGCTGGTTTCAGACCTGCTGAGAGGAGTGTTTACTGAGCTGACAGCACACAGCACAATGACTGATTAAATTTGTCATTGACTAAAAATGGCTGATGTGTTATGTCTTAAATTTTTTCCAAAACCATGAAGTCAACACTTGCAGTCACCCTCTCTTATTTTCACACAATCATGCCTCCAGTGAAGCATCGTTTTACTCATGACAGCTTTACTCGTGAATTTATTCAAATAAATTTGGGTTTGAAGGAGATTTAGATGGAAGTTTACAGTCAGACTGATATGATGTGGATAATGCTGCCATCACATGGACAAATAGACTCTCCTACACTCTTGAGTTATACTCATCATGAAAAACAAGTCTGTGGGCCAGCTCTCTGTCTTTTCCTAACAGTAAACCTTTATTTTTATCTCGAAATGTCTCTGAATTTTGAACCTCCAAATAATAGAAACATGTAGAAATAGGTCATTGCTTCCTATCTATTATTCAACACCGCAAACAGATACTGGATATTGTGGAGAACTGCATAAATAAATTTAGTAAATAAATAGGTTTTGGGTGACCATTTGATTTGAAACTGTTTCAGTACTGATCACTTGATAAGATATTGATTCAGTAATATGCATAGATGATAGAAGTTACTAAATCACTTAGAGCCGCACCTTCCAATGTAGGTTAGATACAGATGAAAGATAGTGGTTTGATTTTTTCTACTCAGCCCTACTAGTTTGACTTTTGAGAAGTCAGAAATATTCTTATTTGTATTTTAATGAAATGTACAGCTGATCACTCAGCTTTACGTTAATACTATTGTTTTCTCTTCTGCTTTGTTGTTCAGTGAACAGCCTCCGAGATCAGCTGGAAGACCTAAAGAAGAGAAACCAGAATTCACACATTTCCAATGAGAAGAACATTCACCTGCAGAAACAGGTCAGTCATCGAGCGCCATGTTTCTGACCAATTCCTAATCAGTCACCTACTGACGAAAGCAAAGTAGAGCTCAAACATATACTTGAAGTAAGGAGAAGTCAAGAACCTTTGATACTCAGACTCGTGTTGATTAAACACACATCCTTTGGATGTCTGCATTGCTGTTAAACATTGCAGTCTGTATCTTTTTCATATGCACCATGGCATTATTTTATAAAGTTCATAAAATCAGCTTCGATCCTAATTCTTATAGATTTTAAAACGATTTCAAACACAAGATGCATTTATAAAACTAGAGGTACTAAAATTAAAACTTTGACCCTGTAAAAGTAACAAGTGTATGTTTCCATCTCTGTCAGCTGGAAGAAGCCAACACGTTACTGCGGGCTGAGTCTGAGGCGGCCACACGGCTCCGTAAAACCCAGACGGACAGCAGCAAGCAGCTGCAGCAGCTGGAGGCCAATGTGCGCGAGCTGCAGGACAAATGCTGCCTGCTGGAGCGCAGCAAGCTGAGCCTGGAGAAGGAGTGCATCAGCCTGCAGGCGGCGCTGGAGACAGAGAGGAGGGAGCAGAGTCAGGGCTCGGAGACCATCAGTGACCTGATGGGTGAGTGATGCACACACACACGCCCACATTCAGCAGGGGATCTGAATGGATGTATTATATGTTAAACTGATCATTTGTATGTATTGATCATCAAGTTTGACAGCTTGTTGATTCGGTGTACAAATTCATCTTTAGAAACATGCACCGATCAATTTGGTGCAGATTGCCTTAATTTTGGGAGATTGGCGATTGGCCGATCCTTACAAATGAAATCAATCTTATCCACCGATCTTATCTACCTCCGCAAAGGTCTGGGAGTCAGTCATTGTAGCTTTTTGCTCTGTCAGACTTACAGGCCCACCCACCAGGTCATGTGTGCATGCAAGTGTACGTCAGCTACACAGGTAAACAACAGTCACCTGGAACATGGTCAAGCAAGCATGTCATCTTAGAAACATCATTCAATTGAGCACATCATCTATTTGGCAGTAAAACACACAGTAAAAGAAAAAGAGCAGTTTCGCAGTTTGTAATTTATGCAAGGCTGAAATAAGTTGAAATAAGATTAGAAGACTGAAGGTGTATGCTGTCAGTTATAAAAAAAAAATCAGTATTGGCTAAAATCGGTATCGGCAGATCAGGCTTCCTTTAAGATTGGTGATCGAACCAGAAAATTGTGATTGTGCACCCTTAGAATCTTTGCTTTTCCTTTTTATGTTACACCAGACTCTGTTGTCCAACTTTGATCATTTTGATGCTGTTTATGTGATCATGTTAAAGCACTGATTCATGTGTTTGACTTTTATCGTGCCAGTCCCAGAGCAACACACATCTCCCACTCAGACACGTGGCTTTTTAAGGATATTGGGACAAATCAGCTGCACTCTGCTGCTTTAAGACACCAGCACCTTTAGATTATCCCTCATCAGACAGTAATTTGCTCCAGGGTCTATGAAATTAAATTAATTCCAAAAGACTGACAAAACTTTTTGAGGAGGAAAGTCCCAAATTTTATGAGCACATGCAGTCATGTTAAATTTTTTGCTCGTCTGAAGGAAACGCTTGTGTTCTGTTAACCACAAAGGCAGCATCATGTGTGGTGCTTAAGTGCTTAAAGTGGAAAATAAACCGTCTTTATCAAAGATGTTGGATTTTAGTTTAGATTTTCTCTTGAACTTGTGTCTGAGCTTACCTCTCTACCTTGTAAAATCCTGATAAAAGGGAGTCGTGATTTTCAGATGGAGAAATCCTGTTACAAACCTCAGATAAAACTCTGTTGTCTCAGCCACTGTCTGCCATGCAGCTTAAATTGCAGATTTAAGAGGGCGGCGAGGTGAACTCCTGCAGTCTGTCATACAAATACAAAGCGCACCAAAGAAGCTTTCGGGCCTTACTGCAGAGCTCTCCATGGAGAATCCCTCTAGCAAACAACGCTCTTAATGTCTGTTTGTGTGTGTGATTTAAATTTATTTGTCAGAGCTTTTATCAAAACAGGTTTGTCTGGAGGTGATTTATAGAGCCACAGCAATTTAAAGGAAAAACAAATCCATCTGATCCATCAGAGAGATATAAGACTTAAGTTCCCTTTGTCACACCGGTTAAACAAATCCACGGAAAACAAAATAATAAGGTAGCCTTCCTCCTGTGGACAGGACTTAAAACAAACCAATCTGTCTGTTCAACAGCAGCTCGCTGTAAATGTGCCTCTTCTCAGTGTGTTTGTTTAACTGTGCAAGGGAGTATGTTATCATTAAAACCCATTATTCAACTTTTATCTGATTCATCCAGGACTCGGTGTATTTAAAGTGTCCTGTTCCAGCCTTTATCTGCTCGTCTTAATTGATGGGAGGTCATGCTGAAAGCTCAAACAGTAAACACACCCAGATACCTGCTCAATCTCTGCATTTGTTGAACATGGAAACAAGTGAAGCTTTCTGCAAACGAGAAACAGCATTTATTCATAGCGTGTAATTATCAGTCATAATATTGCTTAAAGCTGTTTTCTTTGAATAATCAAGGTGTTGTGTGTGTGTATATAAAAACTCCTTGTGGAAAAATACACACTCTCACTTGCAGGCTGCCCAGAGTTGGCCGCAGATCTGCAGCTTTGATAACAAGAAAGCGAAGGCTCCAATCTTCAAACCAAAAGAGAATTTTAAAAAGGTTTCACTGGCAAAGACAGAGCCAATTCTCAGAAATAAGGATTATAAAACCAACTAAATTTGCCGTCAGTCGAAAAGGGGTATTTTCAACCACTCCATGAACTACAATGAAATAAATGTGTCTTTACCCTGAGTCCTTTCTGCCTACAGTTTTTCTGTGCATTCTTCCTCACTGAGAAGTAGACAGGCCTCTGGTTCTAAGTGTGAACAATTAAGCAGTGAGATGTAATAGTTTGTAGCCTATAAACCTGGTCTGTTTGGCATGTGTCCATTTTTTTGTTGTTGTTGTTATCTTTTAAACCAGCTATATTTAATCCTCCACACTCTTGTCTTGCAGGACGAATTTCTGGCCTGGAAGAGGAGGTGCGTCAGCAGAGGCAGGCTCTGGCTAAGGTAGAGAGTGAGAAGAGGCAGCTCCAAGAAAAACATACAGACTTGGAGAAGGTAAACTGTCCTTTCAATACTTCAACACTTTTTACAGGTCAAGCTTTGACCTTGTTATTTTTTAGTTTTTTGGCTTGTTACAAGATTAAAAAACATCATCAGCATATTCATGAGGTTGCTGGTTGCTGTTTCACTCTTCATTAAGAATAGAGGAACTGCAGTCGTGTGGATTCCTGAGGGTAAATCACACATCTCAATCTGCAAATATGAAATGTGTGCTTCTCTGCCAGAGTGTTTGTCTTTATTATCTGATCTGACATCAGTACAAAACGTTTACAGCTTGAATTAAAAAAGTGTTATTCCCTTTAGCCAAAGGACACATGAATAACTTACACACTTGCTCTGTAAAAAAAACGATGACACCTGATGATCATAGTGAAATTTAGTGGACAAGACACATCGACACAAGACCTTTTTTTGTCATCTGAAAAGTGTGCTGCATCCTGATGCATCCAATATATATGAGAGTGTAGAAAGAGGTTATACACTAAGCTTCGGTATTTCACCTGTTGGATACATAGTGGTCTAGTGGCGCTAGGGATGGGCGATAAATTATCGTCCACAATATATCGTCAGAAAAAAATCCTTCATGATAAATATTTGCAATATGATAAATGCGAGTTGATGATGTAAGCGCAAGTGACAGACTCACAGCCGTAGCCCGCACAGAGCAGAATAACAAACAAACATGGCCGAAAGTGGTAAAGATTGGGGCTTAGATGAGTACAATCAGGTATGCCTGGCATCAGACGGTGGATCTGCTGCAGTTCACTCTGTGCAATAAGAATTTTCAACAAATATTGAAAATGTTTTCACTTGTTTGATGTCATTAGTTTTATTCATGACCTGCTACCACTCAAACTTGTGTTTAAGTATCTTATTTGACTTCTCACACTGGTAAGTGCCATCCAAGAACATTGTTTGTGGGTTTCTTAAGACAAAATGAGTCAAAAACATGGATAGGAATTATAATATTTTTTTATATGGACTTTTATCGTTATCGCCAGAATAGCAAAACTTATCGTGATAAATTTATTAGCCCATGTCGCCCATCCCTAAGTGGCGCCACCATTAAACAGTCTTCTCCTTTGTTAGGCTATAATCACTCATGTACAGAAAAAAAAACAGTAGTATACTGTTAAGCGAATAAATCTTGTGTAGTTCTAAAGACTCTTCAACTCTTCAAGTGACCTCTAAAGGGGGTGATGCCAGTCTTGCACAGGCAGGTCTAATAGTGCCTCAAAACTATCAATGCCTTGGTAGGCTTTGCTCAGCTACCAGGTGGGTTCACAGCTGCTTAAAAAACACACACTGCTGAATGCAGTCAAAGTTGTCATACAGGAAGCTGGTTCAAACCTCTTCTCTCTGGGAGCCCTACAAATATAGACTGTGTCCTAAGTACCAGAGTGTGATTTATGTGCCAGGTTTTTACAGTATTTTAGGCTATCACAGTTTTCTGTTCACCATCATGCCCTTGCTTTGTTACTTGATGTGTTGTTTCAGTGGGTTTATCTGAAAGTCCGTGCCCTTGTTAACTTTGTGCAGGAAATGAGCAACAAGGAGATCGATTTGACCTACAAGCTGAAGGTGCTGCAACAGGAGCTGGAGCAGGAGGAGGGCTCTCATAAAGCCACCAGGGCACTGCTGGCAGACAAGAGCAAGATCAAAGTGACCATTGAGGGCGCCAAGTCAGAGTCCATGAAGGGTAAGAGCTTCATTGGTGAGAGCAGTTTTTCAACTTACTCTGGTTTGTGCATGAGAGGCTGTTGTAGAAAAACAATCATACAAGATTTGAACTCTGAAATAATATGTATATATTAACAGGAAATCAGATCTAATTGTTCATGTAATAACATATGTCCCATCCAGAGATGGAACAGAAGCTGGCAGAGGAACGAGCAGCCAAACTGCGCCTGGAGAACCGAATCCTTGAGCTGGAGAAGCACAGCAGCATGATGGACTGTGACTACAAACAGGCTCTGCAGAAACTGGATGAACTGCGCAGACACAAAGACTATCTGACTGAGGAGGTGGGGCTGTTTGTTTTCTGTGAACAGTGGAGTATTATAAATAGTAGTCTGCTGCAGAAACAAATCATGCGGCTTATGTAATGTTGTGTCATTCTGGGCTGAATAAGAACCACTTCAGTTTAGAAGCAGTTCAGGAGGTTCAGATGAAACCATGAAAGAGCAAAAACTGATGATCCCACTCCATGTTTCTCTGTTCTGATGTGTTTTATTCACACTTCAGGTGAAGAACCTGACGCTGAAGATTGAGCAGGAGACCCAGAAGCGTAACCTGACTCAGAACGACCTGAAGGCCCAGAACCAGCAGCTCAGCTCTCTGAAGACCTCAGAGAAGCAGCTCAAGCAGGAAACAAATCACCTGCTGGATATTAAACGCAGCCTGGAGAAACAGAACCAAGAGCTGCGCAAGTCCGTCTACTTTCAGTCCTGACACTCTTACAAACATGGCACATATCTGAAACTGAAGACTGATGAAATTGTGTTTCTTTGACTACAGAGAGAGACAGGACACAGACGGGCAAATGAAGGAATTACAGGACCAGTTAGAAGCCGAACAGTATTTCTCTGTGAGTCTACACTTCTCCGCTCTCACACATTTACATTTCAAATGACTAAGAGCAACATCATGGTTCTGCTTCCTACCTGCTAAGAGTTTGTGATCAGCCACCAGAATACATCTGTTCTTTCAGCTCCAGCTAATGCGTGCTCTGGTTTGTTTTGATAACTTGTTAAAAGAGTTAGAACTTAAGAAATGAGCACTGTTCATCAGACATCTTTCAGTTCATTTGCTGTGGTTTTTTTTTCCAGACTCTCTATAAAACCCAGGTCCGTGAGCTGAAGGAGGAGTGTGAGGAGAAGAACAAACTCTACAAAGAAGCACAGCAGTCCCTACAGGAGCTACAGGAGGAGAGGTGAAATATAACTTCAGTTTTACAGTGAAGACGATAGCCGGCCCTAACTCAGATCTGTTTTTGCATCTTGCATGAGTAAAGTTTCACAATTTAACACACCTGTTAAGATTTTATAAATTCAAAGTGCTGTAGTCTTCAAATCGATAAGGCAAAATTTAAGGCCATGAAAAAGTGTTCAAAATCTTAAAGGGATATTCCGGTGTAAAACGGGTTAGACACCCCTCAAGAGATGAATGTAGCTGGCTGCCTGATTCACTAGTTATACCAACTTTAGTAACGACCGCATGATAGCAATGCACAGCGGTCTAGACCTCCACGTGCAAACCTCAACCAAAAAGTCACAAATAATGCTCGAATAGCAGCTAACTTCATCAACAGTACATGTAGGGTCCCAGCCATAGTACTAACCATTAAACATCTTTTTAACTTTGCCTAATTTCTTTAGCAAAGAGACCAAACACAACTCACCCACTCTCTTCAAGCAGCCGCTTGTTTGTGGGGGAGCCCTGACGAGTCGATCAGAGAGTGCACTTGTATTGTGCACTATTGGTGTTCAACTGTTTGTTGAGATCTACATGCAATTTAGTACTTACTATTTGGACTCTTAGTAAAACAGGCCGTCAGTGTCTAAACGGGGAGTTGTAGAATGATCTTCGATAGCAGCATGTCGGCTCAAATATTGGCTGCTAACTTCATGATTTAATTTGATGTTAAAGGAGCTGTCTGTGATTTTATTTCCATGAATGACTCTTATTTGGATCTCTGATTAACTGTTGTTCAACCCCTCTGTTGTTGTTGTTGTTTTGTTTTTTTGTCCGTCTCAGGGACTCATTGGCAGCTCAGCTGGAGATCACACTGACAAAGGCTGACTCCGAGCAGCTGGCACGCTCCATTGCTGAAGAGCAGTACTCAGACCTGGAGAAGGAGAAGATAATGAAGGAGCTGGAACTGAAGGAGATGATGGCCCGCCATCGTCAGGAGCTGGCTGAGAAAGACATCACCATCGGTTCGGTGAGTCTCATCAACTGTTGATGCATTATTGTGCGCCGATGATCTGAAAGGGCTTTGTATAGTGTTAGTTAAAGAGACAGCTGGCTAATAGCCTAAAGAGTCCTCGTAGTTACCCATAATGCAGTGAATGTGAAGTGTTTCCTGTCTCACGCAGCTGGAGGAGGCTAACAGAACTCTGACCAGTGATGTTGCAAACCTAGCCAATGAGAAGGAAGAGCTGAACAACAAACTCAAGGATGCACTTGAAGGTAATCTAACCCTAAAAAACAATATAGGAGTCTGTCAACAACTGATTTCAGGTTTGACATTTAACATTTTGTTTCATGTTCTTTATACAGAATCAGAAAAGTCGAAGGATGTGGAGCAGCAGATCAGTCAGATGAAGCAGGCGTTTGAGAAGCAGCTGCAGTCAGAGAGGACGCTGAAGACTCAGGTGAGAGCATCTAAACCCTCAGCAAAGAGACAGTTTAACCAGAGCTGATCCTACCAAGGATTTTTAGACATGTGTATTCTCTGAGACAGCAACATCAGAGGCTTTACTCTAAAATCAAAGTCTGAGTCAAACCCTCAGGAGCTCTCTCTTAAACCTGACACCTTTGAAAACAGGGTAAATCATGAACTGTGTCTGTCTGCAGGCTGTCAACAAGCTGGCAGAGATCATGAACAGGAAGGAGGTCCGTGGCGGAGGCGGCCGCCGTGGTAATGACACAGACATGCGGCGTAAGGAGAAGGAGAACAGGAAGCTGCAGTTGGAGCTGAGGTCAGAGAAGGAGAAACTCAACAGCACCATCATCAAATACCAGAGAGAGATCAATGAAATGCAAGCGGTGAGGAGGACCACCACACAATCACACCGCACCATTACTCTCAACTCTCCTCTCATGTTTCATCACTCCCTGCTGACCTTGTTACATTTCGTTTGTAGCAACTGGCAGATGAGAGTCAAATGCGCATCGAGCTGCAGATGGCTCTGGACAGTAAGGACAGTGATATCGAGCAGCTGAGGAACCACCTGCAGACACTCAGCGTTCAATCAATGGACTCTGCCAGCGTAGGAAGTGGGCCTGAGTTTGATGCTGATGATGCATTCACAGGTAAGAGCTTGGGACAACCCAAGAGTTCACCTTTCTTCTGGGCCCTCGCCCCTGTTGCTTTCATTTACTGTAACTTTTAAACAAGAAAGCCAAAACCATGAATCTTGAAAATACTCCCCTTCATTATGATAAAGTAGAATTTGGGGAAAAACTGTCATTACAGTGTTTGCTTTTCGCACTATTTAGTGTACTTAGCAATAAAATTTAGATATTGAATTTCCCTTCGGGGATAAAGTTCTTATTCTTAAAACTGTGATTACAGTGTTTGCTTTTGCACTATTTATTGTAATAAGCAATAAAACTTGAATATTGAATTTCCCTTCAGGGATGAATGAAGTTCTTCTTATTCTTAAAACAGTGATTATCAGACTGCTGGCTAAAGCTTCATTTAGCTGCAATAAGACCCAGACTGCTGTCTGACAGCTAAAATGTTCACGCTGAGTAAAGAAAATTCTGAGTGATTAGATTTTAAAAATCTCAGATTTATTATAGAAAATTAAGGGCTTATTGCAAATGCCCCTTTTTTGTAAACAAAACTTACATTTGTGATTTATTGTGCAACTTTAGTTTCAATGATAAAGACAGTATTAAAGACGTCATACATAAATACATGGATTTGATGTATGTTACTTTGCAGGTAAGGTGAGGCAAGTTAGACAAGATTTTAGATTTTTGATCAAAAGATGAAAAAGGATGATAAAAGTATCATATGTAGATATTATTGGGGGGGTCTGAGCTAGGGTGACCATGCATCCGCTTTTACCCAGACATGCCCTCTTTTTTGGGGGGCTGTCCGGCCTTGTCCAGGGGAGTTGATAAAATCCTTCAAATGGTCGCGGTTTTGTATGGAAGTTTTGAGTTTGTGTCGCATGGACTAACTGAGATAGAAGCGTATAAAAAACACTCAAAATTTACTGAGCGCGACTTTGTGACTCTGCCCCGCATAGTAGTGTCCTCTTTTTAGGGATTCAGAATATGGTCACTCTGTCTAAGCAACACTTGTGTTTTCAAATGATATTCCTAAATTGTAATTTTATGAGTACTCCAATGCATGGGAATATACAAGTCTTTGGACACATGCTAAGTCCTTTGGTAAATGTTTTTGGCTAAGAAGCAACCATTGATGTTTAGATAAGATAAGAGGAACTTAATTTATCCCCAAATGGAAATTCAATAAAATCTTATCAAATTTCTCACATTCAGTCACACTTACAACAAGTCTTAATGGTTTCTTGTTAACTCAATATTTGATAGTGTTCTGAAATCTGATCACATCTTAATATAACTTTGAGGTTGAGTAAGAGTTTTGGTTTGAAAAGTTGTGCTGATCTTCTTTTATTACTCATTCATCACTTTCTCCTCATTTGCTTTTTTATATTATCTTCCTCCTTCTCCCTGTTTTCCCTCCGTAAAATCCCCTGAGTCAGAGCTGCTCTTGTACACACATTTGTTTCTGAACCTCAGAAAATCAGTTTCATAAACTGAGCTTTCATTTCAAAGGTTCAGTTCTCTGAGTAGACACTTTGAGGGCTTGTGTAAAGTAAACTCAGCAGCTATTAGATGTGGATCAATATCGGCTTCATCCCCGCCCTATAAAAAACAAGTTCAGTTTAAGGAAACCAAATAAGTGCAGCAGCAACCTTGGCCTTTTGTTGGTTGGAAAGTGTTTTTTATGGTGGCAGTGATATGTAATTCCATAATGCTTACACGCTGTAACCTCCACATTTCTTTTTCTCTCCCACACAGAAACGAGGCTGGAGGGCTGGCTCTCTCTCCCTGTCAGAAACAACACCAAGAAATTTGGATGGGAGAAAAAGGTATCAAAAAGAAAGTGCTGTGATGATGTAAAACACTCTCAGTCCTTGTCTAACGTTTCCTCTCCGTTGTTGTTATTCTGCTGCAGTACGTTGTAGTGAGCAGCAAGAAGATTCTCTTCTACAACAGCGAGCAGGACAAGGAGCAGTCCATCCCTTACATGGTGCTGGATATAGAGTAAGTTTTCAGCTCAGTTTAGTTTGTTTGTGAGCGCATTATTTTCTTTTTAACAGCAGCTCTTCGTATTTGTCTTTATTTTTGAACACAGCAAACTCTTCCATGTGAGGCCTGTTACTCAGACAGATGTGTACCGCGCTGATGCCAAAGAAATCCCCAGGATATTCCAGGTTTGTCTAATCGTCCTCTAAAACTGAAACAGCTGGATCAGCAGTGTTTGGGCACGATTAATTGATGATCGATTAATTGATCGTTAAGAATTTCGTAAATCACGCAAAATTTCGATCAATCTAACGTTATTAAAAAGGGCTGACAGCGTGCATCCATCCTCCAGCTGCTGTCAAGCAAAGATCAACCTCTACTGATCGGGTGGGATACCCCTTTGTCCAGTCAGTGTGTGTGTTGAAGCAATAAAGTGACTGTGACCGTGCAGAGGGATTTTGACATTTTACAAGGGGAGTGATACTTACGTAGAAGTCGAAAAAAAACCATGGAGAAAGCGAGAGGAAGTGTTGTATGGGATGTTTTGGAGCGGAAAAATGACGAGGTTTACTGCAAACACTGCGATGCTGTGTACAAGTTCAACACGACAACGACCCCAATGATGTACCACTTGAACCACATACATCAGACTGAGGTTAATGAATCCTCCAAGTGCTCTCAGTCTCAACTTTAGGGTGACTAGATGTCCCTGATTTCAGGGGACAGTCCCCGTTTTGGATGACCTGTCCCCAGCTAAAGTTGTCCCCGTAAATGTCCTCAATTTTAGCGTTTCATGAATGAGAAAAAAACTAAGTTTTTTACGGTAGCTGAGCAGGTAGGAAGTGCGCATGAGCATGTAGTCATAATTTATATGATTAATTGATCAAGGGACTTTCTTTAAATGCCCATTCCTAGTTAGGTGTTCGTTTAGCAGACGATAAACTTCTATTCTCATTCTTACCCTCCAGATTCTTTATGCAAACGAAGGTGAGAGCAAAAAGGAGCCCGAGTTTCCCGAAGCCATGGGAGAGAAGTCCAGCTACATCTGCCACAAAGGTCATGAGTTCATTCCAACACTCTACCATTTCCCCACCAACTGCGAGGCCTGCACCAAGCCGCTATGGAACGTGTTCAAGCCCCCGCCTGCTCTGGAGTGCCGGCGCTGCCACATCAAGTGCCACAAGGACCACATGGACAAGAAGGAGGAGATCATTGCTCCCTGCAAAGGTAAGAATCTCTCCTATTATTTATGTGGGTTGAGAAGATCCGTAAACGCAGGTTTTCATTCAAAGAAGAATTTAGCTCTATAGAATATCTTTTAACCATTTATACCCCGAAATATGTACAAAACAGAACCATGTATTCAAGAAAAACTTGATTTCTTTCATTGGTGCAGCTGCAAGCTAGAAAAAAAGTGAGTTTTCACCATTATTAGGATTATCACTCACTTTATTACCTCCACCAGTGAACTATGACGTGTCTACGGCCAAGAACCTGCTGCTGCTGGCTATATCCCAGGAGGAGCAGCAGAAGTGGGTGAGCCGACTGGTCAAGAAGATCCCCAAGAAACCTCCTCCAGCTGAGCACTTTGCACGCTCCTCGCCACGCGCCTCCATGAAGGTCCAACCCAGCCAGTCCATGAGGAGGCCCAGTCGACAGCTCCCCACCAGCAAGAGCAGGTAGCATAGCAACGAGGGATTTGCTCCTTCTGATTTACGCTTGCAAGCTACTTTTTAGATAAACAGTCTGAATACAGGTGTACTTGATCACAGGACTGCACTGATCCAAGCATACCTACTTTGTAGTAAATGTGACTTTTTGAAGAGTATGTCCCTCCAGATCTTTGTTAGGTCTGTCTCTGTTTCCACCTGGTTCTGCTTCGTGCCCTCTCGTCTTTTAAGAGCGCGGCACAGAGCACCAGTGCTGGACCGCTGGAGTCACAAAACCAGGGATTAGAGAAACAGTGGTTTTCTACATCCATGATGAGCTCTGAAATCTCTGACTTGTTGACTCCAGACCTGGCTCTGCTCACTAAGACAGTTTGCTGGTGTAGTCAAGTGAATCTTGGAGTGTTGTATTTTGAAAATGAACCTGGAGTTTTAATGTTGTTCCGGTGTCTGACTTCTGTCTTTCTCAATCTGCCCTGTGCTGATTGAAACGTCGTGCTCTGTCATCCAGCAAAAATAGAAGTCGTGTGAATCTGCTGCAGAGGAGACGAAGTAGAAATGCGAGGCAGCAGAGTTAGTGGAGAGAAACGCTGTGACTAAAGTGAAAACCTGTATTCTGCTGCTGGGGGGAGTGGAGACAGACTGAGCACAGATCTGGTGGAGTTAAGGGGTGAAACCAGGAGAAGACGATGGAGGGGAATGTAGCTGACTGAGATCCAGAAATGTAAAAAAAAAAAAAAAAAAAGTCTTTCACTTGCTTTTTTTTTTCCTTTCATGGGCCAGCCTGACAGGATAGAATATAAGGTGAAAATGAAGTGTCATAACTTGTTTGTAAACATCAAAATAAGAGATTGACTAATTATTGGGTTGGGCTGATTAATTAAGCCAATTTATGGCGTTATGTAATCGTCTGCATCATGTATTACCTATTAAAGGATAGCTGAATAATGTCTGCAGGCAGCCTCATCAGTGTGGCTGCTGCTGCTGCTGCTGCTGAGTAATGTCAGCACTCTCCTAATTGATAGTAAGTGTACCCATCCTGGATGACAGCATCTTAAATCTTAAACCAGTTACTGGCTAGTGGTTTATTTAAAGTCTGTTATGCTGCACAGAATAAATCTGTTGATTAAGGCTAAAACACACAATATCCATATTGAGCGCATTCTGTAAGTGTCGCGTATCATGTAGCAAATAGGTTTCCATACTAATCAATGCAGCATCGCACACAGGACACGTATCAGCTCCGTCTCAGAAGCGTGTAGAGTGCGGCTCCGCTAAAGATACACACAGAGTCCATATTTGCTGCTCTACGCTCCCTGATCCATGTGGACCCCAACAGAACTTTTAACTGCTAACTCTGTCTGAAGGTAACAGCACAGCATAAAGTAACATAGTTGACTTTATTAAACACAAGTAAACCAGCAAGAACTGAAACTGTAAAATAACGTTGCTTTTTCACATATAGTAGAGGCTCAACAGTCACTGAATTATATCCAAATAAGCAAGAAATAGACCACAGAACGGCAAAACAACCTGTTGTGAGCATGTTGTTTCCTCTATACTGAGCCCAGCTGACCGGGGCTGCACTACGCTGCTGCTACCACGCTCCAAACACACATCCTGTATGTGATAGACAGCGCTGCCCTATGGAGCAGAGACACGACGCTGACGGAACACGCTCAATACAGATCCTGTATGTTTTTGGCTTTAGTCTACAACATAAACCAGTGTATTTAAGAATGAATTCAAAATCCATCCAGAACATGTTTCTGGACAAGGTAATGATGTAAATTTGATTGTGATGTACATGGAATGATGGCTGGTATGATTACGAAATTGTGATATTTTTATCAGTTGCAGAAACAACATTACGGTGTCATTCTACCTGCTCTGTAATCATCAGGAAACTTCCACTAAAAATCTACAAGTTCAGTATTTACATCCCCACTCTCAGTTCCATGTGAAAGACTGTGACATTGAACTCAGAAAAACTTCATATTTATGCAGAGCAGCCACTCTCCCAGTATAGAACTGATCTTGTGTTTTAATCTAAAATTCACCTCAGCCTCTCAGAGAAGTGTTTCTGTGTGAGCAGCTGTGGAGCGTTTTCCTCTGAATACATGATCAGCCTGCAGAAGATGAGAGCCTCCTCTCAGGTCCTCCTCATGTTGTCGGTTTCCCTTATGTAACACTTCAATTACTTAATCATGGGAACAATAGCCAGCTCTGTGCTCGACAAGAAGGGAGTTTATCTGTGCCTGTGTGTCAGCATGTGGTGCTGTTTCTGGCTATCAAAACTAATCTTCCCTTTCAGATTGGAGGACTTTGGTGTTCAGGACTGGCACTGGGCGTTGGATGATATCGATGATGATTGTTCCTCTATTCATTTCTGATGAGCCCATATGGTAACACTGATTGCAGTGTGTGCTGTGTGCTGCAGTGATAGCAGTGGCATTAGTACAGTGTTCCCATGAGGCATCCGTTTACACAGTGAGAGTCACAATTCGCTGTTTTTGATCAAACTTTGTGTATTTCAAAACTTCTGCTTTAAATTACATGAGGCTGAACACTCGTGTGTCTAAAGCTGCTGAGCTCAAGGAGGCTTTGCTCTCACATCCAAGTCCTTAAAGACCCACTCCGATGAAAATCATGGTTTTCTTGTTTCTATATGTTCATATTCTGATACTACAGGACATATTATAAGAAAAGTGTGAAATTGCATTTCTGAGTATTTCTGCATTCCAATTCGCTGTAAATGTCTGGCAGACCCAAACAGCAGGCTCAGACACAGTGAGATTTCCTACATAGCAAATTCAAGCTCCGTCCCCGTCTGAAAAGAAGAGAGGACAATCGCAGAACAAGCCTGCACGTTAGTGGACTGTAATATTAACTTTTATCATGCCCCCAAAGACATTAGTGTCAGAGAGCTGAATAGCTTCTATGTTACCTGCCACTTCTACTACACCGGTAATGTTAGGCTACAAACTAGTGTGAAGAGGAGTGTGAGAGCAGCGCTGTCTCCACCCACGACTCAGAGGTGAATTGCTAATGAGCTACTGGAGCTCTGCAGAAGAAAATTCCTTGAAAATGAAACGGGTAATGTGATTATTTTTTAAAAACTTCATAATCACAATTTAAAGACCACTGATAGCGTGGATTTTGGACCAAAACACCACACTGTGTGAAGGTAGTATGAGGAGTAATAAAAAAAAAAATAGAAAACAATCGGATTGGGACTTTAAACATTTCTCACTTGTGGTGACTTAATGACCTTTGACCTCTGACCTCGCAGGTCAAATGGCTCCAAAATGCGGCGAGAAGAATCTCACATTGGACACTGGTACAAATGATGACTCCTCCCACCTTGTTCTCCCTTTGCCCTGACGTTTTCCTGCAAGAGAATCAGTCCCTGAATGTGTGTTTGTTTTTTGTTTTTTTACAACCAAATGTCCAGACACAGCCCTGGTGGTCAGTATGTGGTGCTGCTGGTGTTTATGTTTGGCCTCTCTGCATGTGCTTGTTCTGGCAGCTTGCTGCGCCACTGGGGTGATTGAAAAAAGATGTAAAATGTTTGAGGTTTGAAAGAAAAATACTCAATCACATATTTCACATGGTGGAAGCAGAACATTTGATGAAGGCTGATCTTACACATCGTTCTGCACACTGTTTTACTCCTTTTTCTCTGCTGTTTTAAAAGTCTGTTTTATACAAGATACAAAAGAAGCATAAAAGCTGCAGTACAGAGATATGTTTATAGTAATGCGGAAAGTGTCTCAGTCGGTTTGGTTTAGCTAATCCATTCTTAAACCTAAAATGACCAGGCAGACGGGTCTATTGTTGCTTATTGCTCAGAAATCAGTCAAAACTGGGCACACATGTTTATTTAACATGGCTAAACATGGGATCAGAGAGTCTGCACTGTCAAATATATTAGCAGTATGTGGATAACAACACTAGCTGAGGTCACACCACCGGCCTTTAGCTCTCCCTGCAGAGTAATATTAAAGGGATATTCCGGCATAAGTTTAAGCCATAGTCAAACACACCTTAACACCAAGTTAGACACCCTGTCGGGAGATGAATGTTGCTTCTCTAGAAGGTTTGATGGATGGGTGAATACTGTAGTCTTTACTGCAAACAAACCACAGTAGTTGAAGTCTTCCTGGTGAAGGTCTATTTTCTGAAACATTGTGAAATAAGTGCATTACTCCAGGATCTTATTTCACTCCCTGTTTCTAAATCTCTCCTCCTTTTTCTCTTTCTCCAGTTAACCTTGCTTGGGAGCGTGGTGCATCGTGAAGGTGGTGGGGTCTCCTGCTTTTTCAAAGACAGTATACAAGCTCTGTTTGCAGATCAGCGCACTGAACTCCACATTACTTCTCCACACAACCCCACCCTGTCGTGCTGCAGCCTGTGAGAGTGACAAAGTCTTTTTGTCCCCTTTAGTTAAACTCCCTCCCCGGCTATCAAACCCACCTACAATCTCTTCACTCAGCTGGATGGCTTGTAAGCATATTAGCCCAAGTCCTCTCGAGGGACCTTGGCTAGAGCAATTAAGTGTCCCTGGGGGGCTGGAATAGCTCATCAGGCTCTTGTGGAACAGAAGAGGAGAGCTCTTAGGAAGGGGAAACACTTACCTCAACACTTCTCAGCAGGACTCAATGACTGAAGGACACTCTTCCTCACACCTTTTGGGGAATCTCGTGGCCAAGTCAAAAGACTTTATCTTTTAATGATTGTGACCAGTATGAAAGGTTTAATGGGGGAACACTACACTCAAAAGATTGGGCTGAATGCAGCTGAGGTGGATGACTTCATCCCAGATACATTTCTTATTCAGACCCCCCAACATGATTGTAGCGTGCTTGGACAAATCCTGCTTTTAGATGTGCTTCCAAATGAGTCACCAAAACCTGAATAAGGTACTGAGCTGCAACTTTGAGGAAAGTCAGCTAGGCGGGAAGAGTGTCAGCTTCTTCCAGGGTTTGAGCGAACAAAGCCTCCAGTGCCTCTTATTCAGATTTCTGACTCGAGCACGCTCTGACTCGCTGGTGTGTGCGGACTGGTAATGGTTCCTGAGTGAAGAGAATCCTGCTCTGAAAAGCATTAGATGTCATAAGATCCTCCCAATCCCATAATCTTACCAACCTGCACTGTCAGATAAGAGGGTTAATGTTTACTGAATTGAAGGGATGCACCGTTAAAGCTTCTCTGATCCGAGCTCGGCTCCTTTTGTTTGTTTGAATGTACATCTGGGCTTTACCAGAGATGACACACAGGCATTGTAATATTCTATCCAAGTATACTTGACTGAAGCCCCCTTTTGATCACCAACTACTCTGAGTGAGCGTGCATGAGTTTGTCTTTTCAGGCCTCACACTTCAGTGCTGTCACATAAGGGTCTCTGCTCCCAGAGTTTAGTTTTGAGGTCATTCCTGGTTGTGACAGTGAAGGCAGTGTAACCAATATGAAGCAGAAATTATGAAGGTATGCAATCACAGCCCATGAATCTACTTACTGAGCAGCACTATTCCATTTTTTTTAAGGTGTTTGTTCTGATATTTTTGTATTAAAAGTAACCAGACGGAGTTTGGGCACATCTTTGAGTGTGTGTGACTCATATAGCAAAAGGAGAGTAACTATGTGTGTGTGCGTTTGTATGTGTGTGTGTGTGTGTGTGTGCGCGCGCGTGTGTGTGTGTGTACAGAGTGCTCTCCTTTAACCAAGAAGCATGTTTTATACATATGAATATACACAGTATATATTTTACATGCCATACAGTGCACATTATATTATTTATACAGCCTTGTCCACTTTGTATTTAAGGGCTCTACATCCAGATTGCATGTTTGCTACAGAACAGCTCTATAATAACAACTACTTCAACAATAAAGACATGGATGTGCTTTTTGGTTTGTGATTTTTCCTCTTTGTCAAACAGTACATTTATCACAAGCTTTCTTTCTGTTAAAGACCCACTCCAATGAAAATCATGTTTTTCTCGTTATCTACATGTACATATAGCAATTTTCTGATGCTACAGGACATATCATGAGAAAAGTGAATGCAAAATTGCATTTCTGAGTATTTCTGCATTTAAATCACTGTGAACCTCTGGGAAACCCAGACATCAGGCTCAGGCAGAGTGAGATTTCCTGCGTCACAACTTCAAGCTACGCCCCCGGAGCCCTGCTGTGCAAGCCAGACTCAGAGAAGTAGAGAGGGCGATCGCAGAACAAGCGTGTGCATTAGTGGACTGCAATGCTCGTAAGAAAACTGATATTCACTTTCATCGTGCCCCTAAAGACATAAGTGTCCAAGAGCTGAATAGCTCCTGTGTTACCTGCTTCTTCTACTACACCGGCAATGTTAGGCTACAAGCTAACATAAAGAAGAGTGTGCAGAGCAGCGCTGTCTCCGCCCATGACTCAGAGGTGAATTGCTAATGAGCTACTGGAGCTCTGCAGAAGAAAAGCCCTTGAAAATGACACAGGTAAGGTGAATTTGGCTAGACCACTAAAAACACTTTAAGTAGTTAAAAAAAAACAAAAAAAAAAAACATGAGAGTGGGACTTCAACAACTTTGTATATTGAAGTGGATTTTGGACAAAAACGCCACGCTGTGTGAAGGTAGAAAGTTTGCTTTATTAAAAAAAAATCCAGGGAGAACTGAACGCTCACAAAAGATTTTCAAATACAGTATTTCCTCTCCTGAGTAGAGTGATCTCAGTCATACATGGAAAAAACAAAAAAACAAAAACAATGGTCTCTGCTCCCCAAACATTTACACTAACTGGAATGTAACAAAAAGAAATGTGTGGGTTAAACACTGAGGTAAAAACGTTAGAAAAAGCATATTTTATGGGTCTGTAATACAAACACTGCTTGCATAATCGTTTTTTTTTGTTTGTTTTGTTGTCTCTGTCAAGAAGAACAGAATGAATCTGAGCAGTAAACTGAGCAGGAACACACCTGCAGTTTGGCAGGACAGCAGGTTAACATCAGGACTCCACTTTAAAGCTTAGTCATCTTTCTTGGTCCTGCTGCTGCTCCTCTGGTAGTACAGTACAGTGAGCAGCACCCACATGTTGAGCAACGTCATGGCGATGAACCGCACCAGAACTGAGGCAAAAAGAGAAGTTTTATGAGAAACAAGGATTCACTCACAAGATCATGAAGATAGATAGACATCCCAAACTGATGAGGATGTACGAGTGAAAGTACCAGAGCGGCCTCTTGATGTCTCTGTTGGTTAACACTTTGTTCTTCTACATGAGACTGTCTGCATCTACTCTTCTGTAAAGAATCGGGCTGTTTAACATGCAAAAGCTGATAACACCACTTATTAAAGGGACATTTCAGTATTTTTGAAGTGGGATAGCATAAGTCATATGTAACTGTGGAGTGTACTGGCCACAAAAAAAACAAAAAACAAAAAAACATGAATATTGGAGAAAGTCTGTAAACTGCAGTGTTTAGTAGACTCTGGTAAACAATGCTGACTGCAGCCATGAGTGAACAGCTGGTATATTTTGATTCTAAAAGGATCAACTTTTGACCCAAGTCTTGTTTGTGAAAGTACGTAGTTTTCTTGATGTGTAGGCAGTGGCTCCTTGTGTGCACACCGGTACCATCATGCTACCGCTTTTACCTTTGGCTCACTGAGTCGCCCTTTTCCTCTGTACAGTCTGGCTCATAAAGGTGTACATGTGTGAAATGGCATGTCATCGGCACAGGTAGAATCACTCATTAGTTTACGTGGTTGTATTTTTTGTTTCTTTGGGCTTTCTGACGGTAAAGTGAAGTGGAGAAAACAGTCTCTTAGTTGAAGGGGACTGGACTGACCAGCATCCATTGTGGCTTATGAAGTTGTTAGTCTCATGTAACCTCACTTCAAAAATCCTTAAATAGCTCTGTAACTTAAATATCAGGGTCATTCTAACAAGCATGAATTCACAGGAAATATTCCTCCTACAATACCTTACAAGATGAAACTGTGTTAATTTAAGCATAGTTAAAACATTCTGCTTATGAAATACTTAGACTCTCATTGGAAACATGTGAACAGTGTATATATGTATATGTCTGCGACAAACATCAAAAGCATGTTTATTATCACTGAATTAACTTTATAAGGGTTAATTAAAGATAAATATAAACTTGTAAGGAAACTTATTAACAGCTTCCCTATAAGCAGTCAGTGGAATATTAAAGGCTTTATTCATCTTTATGAAACACTGATCCAACTCTAGATCCAGAAAGTGAACTCACAAGGCATTCATCAAAACCTTTTATAGTCTTATCAATGTTCAGTAAATTATAAATAGGCCTATAAGTGCTTCGACGGTAGGTTATAAGCAGTAATAATGCATTTGAGTAATGATTGTAATAAAGGCTCATACAGATGTCTTCATTTTTAAAAGCTGTCTTCATATTGTAGTTGGTAATAAGTTTATTTCAAGCAAATAAATAATATGGTTATTAATCTCCAATTAACCCTTAATAAGTCTAATTGATGTTAATAAGGGCAGGAATAAAAACTGTCAATGAATCTCTTTAATGAGAGTAGTATGTGTTTTATAAGCAGTAAGAAATGTGTTAATTATGTAATTAGAGACGTTCAAAAGCATCTTTTAATGGTCAAGTAAGCAGCTTTTAACTTTGAATTAATGCTCATTACAGGGACCTTCATGTAAAGTGTTTCTTATATCTCTTTAAGGTCATGCTATTGCTATGACTCACTAGATCAACCACAAAAACACGAAAAGCCATTTAAGGTACATACAGGCGATCCTAGTTCTAGACTTTCATTCTTTCTTTTAAAACTTTGTGGTGCTGTACAGGTTGACAGGTCTGAGATATGAAATGAAACCGGCAGTATTCAAGGAGTGCTGATTTGCTTCTCCTCCCACACTGTCTGTTTTACAAGCATTTCAAACAGCTATTGTGTTGTCTGTTTCAGACACTTTAAACGTACACACAGCCAACACATAAGCTGTCATTGAAGAGTATAATTAATGTGCCACTCAGTGCTGTGCATATATAGAGAGAGATTTGCATGTCTGCTGATACTGAAAATGAACTTTTTGAGCTTTTAACTTCTGATAGTGATAGGTTGGTGATATTGTGCATCACTAATATCAACTATTAAGCTACACAGAGCCATTAAAGAGATGCTCCATGACCATTTATGTCAGCACAATAGCTACGAGGCCATGCATAATGACCATGAATTTACTTTAAATTACAACTAGGGGACACAAACCAACCACAAATTATTTACATCACATCTATCAAGAGACCCAAAATCTCTATAATTAATGCTAAACAGCTGCAGCAATAATCACAGAACTTTAACAATTGAAAACAACTGTAACTCAAAAAGAAGCAGAAGAGCTAAACAGGGTGAAAAACAGCCATAAATATCGCCAGACGAACAATAATGTTGCAGAACAAGTTTTAAACCTTTATGAGTGTGAGCCTTGACCCTGTGTAGGGAGCATTGGCAGCTTTTCTATATGAAGGCACTGAGGGAGCTGTTGTTTCATTATCTATTGACTATATACCAAGAAGGAAAGTCAAAATATACTTTACTTTAAAAACTAAGAAAGACGGTTCTTTTTTATATTTCACTCTGCACAGTAAACAAACCTCCCAAATTCAATTTCAAAGTGCCGAAAAACACAATTTGTGTCAGAAAACACACACTCAGCAGTTTGACAATTAACAGGGGACACTCATCTGACTGAGAACCAAGATAGGACTCCTTTGGTGGATTTAATGCCTCTGCTGTGCAGTCTTAATTGAACACCAGATAAAGCAAAAAACAACAAAAAGTTGAACAGTAATGCATATTCACAAAAAAAATATTTGCAAAGTGTTTAAGAACAAATGAAATGAGAAAATATTATTACAAACTACTTCATTTGTAAACTCGTGACTCACCCTGCATGTCTCCAGTCGTCACTGTGGTGGTGTAAATCCGTGCTGAAACATAGAGGAAGCCATGCTGATGATATCCTCATTATCCCACAGAGCATCTAATATTAAATTAATGAGGCATGGAATTGCTAATTTCTTTTAATTAAAAGCTGAGTAAATAGTATTTTACATATTCATGAAGTGTGAGTAACAGTACTTCAGGGAAGACAGATTGGTTAAAACTTCCTGAATGTAATAAGAACGCTAAGCATGAGGGCTGACAGATAAGAGGACATTAGCATTTATCTGAAAAGTAGAGATAATCATGTTTCATACATATTTATTGTATCACTCTTGAAGAAGACTCTTGGTATTTAGTCTCATGTATTATTAATGAATTTCCAATAGGAGTGTTAGAGTTCCAACACATTTTGAAACCCTCTTTTTTAACATGTTTTAAACCGTGTTATTTCTGCAGATGATTTTTAGACCGCATCACAGAGGAGGGGCAGGAGAAGCAAGGAAGAGAGACCAAGGATGACATGTATCCAGGGCCTAAGGTTTGAGTCGAACCCTGGACAGGTGTGGTCATGTAAGGCTTCTGCTCTGCTCTACCAACTCATCCAGCCAGCAAACTTGGTCTCTTTTTCGAGGTCTTAAGGGCACAATCACTTATTTATACAAGGTTTAAGAAAATCACCTCAGATGAAGGGCTGACACGGCTGTGATGTTATTCATTTTAATGTAGTAGCACAGATTTGATACAGCTACGTGACATTTGTAGACAAGAGAGGATATGAAGTCTCAGAACCAGGTAAAAGTGTGCCTAAAAGAGAACAGCTCAAATGCCCATATGTAGTACTCACCCATACAGGTGTATGTGGCCATACCCCAGGAGAGGGCGCTAACCTGTCCAGCCTCCTTGGACTTCCACAGGCACTGAAGCTGAGCAAATTTACTGGCAGCACTGATGAATGTGCAAAGACTCTGAGGAGAAAGAGGAGGTCAGAGACCCCAGATTCAGTTTGCAGTGTTTTTGCATTTCTATTTTTAAAGAGATCTATAACTCAGTTCTCAGAGGGAAAAGTTCAAACACTTTATGATGTCTGCAAAATTTCAACTCTGAAAGGAAAGGCCACTTCAAAAGTGCTGCTTTCACCTTTTTATTACCATCAAGGCGGTTCAGCATTTACTGTTTCTGGGTGCCCTCTGAGATACACAAGGTGCAATGAGATAGAGGATAGCTCTTTTTTCAAATCTCCACCTCATTTCACTGACTGACGACATGCCAACTTTTTGCTGACTCTGACTTATGATTGAGGTTAAACAAGTTTATTACCATGGAAACAAGTTTATTACCATGGCCAAATCTATGATCCACTTGTCCACGGTGAGGAGTCTCCAGCCTCCGACAAACCTGAGCACATTCAGTTAAGGCATTCATTCAGTAAAAGGTTTCAACAGAGTCATTGCTTCTCTTCAGAGCTGAGTGAACACCTTCACATGATTTGAAAGTTATGAAAGGATACACCAGGGCGTAGACCAGGCTCTGCTTCAGGCTGCCATTGTAGTGAAGGATCAGGAGAAGAAGAATGACATCTATGGACAGACAGCAGAATATAACTCACAGCTGATCAATGAGCCGCAGGTTTCAGGAGACTGAGTCTGACTGCGTTTAGAGAGAACATCACCAATTTTTCACAGCCTCATTAATTCACCCACACACTCATATCTCCCCGGTTGAAACACTCACAGAAGATATCAATATTTTTCCTGTCACTAACAGACCTCTTGGGGTGGACACTTAATGGTCCAGCAGCCTGAGTCCAGTGGGGAAACTGGTGTTGTGTTTTTCAGGCTCATACAGATGGAGATTATGGATGGAGATCAATAGAGGGTCAAAGATGACTTTATGCCGCTCTCTAAGGAAACTCGGATCAAGTCATTTGTTCCAAACTACACGATCATTGAGAGACCTGAACTCTACAACAAGACATTTATTGCTGCTCACATGTGGAGGGTTCATTGATTTTCTGTCAAAGCCCTGTGTATAATATTTAACCACGGTCAAACATTTGTCATATTGATGTTCATCTTTCTCGAACATGATTACTTTTGACCACAGACTGTGTGTGGGGAGATGGCGCAGCCTGCATGACGACACCCATTCATTTGTGGCAGCCCAATGTTATGCTGTGCTGTTGGTGTTGTAGCTGCAGACAGTGTTGTTCTTTCAAAGCCAGAGCGGGTGTTTTGACCAAGCAGCAACCTCGAAAATCGAAGCCAGTGTGGAAGTGCAAAAGGTTGGTAAGTGTTAACTTACCAAGCCAAGACCTCAGAAGACAAGACAACCCTGTTACAGCTCATTTTTGAACATCCATTTTTACAGCTGAATCGAGCATCTTTACAAAAGCTGTTCTGGTCCCTTCATTTATTGATTTTTTACATTTTTAATACTTGTTTTGATCATTTTTGAGCTAAAAATTCGACACAATGTGGGGCATGGCTGATCAGTCACATGTCTATCCATTTTTGGGGCAGCCAGGCTACAGCCTCACCTCCACATCCCTGCAGATTTCTAACATTGGGAAACCAACAGGCGATGCCATCGACACTGGGACAACCATGTTTTATAGTCTTTTATTTTGGCATCCATTACGACGTATGTATCCCTTTGAGAAGTGACCATGGTAGCAGCCTGTCAATCACTGGGTAGGTCCACACCAAATATACTCTGCTCTATTATCTAGTTGACTTGGAATTTAACAGTAATTTTCAATGTGAGCATCACATCGTGTCAAAGAGAACCTAAAACTAGCAGTTCACATCATAAACTCACTCAGACAGTGATTATTGAGGAGGATGATCAAATGAGAAGTAGAATTATTTCCCACCAGACATCAGCGTTTGAGTAAGAGTTTTGTAAAAATTAGCTGAATCAAGTTGCCAAGTCAACATCATCTGCAAAGGCCAATTGCCTTCTTTGTGATCTGGTTGTCCAGTCGGTTTCTCATCAAAGAGGCTCAGCTGATATTGATCTCCTATGACTGAATTCAGTACACCTCCTATTGAAAAGTTACACTTCAAAAAATCTTAACCAACCTTTTGAGGCTTAGCCTTCAATTGAACTTCTAAACACCTTTCAGTTCTCATAATAAAACCTGTTCATTAAATAGGCTCATAATCAGCACTGATTTGATCTGCGTCTGAAATAGACGACTCACCTTGAGCAATAAGAATGGGATATTCCAGGTATGTCGGAGGAGGGTAGTCATAGTACATCTGATATGTTACAAACACAATGAACCTGTAAGACAAAAGGTTTCATGTTATTGTACTGTGCTGAAAGGTTGAAACAAAACCACCAAAGCAATGATCCAAATGGTAGAAATGGGATGTTGAGAACACTCATGGTCTGATGCAGTAAAGGAGAATTTTCCTTGCCACGTCATGCTTAACCTTTGTCATTATGACTTCATGGAACGAGCCTAACTGTGACTGTTTATGCTTGGATCAATGCACTCTGCAAACATGATGAACCAGCAGTGCTGAACAGAGTTGTAGATTTCAGGTAAGGACCATCATCTGTTGGCTAGGCCCCGTATCCTGTTTATCGAGCTAACATGCAGATGGATGAATGTGGTGACTGATGGTGTGTGTGCAGGTTTCTGTGTGCAGGCATGGCAATGGCTTACAAACGGATGCAAGTTGGAGCTGCGACAACAATAAACCACCAAAACCAGATCAAGTTAAAGCTGCACAGGATGAATCTTTACAAGTCAGATGGCAAATGGAGGTCTGCAATATCCTGCAGTTCTTGAAAGGAAGTGTGCATGTAGCTGCACACTTCACGCTAACGCTTCAAAGCAGAATGACATTTAAAGAAGAGCTGAGTGCAGCTGAAGTAAGAGATTTTCATTTTAAACTCTCAGGGATCATAAACTAACTTCATCAACCTTTGTCTGAAGAATAATTTGCTACATCACTGAATCAAAATCCCAAAAATAATCTTTTGGGTGTTTTTTGTTCTCAGACAGGCTGAAAACTAATTTTTTTTAAAGGCAATAAATTTTAGCAGCTATCACCATGATCACTCAAACATTAATAATGTCTCACAGTAACTGAGGAGGAATCCGATTTTACTCCATGCCTATCTGATTTGTGGTCACATGCAGTTGATTGCCAATGTTCCACTCCAATAAAAATAGGCTTAGCAAAGATTCATTACCAATAGATCTGACAGTTTGAATCAATGCTAGTATTATATCTTTGGAATACCCTTGTCATTTCTGTTCACCAAATGAAGCTTTAACACTTTACTTTTTCCTGAAGCATGCAGTGACTGTCGGCTATCGCTCACCAACACAGTAGAGACATTTAGAAGGGTGCAGCTGCTGCCAGACACAGAGGAGAGACAGGACGCTGAGAATTCATACAGCTTTACACATAGGGTAGAGTGACTCAGTCTCTTGCTATGAATGATTTTTAATATAGAACCTACAAAAATAGCAGAAAAGGCACATCTATTCTAAGATCATTTTTCAGTTCTTTATGAGGTAATCTAATGCACTGATTTAAATACTTTAAATTATAACACTTAATGTTCTCAAAAATCATAGGAAATCAATCACAGCTCTGCACTCTGTATCCAAAACACAACAGTTCAGTATAAAACCAGCATACAGAGATTTATTTATTTATTTGTCACAGGGCAGCTGTGCCCTATTTTATTCTTAATCTCTAACAGACACCAGCTTTAAATCCTCCACTGGCTACAATAATCAGTCTGTATAAAGATGCGTTTCCCCTTTTATTCCCCCACTAAAGGCAAACACCCTTGGTAGCGCGTCAGGTGGAGCAAAACAGAGATTTACAAGGTTTAATGAAGAAAAAAGGTAAGTGCTTTGTTATATTCAGGCCGAATTATGTAAAATGGTTCACATATTCAGGACACGTCTGAAAAGAACTTATACATCTGCGAAATGTTGTGTGTGACCAAGATCGCTTAAATTGCATTCATTTTGAACGGAGTTTGGATCTGTGGTGAGGTACAAGAATACCTACACCACATCAATATAAAGCAACTTCAGTGTACAATAATAGGAGCCGATGCACTCAAATCCTTACCACATTGATACCAAAGGATTATTTTTCAATCAAATAAAGTTAAATGCTATAGATTCATAATATGGGACGTTCAGACACTTTGGAAACTGAGTGCACATACCCTGTTAACTCCAGCAGGAGGCTGTTGAGGCTGACTCCAGTCGTTGATTTTGCTCTCATAAGAACAAAAATCTGAGGGAATTTGAGCACCATGCACACAAATAGCGTGCTGAAATTAGCGACGTGCAATAGAGTATCGGACTCCATCGTTTCAGACAAAGATGACAAAATATAATCCCCCAGAGTTGGCTAAAAGTTGCAGCCAGATGCTGACCCGTCCCTTTTACAAGTATGAATATTTTCAAAGCAACGTCCGTCCATAACTTTCAAAGTAAAAGAAAATGTAAATTTCGGTTTATGAGGTCGCGCTTAAATTACTTCAAGTTGCCAAACAGGATATGAAATGAGTCATAGACATTTCTTTATATTCAACTGCTCTCAAAAATAGATGAAAGATTGCTACTTAAGCGAAAAAGATAGCAACACAGTTTTATTCTGAAGAGCTACTGCTGATGTTTTCCTTGATATCCGGTACGCTTGACAGTTTCCTACCGACCGGCAAATACTCTCACTTCCGTATACATCAACTTAAAGCTGATTGGCTACTTGCGCTCACAAATCAGGTACGAAACATTTGAATCATCTGTGCTGCTTCAGACGATGCTTCTTCTTGATCCCTGTCTCTTTTCCTGGTCTTTTAAGATTTTCTTATTTCTTTGCATGACACAGAGGTTACATAAGCGGTGTGTATTCTTTATTTTAGAAGATTTTTATTTTTACAGCGTTTTAAGTTCAAAAATAAAATATTCACTCAAGCCTTTTATAACTACGTTGCAATTTTAGAATTATTTATCATTTTCAATCTGGCTGTGATTTGTCCACAAGTCTTAAAGTTTCTGGGGCTGGTAATCAAACAGCCTGATGTTACAATAACATTACAAAAGTTACGCTAACATTTTTTGTAAAGCTATTTTTAAATCTTGTCCCCAGCTGTAGGGTGTGCAGCTATTGGTTAGTCTATGCAGAAATTTTCCACAAAAAAAAAAAAAAAAAAAAAGCTGTAGAACTAAGCTAATTTTTTATGTTATTAAAACAGCAGGATGAGATTTTTTACAGACCAGTGAAAAAAGGTAGCCACTTTCTCCACAGAGGCACCTCCTACAGGTAGGATTAACTTCTCAAGGCTCGAATCGAGAAAGTAGCTCTCACTGGGCCTGAAATTAAATTAATTTTTTCTTTGCATCCTTTAATGTTTTAGTTGTTAGTGTCATAAATAAAGTATAAATGGTTACAAAGAACATATGTCTGAACTCCGTGGAACAAATAGGAAGTTTCTGAGGTCCCTCTTCTTTTTCAAAAGTTTCGATTTCAAAAGTTATAGTTGCAAAAAGTTTTAATGCATCATATGCACAATGGCAGAGTTATAATGGCCATTGTGTGGGGATTGCTTCGCCGCAGCATCAGCAGCGGGGCCCAATGTGGTAACTAAGGCTCCAGATTTCCAGGTGGCAACCCTTAAGATGAGCTTTTTGAATGTACCTCAAGTTCTGTATGTGCAAAGAAATATGATTCTTGGAAATGTCTGAGAAGTTAAATGTTGGTGGTGGTGATGTGAAGCAAGTATTTGTAAAGAAATCACTGCTGATAATTCACAAAGGAATCTACACACACACACACACACACACACACACACACACACACACACACACACACACACACACACACACACACACACACACACACACAACAGACAATAAAATCCATCTGGAGAAATATCTTATATCTTAGTGGCTCCGCGAAACAGGTTTGTGAAAGCACCTTCTACTCTGAAAATATGAAGTCTGAAAAGACACCTTGAACGAGCAAAATAATTGCCTTTGGCAGATTTTGTAGTTGAGAGATCATTAGGAGAGCAGAAAACCAATACTTCAGGATTCAACCAAGGAGGGATGAAGGACTCAACAATCTCTGAATTTTGGGATCTGTCTGTAAAGATGTCATGCTTTATCTGGGGGATTAAAGAAGCTAAACGATTGAGGAGAGTCCTGAGCTTTTCAGAGCCTTTTTTTCAGAAGTTATAAAGGGGGCTTGAATGATTCATACAAGTGTCAGACTGCCTGCCAAATTCACATCAACTGAGATCTCCTGAAATTGATTTTCTCTTTACTCTTTTTATTGATTGAAGTATGAAGTTGTACATCAAACATGGGCAGACATTTTGGATAGTGTAGTGTGCTCATATCTCCAGTTTACACCACTTTATGATGGCTTATTGAACTGGTAATGAGAAGAAAAATATCTCCTGCCAAGTCAAGGGCTTTTACAGTTAGTGAAACTACTTTAACTTGATTTTTCTTGCAAGCACTTCCAAGGGTAGAGCTCAGCATGCAGTACTGTAACTGGAATGCTGCCCTCTATCTGCATAATGAGAAGATGGGTCGGGGTGAATCTTAACTTTTTTGACAAGGTGAGCTGGGATGGCCCAAATTATGTGTGCACAAACACATAAATTAAAAGTATTCATTTACTTCACTAATCACATCTACTTGACTACTGACATTTAATTATCTGTACTTGCAGCATTGACTGTTTATTGGGCATCATGTTTCCATTTTTGCCCATTATGAGAAATGCAGCCAGAGAACCACACTGAGGAGAACTAACATTAGAGGCACTCTGGTTGGTAGCAGTGGGTCTGACCCCCCCTTCTAACCAAAACACACTTTAAACTTACCGATGAAATGTTAAGGATTCCTCCGCAAAACTCCAAGAATTACCTCCCATGACAAAGGAAGTAGTGGATGACAATTGAGGATTTTCTGGTGGCTCATAAATGTCAGTAGGGGCTTATGCCACCCTAAACCCTGTATTTGTAGGACCCACCTTTGTATTAAGTAAACATTGCATTTATCAAAGAAGAGAAAATGTAACTTTTTAAAAAAGAAAATATTTACATGCACTATTTTATTGTCCAGTATGCATTCAAGTTTTGTAGCCCACTCAAATCATTCAAGCACTTGTTAGGATTTTTGTCTTCACATAGATGATAATAGATTTACTGTCTTTCTTCATCCGTAATTGCTGCTGAATGACAACTGAATTTGAATAAAGTATCTATCTATCTATCTATCTATCTATCTATCTATCTATCTATCTATCTATCTATCTATCTATCTATCTATCTATCTATCTATCTATCTAATGCAGTACAGGCCAAAAGTTTGGACATACCTTCTCATTCAATGCATTTTCTATCTTCTCATTACTATTTAAATTGTAGATTCTCACTGAAGGCATCAAAACTATGAATGAACACATGTGGAAACATGTGCTTAAGAAAAAGTGTTAAATAACTAAAAACATGTATTTTATTTAAGATTTCCTCAAAGTAGCCACCCTTTGCTTTTTTTAATGCGCTGCAAACTTTTGCTGTTCTCTCCATGAGTTTCATGAGATAGTCACCTGAAATGTTTTTTACTTCATAGGTGCTGCTCGTCAGGGTTACTTCAGTCACTAAGTACTTCTGTCCTCAAGAGCAAAGGGTGGCTATTATAAAGAAACTAGAATATAAACATATTTTCAGTTATTTCACAATTTTTTATAAGTACAAAATTCCACATGTGTTTTTTCATAGTTTTGATGCCTTCAGTGATTATCTACAATGTAAATAGTCATAAAAAAAATAAGGAAAAGACATTGAATGAGAAGGTGTGTCCAAACTTTTGGCCTGTACTGTATATGGGCATATATATCAGGTGAATTGCCAAACTGCAAAAATCAAGAGTGAAAAAAGTTAAATTAATCAATAATTTATTAAGTCAATCAGTCAGTCAGATAATACGTGTTTAAATGAACAACAAAATAAAAAAAAGGGAAAATGTACTCAGACTTTTTTTTACATGGTATTTATGTACATCTATTACAAGTAACCTGGGCTTTTATTTTGAAAACCAAGAAATTAATGTACCCTTTCCGCTCTTATCCTGAAACAGGATGTAGCTAAGCTATGTTGCTGACTGTGTAATGCATTGATGGCTAGATAATCCTTCCCTGGCTGTCTATGATTTCCCCCATGCATGAATTAAAACAAGCAGCGAGTTTAAGGTAACGCATATTTGTTTTTGTGTATTATGAGTTTGACAGTTTATTCGTATCAGTTATCGGTCATACGGAAAACATGAAGCAGGTGTACAGCTCGGCCCACAGTACAGTGAGTGCCTGATAACATTACCTCAGGGGGGCTAACGCGAGTGAACGTGAGGGAGGAGAGGAGGGACCACTCCCTCTGTATGGACAACTTTTATCACAGTGCATTAATGTAGAACCTGCGACTGTAAGCTCTTTTTATTTCCGAGACATGGACAGACATAAATGCTTCATATTGTCGCAGTCCTTAAACTCACACCGGCTTTTTAACATATGCTAGCCGGCTAACAGATAGCTGTGTTGATGTTGGGGTTAAAAGCAGATGTTTTATTTGTCTCAGCTGCTTGAAAATGACTTATTAGTGCAAAAAGTTGATACGCTAACACAGACTCGTATTCTTCAGTGCTGCACACCTGTGAGACGAGTGCGAGGTCTCAGCTCTAAAGGTGGACCTCATCAGCTGTGGTGAACTATCTAAAGCTAACTGGAGCTTATGTTAGGATTAATCACAATATAATCTAATTCAGTATGTTTAAATTTATCGGCTATGACCTAGGGCTGGGCAATATTTTAATTAATCCGAATACATTTCTGCAAAAGATTTTAAAAACCAAGAATAAGATTTGATTTTACTCCAATTGTAAGTTCTTGCAATGTTTGAAAATATTAATACTGAAAATGTACTGTTTTTATGATGAAAGGGCCTATTAGGTTAAGGAAGCATGTTTAGACTTTCTTTTTTTCTTTCTTTTTTAAAGATGACATTAAACATTAACCAGACAGTTCCATGTGAATTAACTGTGAAATAGCTCAGCTTTCAGTGTAATTAGACTAGCCTACTGATTTTCAAACAATTTGACTTTAAGAGAGAAATTCTTTTTGGTGATTAATTATATTTTTGATTTTGATTCATATCATTTTTGTCTCTCGCAGAGTTTTCTTTTTTTTTTTTTTTTTTTTGAGAGGTACAAAATCAATTTAAATCGTAAATCGAGTTTTGCAGAAAAAAGTAAGAGATATTATTTTTAGGCCATGATGCCTAGCCCTACTATGACCATCAATGTACAAGTAATTTATAAATTAACTTGATGCACGTTTCCATGAATATCTCTGGCAGGTTTTTGGCACAGGGATGCACACAGGTGTGCTTAATTATTCAGGCTCATCACCTGGTTGTTGGAGTGGTTGAAGTGAGGCGGAGCTGTGCCAGAAATTGCGATAAACTGAACCCTGAAATTGCCCTCTTGTGGCCTATCAACCCAGAAATAGTGAGTGTAATGTAAAAGCACTGCAGTAGGAAGCCCAAAAACAAGAGAAATGTTAAAGCATTATGTATCTACTATTCTGCCAACAGAGATGAGATCCACGTTTCACACAAGAGCAAACCAAACAGTTCTTGGGCCATCTGGTCCATCACTATTAGGTTATAAAACAAGCTGTGGGTATGGTTTCCACCGCACATATAAAGGATGGTTGGACTTAGTCTCTCATCTCACTGCCCATTATGTCTATGGGTGATAGGAGTTTTATTATATGCAATGTATTTTAGTCTTTTTGTGTTTTTATGTTGTTCATTACTTGTGTGTACTTTTGTTGCAGACTAAATTGCCTCTTTGGGATTGTGAGAAATGTAGTAATAGCTTATTTGAAAAAAAAAAAAGTTTATTGGAAAGCGATGTACATATTTGCAGTAAGAATCCTTATACAGGGTTACATACACTATTGCTCAACCTCTTGCTATTTATAAATTCCTCAAAACATTTAAAAATTATTCTTTTGATTTGGGCTCCAATGATGACCTTTACATTTTTATTAAACCAATCAATTTTGTTGGAATAGTCTTGGGACCAAGAAGTCACAGGTGAGATTTAGCAGAACCTCTTTCTAGTAGGGCTGGACGATCTGGGAAAAAGTTTATCACAATATATTTTTGTTCATATCAGTTGATATCGATATATATCATGATGTAAAAAAAAAAAAAAAAAAAAAAAAACTTGTCAATCTCAAATGTTCCCTGTTACTCTTAAATGAAATTTAACAGTGTTTATCGGTAGCATGTTTTTTTGCGATACTATAAGCTACTGCATCTGTGAGGTCTTTGTGTCTTTTTGACGCTTTGCCGTAAGGCGTTGCGCTAGAGAAAGCAAAATGGTCAGCTGTTTCAGCTGCACAGGTGCCATGGGCTCCTTGCTCCACTCGGGGTTTGTAACCTTTTGCATTGAGGTAGCTCTGATGTGTGGCACTGCTTCAGGTGGTGAAAAAGATTTGAGGTATACCCCGACTTTGTGAGAATGTTTATTCGACATAATTTGCAGTGCACATTACTCTGCTTTGTGTCCGACCTCAAAAAAAACAAAATACCTCCAGACCACCAATGTTTTCGTGCCAGTGTTGTTAACGATGTCATCATATGTTGAGCCTTCATTTGCATTTCGTTATTGTTTTATCGCCCAGTCCTACTCTCTAGAGTGGATAGAGTCTCAGTCTGTTACCCATGGGTGCCCCAGCAGGTTGTGTGGATCTCTTGATGTCTGGTGAAGGACAATTGCAGCTATCACAACCAACTCTTAGCTGCCCTTTTAGCCTGTGTTTGTTTGCTCTGTCACCTCACAGCTACATTCCTGTTTGTGGGTCTTACGGTGGAGTAATCAGAAAGAGGGAGCAGTGTACAGCTCTGGGAAGTGAGAGTGACATTCCAGCCTGTGAGAGTCAGAGGTGAGAACGCTGAGCCTTGAGGGTGCACAGCCTGTAAATAGCCATTGGACCTGTGAGTCAGGGGATCAACAGGGCATGTCCACTGAGAGGTGGGGGGAGAGTTATTGGTGATTGAGGAGGGGACTGTTCATGCTGGGGGGTTATTTTGGGAAGCAGCTTGGCAAGATGTTCTTCTGGATCCAGTCTGTGTCTCTTCAATTTAGCATAGCTGAAGTGGAAAGCTCTCATGGAGATCAACAAGACAGAGGATAAAGGAGAAGATGACAGTGAGTTTTGGTTGGTTTGGAAGCTTTGAGGCTCTGTGTCGCCTTTCCAGGCTTAGGCTTGTGTGTTCGTGTGTGTCTCTGTAGTGGTTCAGCGTGTAGTGTGGCCTGTTATGATTGCAGTCCCTCCCCTTCATCTCCAGGTTCCCCTTTTTATAGCCCAAGAATCTAAAGGTGAGGCTAGTCTAGCATGTGTTCAGCCCAAATCTGTCTTGTTTCAAGGTCCTCAGGGAAAAATAATGTTTTAAGCTTTTAGGGGAGTTTTAATTTTGTTCTTGCCAAACATAAACTTCCTCTACCTCCCTAACTCCCTTTTTTATAAGTAGGTCCAGAACCTAAATTTTAAGTTGTAGCTTGGCAGCATCAGGACTGGCCCCTACGGTTGGAGAAATGACTTATTTTTGTGAAGTATGTTTTTTTTTAACAAGATGCTCCAGACATTTGTGTTTGGGACCATAGTGACGGTTTGGACAAACTGCACATTATATCAAAGTTATATTATGAGCATTCACAATAAACATATCAAAAAAGGACTGTATGTGTCCGAGTAACTAAAAACAAATGTTTAGCTGATGGGTGTGAAATGCATTGAAACTGTTGGATGAAGCTAAACTAACTATCAGCTGCCCTCTGATTAACTGGTGGAAACTAAATAAATCAAAAACATGTTTTGTTTTGTTTTTTATCAGGAGGAACTTGCTGCGAACACGGGTGCTGTGTTAAACAAAAAAAGCAAATGGACATGCAGATGATGAGTTACAGCTAAATACACTCATGTTTAAGGTGGGGTAGGCAAGATTCCATTAGAGAAGCATCTTTTTTTGTGGTGTATATACAGAAAAGCTTTTAACATCAGTCAATAGCTACTAGTTATTGATAACATTTGGTTAAATGAGGATATCGCTGTGTTTTGTTATGTCTGTGTAGTCAACATTTTAAATTTTTTGAGTGGCCCGATCACTCTGACTATAAACAAAGCCACTCTCCACCTCCCCCAACTGGCTGATTGGCTGCTCCCTCGTGTCATTCACGAACCCAAACAAAGTTAGCGTGCTACAATATTGGACAGTAGAAACCAACCAGAAAGTATGGAAATTTTCTGAATCTTCCTTTGGCCACAACTGCCGACACAAGCAGTTGACTCGGGCGGTATAACGGGCGTTGAAAAAGGAGGTAGACCGGACAAGAGCTAAAAAGCTGGGTCAACATAAACGATGGGGGACACTTTGGGATCCTACGGACCCTGTAACCTTTCTGCTGGACAGGTAAACTGCTTTAACAAAGTAAGCCAAGTGTCTGTAACAGAAGTGTTTCTTGCCAAACGGGACCCGCTGCATGTTGTAGCGCCGCTAAACTGTTTACCATGGGTCCTGGAGTATGTCACTTTATCCTATTTGTAGAAGTTCTGCAAACATTGTGTTTGCTGGTAGTCTAGCGAGCGAGCAGGAGCGTCTGTTGGTGGGCGGGGCTTGCTAGAGCAGAGAGGAAAGGGCAGAGGAGGAGCTGAGGGGAAAACAGGTTGGAAGGGGTAGTGTTTACATTCGAGATTTCTCCCAAAAACTGGCACTAACTCAGATCCTGCCTACCCCACCTTTCAACAAAAAAGCAAATAGACATGCAGATGATGAGTTATGGTTAAATACAGTCATGTTTACTTTGTTTACTTTACTTTACATGTTGTGCAGATGTGGTTTATATCTGGTCTAAATTCCTGAGATTTTGTATTGGCAAAAAAATACATTATTTTGCAGCTTTGCAGTGTTATATTCTGCAGCTGCAGTAGATAAATCAGCTGTAAATCCATGATGTGAATCTCTGGTCCCACTATTAGTCCCGAGTTGCTCTTATAAACCAACATCTGTTGACTTAGAAGGACTTCACTTACAGTGAACACAAATGTCATGTTCCAGAAACCATATAGAGCTGGTTTTAGCAAACTGTTTGTTTAGCTTGAAGGGTGGTAGATAGCAATAAAGGATATGGCAAATCAACAGTTTTGCTTCAACCCAACTGGGATGAGAGGCCCAAAATGTGCAAAGACATTTCTTCTTTTATTAGTGCAGCACTGCCAGCTGTTTGTGCCTTTGATTCAAAATGAGATGGAGCCATTCATTTCTCTTCCTTATGCCAAATTCTGACCCTACACTAGAAATGTTGCAGCCCATCACATCACAGTTTAGACCAGGAAATTTTTAACAGTCTTTGTTTTGGCCTTGGTAATCTTTCCTTGCCTGGTAAGCCCACACTTATTATCACAGCATACTTCAGAAATAATAATGGTAATCGTAATAGGTGGTTTTTTGAGTTATTGGTGCCTTTTTTGTGCATGACTTCCTCCAGTTAGATAGTAGTTTCTGGAATACTCCAGCCTGCCTGATGCCACTTTTTCCATCCAAAAAAAAAAAGCAAGTTTTGCCCTTGCCTTCATTGGATTGGACAATGAAGACAGACAGGATATATGGGGAAAAGAAAGTGGAAGTGAAAAACACTGGAGGGCTGAGGGCTTAGGGTTGGCCTTGGGCTGATGTTAAAGGGACTGTATTAGGAATGACTGCTGTACAAACTGTGCCCAACAGGTGCCACAAAACATGAAAGTCACTTTTAACAGCCTGTTTCCACACATGTGAAATTACAGGTGAATGACTGCTCCCCACTGGGACAACATTGTGGCCTTGCCATGTCAAATGTGGCCTCTTCAATTTAGGACGCTTCTTTTTAATTGTGATTTTGCAGATAAATATTCACCACAGTCAAAGTTTTGAAAAGAAATATGCTACAGTATAATAAAACAAATACAGAAGACCTTTTTGATTCTACTCTATTCTAAAGAGTAGAAGTGTGTGGAGGTGAAAGCTGACTAATGTTAATTTGGTATGACTGTGCCCTACCCGTGTTGATGGATTGGAAGATTAGATCCTTTAGGTTGTTGTAATGATGTAATTTATAAAGTTAGATGTCGACTCTCTGTATTTAAGCAGTCTATATCAGCCATTTCTTACATTTTCTAGCATAGCTGACCATAAAGCATACGACGGAATATTAGGGCCACATTAAGAAAAAAAAAATTAAGACTGCAAGATTAAAGTCGTTAATTTACAATAATAAAGTCAATACTAATGAGAATAAAGTCATAACTAACAAGAATAAAGTCGTAATAAAGTAACTACTTATGAGAATAAGGTCGTAATAATGTAATTATGAGAATAAAGTCGTTATAAAGTAATTACGATAATAAAATCAAATGTAACTACTTACGAGAACAAAGTTGTAATAAGGTAATTACTTATGAGAATAAAGTCGTAATAAAGTAAATACTTACGAGAATAAAGAAGGAATAAAATCATTACCCATGAGAATAAAGTCGTAATAAAGTAAGTACTTACTAGAATAAAATCAAATACTGTAACTACACACAAGAATAAAGTTGTAATAAAATCATTACTTACGAGAATTAATTCACAATAAAGTAATTACTTGTCAGAATAAAGATGTAATAAAATCATTACTTACGAGAATATAGTAGTAATAAAGTAATTACTTACGAGAATAAAGTTGCAATGAAATCATTACTAACGAAAATAAAGTTGCAATTAAGTAATTACTTACGAGAATAAAGTAGTAATAGAATCATTATGATACTTATGATAATGTGGCGCTAATGTGCCAATAGATTAAGTATCTTTTTGTTTGAGAAACCTGTATTTAAGTACTCAGGAAATGCTTCACAGCTCTCATTTCAACAACAATCATCTTAAACAACAGGTTAGAATATAAGGACTTTATTCTGACTTTATTCTCGTAAGTAAATGACTTTAATCTCGAAGTTATAATTTTTTTTTTCTTACTGTGGTCCTAATAAAAATAAAGGTCTTATAAAGCACTATTACACACTTGTTCATTTACACCACTGTTTGCCCTGAACTGTCTGTAATAATTTCAACAAGAGATCAAAAGAAAGCTCATATTCATGTTGATAATATAAAGACTGTTGATACTGTTACTTTACCCACACAAATCTAGCTATTCAATTTGACGCTTCAACACATTGGTTAACCATCTTTTTAGACGTATTGAGAGTCTGACGGTTGTAGCTTGATGTGCTGGATTGCCCGAGAGCTGTTGTCAGTCTTGCTCCTAAAAGAAGTGGATCTCTTGCTGCTCACTTCTGCCGAGATCAGACCTACTTGCATTCTCAAAATAGGACTCTAATATTGTTCTTGCCACAGGCCCTAAGGGGGAGATGACAAAGGAGGATGTATCAGAGCCTGTCGAGGGAGACACTGCACCAGGCTGGACCGCCTCCCATCAACGGCCGGTCATCCACCAGGTGGCCTCTGCACCCATGCCCAGTGACTGTGGTGAGGATCCACACACATGCACCAGTTTAACACAGAGGAGCTCTGTGACATTTCAGGCTTTTTAACACCCTCACTGCTATTCTGACAGAGTGTGAAAAGATGGGATGTGACTGGAATAAGACAAAATGTTTCCACTGCTTTTTTGATCCTGCAGTCAAAAGAATAAACATCTGATGATTTATACAAACTTTGAAAGTGTTCCCCCAGAAAGTGATGATTGCTCATCGTTTGATTAGTGCACTGGAAGGCAAGACTAATCAAGATTTAGACGGTCATCATCATGATTGAAAGAATAATGATCATCTTGACGCTAAGTCCTTGAACTGCACTCAATAACCACGCTGACTAATGAATCCAGTTATGTCCTGGCAGATGTCTCTGAGTTGCTTATTTATTCTTGTAATAATATCAAGCCATCATTTTTAATTTTGTTCATCCTTTAACTGTAATTTGGTCATGACAGTCAAATTTCATACGACATCCAAACATAACCCTGTCAATTTGTGGATGAATTTGTAAGTCCCCCATTTCATTCTCATGTTTAACCGCACTGTGAGGAACATTCCTGTTGTGATAATTCCTCACCTTTTTAACAGGGGTGGGAATCACTAGTGCCCTCACGATACATATTATCATGATACTTGGGCCACAATATGATATTATTGCGATTTTTTACATTTTGCAATTGTTTAGCTAATTTAGCATTTGTCTTTGGTTTATGTTTGTCTTATTTACGCTGTATTTTATTTTCGTGTAGCACATCTTACAAACCTTATATTTGTTGAACTAACTTTCTCCTGCTATATGATGTCACCTCTGCCAACCTCACGGGACAAATAGTTGATTTTATTTTTCCATTATCAAAGATTTGACTTCATATTTGCAATTAATTTGAAAAATAAATACTTGGTAAATAAGAGGATTCAGAATCAGAATCAGAATCAGAAATACTTAAATGCCCAGGGGGAAATTGCTTTTTGTTACAGTAACTCCAGTGCAAATAAAGTAGAAAGAGGAGATAAATAGGTAGATAAAATAATTAAAAATAAAGAAATGATCAAAATATGCAATATGTATGCAGTTTTACAATATACAAGTATGTACACTATATACAACACAAAATAGAATACAATATATCACCAGACAAAGTATCAAGATTCAACGCTGTATCGATTTTTTCTCCCACCCCTGCTTTCTAACAACGTGGCTCTTTTTAAAATGCACACTTTTTGCTGGATGCAGATTGACAAAGTGATGTACTCAACTGTAGCTTGGTCAAATAATTAACTGTAACATAATAAAGACTGAACTTTGTACTGGTTGAAAGGTGACTGGACAGACCGTATAATGTTACCTGTCACAGCTCTGGTGTCACGATGTCTCCATTAATGTCAAAATAATAAAAATAGGCACACAGTTTAGCTCTTTATTCTTCAAAGAGCAGCAGATCCAGCTTAAATGTCAAATCCTTTTCATAACCTTCTTTCACTGACAAAGCCCTGGTTAAGTTTCTGAACTCAAGGCAGCACTCAAATTCAGTCTAGAAGTATAACCAGTCTTTTCATTTATAATCTGGTTTTCTTATGTAGGTCATGAAGAGGCACACGTGTGAAAAACAGTGAAAAACTCCTCATGGTGCCCTCTAAGCTATCAAATCAGTCATTTGAAATCATGAAATACAAAATTAAATTGTATGGTCAACACCGGGATACAGGCTCCAAAACCTGCAAAAATTCACACTGGAAAAAAAAGGCAAAATGAAGCTGAATGTCCAGAGTATTAAAGTAAAATTCAAGGGAACTCCTCTTCAAACATTCACACATGCATTGGGACGTCACAGGTTTCAGAAAAAGTGGGCAGAGGAGTTAAGTGAAATGTTGTTAGCACTATCCACGATCTCTCTTTGCTATTTTATGAAACTAGCTTGCTCGTACGTGGAGGACTCAAACATTATGAGTGCTTTGAGGTTGTGTGCACAGGTTGTCAGGCAGGTAAGCTGTCTTATTCTTTTTGTAGTTCTATATGAAATGATCTTACTGACTAGTTTCAGATTTCCTGTTATCAGATTTCTGTTGTTTCTGTCAGAGCACTTCAGTTATCGATCTCAGGAGTATCGATCACTGTCAGACAGAATTCTTTCAGATAAATCATACAAGCTTAGAATCCAATGCTCTGATATGTAAAATAGGAAATTAATACTGACAAAAATTTGAGCGTCTGTGCGCTCACTGTGTGAAAGGCCAAACTTATTTGTTTTCAGCCTCAGCCAAGTTCTCTAATGCCTCATTTGGTTCACAGCACGCCATACACTATTACATCTGATTGAGTTTGCCTCTGCAAGCGCAGCAAGGGCATTTACAGAGATTAGATATTTGATAGAATCGATTGAACAGCTTGTTGCAGAAAGTTAATGTGTGTCTGCTGCTGCTGCAGAGTTTCACACATACTCTTCCCCCAACGCCTCACTGGTGGAAAAATAACAAAAAGCTGGGTCATTTCCTTTTTTTCCCTATTTTTGTCTGTTTCTATGACCACCTCCAGAGTTCTCCTTCTTTGACCCCAGTGAGCCGCAGTGCAGGGAAGTCCTCCTGGATCCAAACACCACCATACCAGAGCTGTTTGCTGTCCTCAGGCAGTGGGTGCCTCAGGTCCAGAAAAACATAGACCTCATCGGAAATGAGGTAACATGACTTCATATGTTTCCGGTCCATGTGCTTTGAATATATTCACTGTGAAATCCTCGTCTGTATGTCTTTTAAAACACATAATTTCCTTATAACTGAATAACTAAACAGCCATAAACCAATAAAGGACCATAACTGAAAACAGGAGAAAGAAATCTGCTCTTTGGTTGTAGCTGAAAACTCTGTAAACCAGCTGCAAAACAGCTCCTCTCAGTTTTACAAAGTAGCTGCATTGCAGCTAATTGTGCAGGGGAGCACTTGTCTCAAGGGTAAAAGCAGGCGATTACTTTCTTTCACTCATTTATTAACTGCTGCCTTTGAGAAATAAATGCCTTGTTTCAGTGTGAGTTTGTGAAACAATTCTCATTGAAATTTAAAGATGAGTAGGGTTATGAGAGGCCCGGCTTACTTGTCATTCAACAGCTCAGTGCCCTCGAGTTTAACTTCATAGGTCATTATGTAATATATCTGCACAGTGACAACAGCAGCCCTGGGAGACTCACTGCACATCCTGTCTTCGTACAGATCCTAAAGAGAGGCTGCGGTGTGAATGATCGAGATGGCCTGACAGATATGAGCCTCCTGCACTACTGCTGCAAGGCTGGGGCCCCGGGCATTGGTGAGTATTGACACAGGTGTTAAATAAACTCTCAGCTGGACTGTAAAAGTATGTACAGTGTCTCCTTCATCATGAACGGTTACTTTATCTGACCTCTCTGAGTGCCAAACAAAACCTTGTACTGTGACTCAGTAATCAGAACTACTCCTTAAACTGTCTTCAGCATCAATGGACTGTCTGTCACCATCCCCCCCTTCAAACACAAACATACCCGTGTCCTTCCTTTATTCCTCAGGTGATGCAGAGACAGCAACCTCCTTTGCACGCCAGATCCTATCACTGGGTGCTGATCCTAACCTTCGCTCCCGCTGGACTAACATGAGGGCCCTGCACTACGCTGCGTACTTTGATGCACCCCAGCTCATCAGGGTGGTGTTGCAGGCCTCCCAGCCTGGAGGTGAGTGAGTGCAGATCTAAGATCAAACAGTGTCTCAAGCCGAGGCTCGGCAGACTTACTGCACCGACTGTAGAGCACGTTGGCTCATAACTGGCGGTCAAATGGCTGCTTGTGCTGCACAGTTGGCTGATGAACTTGTGAAACAAACTGAAAGATCATCTCTGCAGAACAAGTCCTAAAGATTACAAAGAAAACTCCCAGTTTCAGTTTGTGTGCAGTTGTCATTATAAAGACCAGAGAATCATATACTTTGGTTTGAAGAGAAATATGAGTTGGTCCTAATGTAGCAGTATGTGAAGGGAATTCTCAAAGTGTAAGAAAAATACTTAAAAAAAAACAGCTCTAAGTTGAAGAACTGTTGTCCAAGTAGATTTTGTTTAAATCAAAAGTTCTGCATTTTTCTTTATTCTTTTGTAGAGGTGGATGCCACCTGCAGTGACTTTGACTTTGGCACCTCTCTTCACATCGCTGCGTCCAACCTGTGCATCTCAGCTGTCAAATGTCTCTTGGAGCTGGGAGCCAACCCTGCTTTCAGAGTAAGTTTCATCGCTCTCTTACATGCACATGTCCTGCCAGTCTTATAAATGAGATGATTGAACCTTAGCCTTCCACATCATTTAATCCATTCATTTGACTTGGCTATTCAGCACATCCAACAGATGCTTGACAGGGTTGAGATCTGAGGAATTCGGAGACCAAGTCAGAACTCTTCATTGTGTTCCTCCTGGCCGACTTCTCCCATTTCTTCATGGTCCAGTTCTTGATGCTCATTTGTCCATTGTTGAACCTATTAGTGGTGAAAGGGGTTGGTATGGACCCCCTGATCAGTCTGACTCTATACAGCCTCATACACATTAAACCCTGATGCACTATGTGTCCACTCAGCCTGTTTTCCTTCCTTGGATCACTTTTGGACAGCACTAACCGAAACAAACTTTAAACACCCCACTAGAGCTGTTGTTTTGGGGATCCTCATATCCAGTTGTCTAATCATCACACCCCCTCATTTTTTCTGCTTCCAACACATCAGCTTTAAACAACAACAAAATGTTGAGCCGGTCCTGAGCAGATCCAACTCACTGAGAGGTGCCATTGTAAAGATGTAGTCAGTGATATTGACTTCACCTGTGATGGCTGATCAGTGTATTTACACATTACATTAATGTCTGTTTCCTCATGTAGCTAAAGACTGTTGTAGTTTGCAGCGTCTACATAATTTCCTCCCATTGTTTTCATTTGTGCTGTTGACTATCTAGAGGCGAGGACACCCACCGGATATCATACTACTGTAATTTGCTGACCTAGATTTTTAAGGCCCTGGGTGAAACATCTTGGCTGTGGGGGTCTGTGCAATTTTAGAACCAGGATGGATCATTTTACAACCAGAGGGTTGACACGCATTGATCTGTGCATGAAGTAAATCCTCAGGGGATCACAGTTAAGGACACCGAGCGGTTTAAGGACTGATAAATGGGAAAGAAATCGACGTAGACTTTAACAGAATAGAAGGTGTGCGGGTCTGGGTCTCTTTGTGTTATTTTAATATCAGTGGAAATATTCAGTTTCATTTCAGTTATAACAGCTTAGTCATTTTGAAATCAATACTTTTGATGAATTTATTGATTAAACTGGAAAGTGTCTGTGTACTCAGCAGAATAATGTATAGTGAGCAAGTTATTAAAGCAGAGAAGTTCCTTCACTGTGAGATGAACCACTCAGGGTCCTGCTCACTCTGTCAGGTCCCCAATCTGCTGTGACAACCCGCTCACATCACACTACATCAGAATTTTAAGACAGACTTTTTTTCAGTGCTGCTCAGTGAGCATGTGTTTTTTTTTCTGTTATCTCCGAGGAAGCATATTAAAGATTCACAGAGAGTAGCATGGCACCAGGTCACACTGAATGATTCCACGATTTATTAGAATCTCAAACTTGAAATATTCAGTTTTATGCCGCTTTTTCTCTATGCATTTGGTTCAAGAAAAACCTACAGAGGTCAGCTTTGTGCTTCCTTAAATCCCATTTGAAAAGTCGATGATTATTTCTTCTTTAACACTTATATACCCATATCCTCAAATGGTAACAATATTCAACACCGACTCCTGTAGATTGAAGGTTTTTGATTTATCACCACACCAGACTGCTATATTATCTAAAATGACTCTCGTGTTTTACCTTAACTTCTCTGGGAGTGCAAAAACAGTGAACCTCTATCTTAGTTTATCAAGCAACTTCCCCTCCATTGTTTTGTAACAAAGGTTGTAGTCATCTGTCGTCTGGATCTTCAGTTATAGAGAAACAAGCTCAGCTAATATTAACAGCAGCTCAGCTTTTAGCCCTATCTAATTTAGATTTTAAACCTCATGAGCCCTGTTCAAAAGAAACCTTTTCTGTCCATTTATAAATATACGATCGTGAATTGATATCTGACCTGGCAGGTGACACCAGACGAGCACAAATAAACCATGATGAATACATGTTTGAACCTGTCTGGATCTGGGTCTTTCTGTACATTGATTGCCTCTCAATCAGAGCACTTGCAGCTGTTATTGTTGAGGTGCTGACTAAACAGCCCTGATCCACTGGTATCTAAAAATGAAGAGTGTGCAGAAGATCACCAGTAGATGGTGACATGATGCTGATCCTGTCTGTCGGGTTAGTTATAATCAATGACAGTGTTTTACTCGTTGTTTCTCCCTCTGGGCCTTTTGCTATGATTATTTCTTCTTTGGGGTCAGCTTCATTTAATTTTCTGAACACAGATCGAGCCTGTACGTGCATGTATGTATATGTGCACTTACTTTCCCACTGGAGGTCACTAAAGCACCGCATAGCATAATCCAATAAAGCCAGCACTCAAACATAAGTGCAGAGGATCTTTATCCTTGTAGTGTGTGAATGAAAAGCTAAGAGAGCCTGTTAATGTGGGTTGATTGAATCTGATTGATTAAATTTTTCAGAGTTTTCTTGGGGTTAAAATACACATTTTTTCTTTATCAATGAGAACAGTTTGTCAAGAACCCTTTCTGTCTTTTGTTCATGTAAACTTGAGTTATCTTTTTTATTCTGAACAGCTCGATAGATTTCATAAATACCTCTCTGCAGGGTATTTGTGCAACTTTTCTTTTCCATTTTTATTGCATAGCTCTAAAAATATATGCGAATATGTATAAAAAGCAAAAGTGAAGTTCCACGGCATGCCTGAGTTTGCTCAGTCAGTCCTCCAACTCCATTTCCAGGTCATAACTTGTGCTTATGCTCTTACACATACATTGACTCAAAGCAAACTAAGCAGCAGCGATTTCCTGAAGGAACTTGTACTGAATTTCTTTTGACTTGTAATCTTCTTAATAGTTCAAAAGGACATGAAAAGTTTGCTGTACTGTGTGTGGAGCACTTATGTTGCTGTATCTCAGTCAAAACTCATTTCAGTTTATTTAAAGAGTGTCCTACAAAATGTGCAAAACTTCAACTTAATACTGTATACGCAGGTCAGTGCATACTACTAAGCTGTGTAATACCATCATTATCAACTACCATACAGTTAGTAGCTACCATAGTGTGTTTAATTTGGATCATACTGGGATTTTCTGTCTCCCAAATTGTGTCACTTTTCCTTGAAAAAGTCAGTATTTGCTGGCAGAGAGTTGGAAGACATAAGACCAGAGCCAAGAAACTCACTTTCTCTTCTCTTTTTGAGTAAAGGTCAGACTTGGAAGTGGTTTAATTTGATATTTCTCTTCTCCGTCCTGGCAGAGATTTATAACAACTAACTCTGGATCCAAGCAGTGGAAAGTTAAAAATTGAAAAGTAAAAATGTGGCTGGCCTTTCATGCTCCCTTTATTACGTGTCGTTTGGTTTAATAGCTATGGCAAGCAAGCAGACTTTATATTGGGAGAAAGTTTCTGTCTCGTGTGTTTTCCTGATTGTCTTCGTTTCAGGGTGAATTGAGTTGCTGTTGCGAGTCTGTTTGGTTTTGCTGGATTTTTGTTATTAGACTGAAATCTTTGCCTCAAAACTTCACTGGTTGCTACCTTGAGCTACTTGCTTTGTCATGCTGATAGTTGAAAAGATGTTTCTTCCTTTAGCCTGTTGGTTTAATATACAGTTTAGTGCAATCAGCCTTCATCTGAATAACAAAAACAGTTTTTCAAAGCTGTACTTGAATTGAAAAGGTCAAGCTCCCCTTTGATAAACATGTAGATGTGATATATGCAAATATTTGTCCATGAATACTTATTTGTAATCTTCCTTTCCCTCTTGGTCGGTCTTGTTTACCAACTATTGTTTATTTAGATGATACAATAGGAAGTGACGTCTGTGAAATACTGTTTACTCAATGTAAATAATTCTTCCTCTTAGAATGAAAACTTTTTAATATCCACGTGGATGGGATTGAAATGGCTGCTTTATTGGGTTGTATTAAATGTGAAAGCGGATTCCATTACCAAGCCTCTCAGTAAAACATTGAGCATTTTTTTAGGGATCACCCCGACGCAGCGTCAAAGAAATTATGTCTAAATAATGCCATGCCAAAAGGCAGCGTGCCATGTCAACCCAAGAAACCAAGTTAGATGTTGATCCCAGATTCCTTGCCCAGCAGCCTGCATTAAGACCATGTCTGTCTTAACTCAGCCTGGATGGGGAGTCCAAGGCATTTGGGTCAGCTCCCTTTGATGGAGCCTTTTGGTTGATGTTCAAAGAAATGAACCGAGAAGTTCAGTTTTCACTTTTGTGAACTGCTCTTACCATGCCAGGCTATAATGATGGGTTTGGATTTACACATAATGTCTGAGTGAGTGTACTGTTTTAACTGTAAAGTTACACAAAGATGGCAAATGGAACATGAGTATTTTCTTGGAAACAGGGTAAAACAATCAAAAAAGTACAGAACAAACAAACCATCGTAGTCAGAGCATGGCTTGTATTCAGTTGGCAAAACCATTAGCCACATGTCTGTAGCATAGTATGTGACAGTTTGTCAAGAATGGCTCAGTGTTTGAGCTTGGCGTTTTCATCCCACAGAGCATGAATGGAAAAATAAAACGTGCCAAAAATAAAAGGAAGAGATAATTGCTCTCAATCCACAAAAGTCACAAATAAACAGATCAGTAAATGTGAAGTATTCTTGTTCCCAGTTTGTCATGTGTGTGTCCAAATAATCCAAGAGGGATGGCTCTGGTGACAACTAAACACTTGCCTACATCCATATAGCAGCACAACATCATCCAGTCACATGCTGTGAACGTATATGTGGATGGTGTTTGAGTCATTCATTAGATATAGTCATGTTGTATCCAAGTATAAACTCCCACAAAAAGCACTACGGTGTTATAGCAAACATAGAAAAAGAGACACAGAGAGTCCCCAAATACACACACATAATGCATAGAGTGCACCTGAACACACTGCACGAATCAAAACAAGACAAAAACCCCTCTAAACTGCATCCATTAGTACCAAATACCATCTGCTTAATCCAATTTAAAACGATCCACAATCCATAATAGCATCAAATTAGTGTCATGTGCTGTTCTTTTCCTATACTACAGAAAAATGTAAAAAACATAATCCAAAAGACGTCATACTAAAGCTTCATTTCCAGTGCCAGCTAGTTTTAGAGAAAGGACATGAATTCTTCTTTTTGTCACACGACTCACACGCACACAGTACAAAATCAGTAAAGAGAAAAATTATCCTAACTTGTCCGTAGAGGGAGCCAAAATCAATACAAGCACAAAGTTTATCACAGGAGCTTTAATACGCACAGTGATGAGAAATGATTTAGCTTATTCTTGGGGACAGCATCAATAAAGAACAACTGTAGCAAACACAATTAAGCAGGAGGTTTCATAATTAGTTTTACAGTGAATGCAATCAACTCTGTGCTGAGTATTGTTTTTTTCTGTTCCTTCATCACTTTCCTCTCAGAATGAAAAAGGACAGTGCCCAGCAGATGTGGTGCCAGACCCGCTTGACATGCCCTTGGAGATGGCAGATGCAGCCGTACTAGCTAAAGAGCTTCGAACTTTGCTGAGACAGGCTCTTCCCAGACCCAGCTCTCCTCTGCCCTTCACGCTGCGAGCCCAGACCCTCCCTGCTCTCTCAGATAAAGCCAGGATTCAGCTCGCTGCCATGGGAATCCGACTGGGTGACCGTGTGGTGATTGCTGGACAGAAGGTGTGTGGTAGGTCGCTTTCAGGGGCAAAGAACATCTCTTTTTATTTATTTAAATCTGAATCTCATTTTTAAGAGAGACCTGTTCTAGATTACACAAACAAAACAACTGTGGGTGACAAGTCGTACAACACAGAGGCCCTGTGGTGGGTTAACAACACAACATTTGATCACCAACAGAAACTTAAAGGGATATTCCAACGCAAGTTTAAGTTATGGTCAAACACACCATAACACAGAGTTTGACACCCCCTCGAGAGATGCATGTTGCCGGCTGCTTGCTTCTCTAGTTATACTGACTTCAGTAATGACTGCAGGATAGCAATACAAAGCGGTCTGTGGAGCCATGTACACCTCAACCAAAAATCCACTCTATAGCCACAAATAATGCTCAGAACAGCACCTAACTTCATCAACATTACATATAGGGTCCCAGCCATAGTACTAGCCATTAAACATCTTTTTAGCTTTGCCTGATTTCTTTGGCATAGAGACCAAACACAACTCACCCACTCTCCTCCAGAAGCCGCTTGTTTGTGGGGGGAGCCCTGACGAGTCAATCACCGAGCACAGCAAATCATTTCCATGAAGTAATAATCATCATAATAATCATTTTGCACTGCAGACGCTGTAGTTCTTCTACCTTAGTGTCTCAGTCTGATTGCATTCCCATGTAGTTATGATCATAGATTTTCTTCCTTGAGCTGCAAAACTCCGCTGTACTCTGTGATCAACTCGTCAGTTGTGTTTGGTCTCTTTGCTAAAGAAACCAGGCAAAGCTAAAAAGATGTTTGATGGCTAGTACGTTGGCTGGGACCCTATATGTACTGTTGATGAAGTTAGGTGCTGTTCTGAGCATTATTTGTGGCTGTAGAGTGGCTTTTTGGTTGAGGTTTGCGTGTGGAGACGTAGACCGCTGTGTATTGTTATCGTGCAGTCGTTACTAAAGTTGGTGTAACTAGAGAAGCAAGCAGTCAGCAACATTCATTGCTCGAGGAGGTGTCTAACTCAGTGTTATCATGTGTTTGACCATAACTTAAATTTATGCCGGAATATCCCTTTACAAGCAAAAGAAAAATGTGTTAGAGTGCTTGGGACAAGAGCAGCTTCCAAAAATGCCCTCTCTGGCATGCACTGTAACCACCAACCGACCAGAGTACAGAGTGCTGTAATGTATGAGGGTTTAGGGTCTGATATGAATGCTAGCAGTCCATAATAGACAACATCCAATGAAGAGAGTTAGGAGTCTTTTATATTAACAATAGTCCAGGTAAGAAGTTGGCAGTTTCCTTGCCCTGAAGGTGAAGTACCTTCTGCAGATACTGGGCAAGGCAGATTTACTAACCACTCTTTTTTAGAAGAAAACCGCAAATCCCTGCAAGTGAGCAGTGTCAAACACTGACTGCAGATGGGTGAATACCTGGGTAATAGGACTTGCACAACAGCATCTGTATTTTGACCCACATTATTGGCATAATAGTGAAGAGAGGGGGTCTGAGACTGAGCCCTGTGGCACACCTTTAGTGATGTCAAGAAAGCTGGAGTAGACATCACTGAGCTGCACACTGCTTGCAGTTGGAGAGGAAGTCTTTGAACCGGCCAATAAGTTGGTCAGAAAGGTTTTTCCTATGACAGTTTTGTAGAAAAGGTCACGGTCGAGGACCTCTGAGTCACAGAAAAATGCAGCACAAAAGTTCTTTATGTCCCACGTCCAATGTCTCGTATTTCTTTCCACCTACTGCATTCCCAGTGTCACCTACAGTTCTGCCAGGTTTATTCACCTTTCATTTCTTGCATCCGACAGTGTTTTCATTGTGGGACATTGCTCAAGCCTTTCTTGAGATAAAAAAAATCTCTGTTCGAGGATATGTGGCTTTACCCTTGAAGGAAGTCTTAAACTATCTATCAGCAGTGGCTTACACAGACCAATACTGCTATACGTTTTTTTTTTTTTTTTAACCTTTTCATTTGTAATTAAACACAATGAAGCAGCCCTGGTAAAAGAAGCAGCCTCCACTATCTGTCAGTGTGAAATAATAGCAGAACTGATTACTGTCCAACACAATTTTGTGCTTTGTTGGCTTGGTTAATCTGAACATTCAGCCAATTAAGTTTCTATTAAATTTTTTTAATGTAATAAAGCTGGAAAAATGTCATAGGAAACAGATCAGGATATTCATCTTCAACATTTCTGATCTTCCTTCTGTATTTGGAAGGGGGGTGACATAGCTGCAGCACTGCTCTAAGTGTCAACCCTTTATTAATAATTGAACTTCTATTATAAACTTTTCTCATGTTGCTTTTTTAAGGATGAGTATCATGCTTTTCCACATTTACAACAAAAACTGCAAAGTTACTAAGTTTAGTGTCCATATTAGATGTATGCAAAGTTTCAAATCACAAGGTAAATATATGCTAGAAAATAGATGTAAACTGCTCAAAACGGGACCTTGCAAAAAAAAAAAAAATGAAAAATAAAGAAAAAAAATAAAAATAAAGTTTATCTGTACTTCCAGCAAAGCAGAACGGACTGTGAGGTGACACCATAGCAAAAACTAAGCGTTTTAGACGGAGGCAGAAACGATATTTTAATACACCACTTAATGCACTACTGTGAGAAATTTGAGGTCTTTTTTGATCCGAAAATCACTTCAAGCTATTCAAGAAGAATCAGAGAGGAAATTTTTAGTCTGAAAAAAAATGCATGATGCCCCCCCCTTTAAGGGGAAAGCTGCATTTAAGAAAAGCATCAATGTAGACTTCATTCTCTGGATACACTAAACAGATTATTATTTGCATTTCTGCCCAAAATTTTAGGAGTTCGCTTTCTTTTTTCAAGTTTGTAAAATATGTTGTGACCGTGATTCACACCTTTTTTGTCTTTGCTGCAGTCTTGACTGTAGCGAGCTGGGAGGCACAAAGAGTGAGAACTTTGACTCACTTTTTGTAGTTTTGGAGGTCAATGCAAGGTAGGAAGTGGGATCTGTGCCGACCCTGAGAGACACCAGGTGAAAATCTGCTCTCGAATAAGCTCACTATCTCAGTCTGAAAGCAGTAATTTTATGATCCATTCTCTGTAGGGTACATCAGTTCAATGTGAACAACACAGGTGTCCAAAAACACAATGTAACACATTAGGAATTGATACCCCATCAGCCTTTACCCACATCTGTTTAGTGCTGTGCAGCTGTGCAGTGGTTTACACTTAACAAAGACACAGGCTTTGCTTAATTTTCTAAATTTATGTCAGCCCTCAACCAAGAAAGTTTCCAGTTGCTTAGCAACACTTTATTGGCATTCGTCCAGCATTCAGGGGTATGTCTGACACTTCATTTTCGTATATCAAGAAAATTTATTTGAGCCAGATGAAGGTCATCAGGCTTTTGACTCTGCGTAATTTCAAGAGACACTGTTGGAAATGTAAAAATCCTCACGGTCTTCTCGGCCTCCGATCATCTTTTTTTCTTAGCTATGTGTTTGTATTCAAGCCTCACACAGTCCGTGGTGTGTGCAGCTGGCAGTGTTGACTTACCCACATTCACTCTTTGTAATAATGAATATGTAATGTGTGCTTCAGCGGCAGATCATTATTAAACAAGCGGCTACAAAGAACAGAAATAGTTACTCAGTCCTCGCATGCACAGAGTCTTTACTTGAATGTATATGTTGTGGGGAAGTCTTTCAAAGCCTGCAGTTCTGTCTTTTTGGCTGCTTCATACAGTGTTGCTGGTCTTCACCTGTATGTTTTCATGATTACAGAGGTGTTTCTTCAGCCTTTGCTGGGACTAAGTCTCTTTCTTGTTATCTGCAGCAACCTTGCTCTCAGTACATTAAAATAACCCTACCTGTGTATTTGGGCAAAGCAATTCATCCAACAGCCAATTTCTGTTTCTTCCGTTCCTTCTTGTTATTCAAAGAAATATTTGTAAGTGTACTTGACCTTCTTATCCAGCTACACTGTGCTGGTGTAAGCTTCATGTAATTCCTTTGACAGCAGGGAAGATTTAGACCCCATAGGTCAAATAAAATTTTGCAAAGTTTTGTAAACGTGTTCAGGGTTCAGTGCTGACAATTGGCTGCGTAGTGTTCCTACGGCAGACTGAAATTAAAATCACAGGAATCCATGTTTCTCTTTGTACTCTGTGTTCAAATTCTGCAATGCTGGCTTTTCTCCAGTGACTGAGAAAATTTAGTCATCAGACTGACAGCATGGGCTCCGTTCACCCTGGGTTTCGCCTAGAGAGCCAACAGTGCAAAAAGAGACAATCATTGTAGTAAAATTGGCACACAACCTCCTCACTCTCCTGTTGCAATTGTTGCAATATCTGTGACAACCTGTCTCCCCCCACCTGCAGCTGACTTTGCATGTAATAGGACATTTCAAGCCCCTGATAAAAACATACAAAAATAACCTCATTTGAACACACTCTCTGCAGAGTTGAACCTGACCCAAAAACACTTCATATATTTATAAGAGATCAGAGATTTTCGGTTAAACTGTGACTGAGACATGTCTGGACCATAGACTGTATATGGAATGGATGCTGTCTGCCTCCTTGCTGGGTGAAGCCTCCATGAGAACAGCAACCTCTGGTAATGGGCTGCAGTATAGGTCATAAATCCCGCCTCCTCCAGCAATCCCTATGGAGCTGTGGACAAACTTAACAAATCTATCACACAGAATATACATTTTTCTCCCCCCTGCTTGTAATGTTGACATGGAGTTACTGTAAGACTGGTTTGTGCTCAAGTCCTCTTTTTTCTGTACAGCTCCATTTTTAAAAGTTATTAATACTTGATACAGCCTATGGGCCTACAAAGATTTCGTAGCTCACCCGGGGATACGCTGTTTGAGCCGAGTGTCATCACAGCGACTCTTGGAGACTCTCCCGCTGAATGGCTTGTACAGCACAAGTGGTGGTTTCAGGAAGTTGAGAAAAAATGCAGAATTACAGAGAGCTTGTTGTCTTCAAATCCTTGTACTGGGGGGAGGCGAAACCAAATTGTCCTTAGTGTGTGGTCTGGACACGGGGTGAAAACTACAATCTCTAGTTAATAGTAAATGGTTAATGTTTTTTGTCAATTTACAATTTCAGATGACAGTTTTATGGTTGCATTGATGGGAGTCGTTACACATTCATTCACAAATGCCAAATGGAAGAGAGAAACAAAATAAGAGGAGGAAATGAGGGTATTCAGGGTTATATCGCCTATAGATGGAAACACAGGGAAAGTGAAGTTGGCAGAGGCTTGTAGGATGTGGAATAAAGGTTTAATTTGGAGTAAATGTGCCACATGTGGGTTAAATGGCATTTTTCCTAAGTGCAAAAGAAGTTGTACCTATTTATTCATTTTTGGTTTTGAGCGTGCAGAAACCTTGTTACAACATCATTCATGTTTTAAAAACATGAACTCGTACTTGACACTGTGCTCAGTTATTTCTGTTTGAATTAGAAAATGTCAGCTATGTGAGGAAAACGAGCTTTCAGACATTTGTGGCAGCTTTTTTATTTTACCCTGTTAAAGCTTCTTTATTGAATATCGCCCCTGTGCTGAAACTGGGGGGAAAGCCAACTTGATCTGCCTCTGAATGTTAAACAGCCTTTTTACAATGACAACTTTCCCATTGTACCAGCAATCCAAGTTCCATTTCATGATTGTGCTCTTATTCCCACACGTTCTGTGAAAAACAAATTGGATACAGCTTCTGTACAATGGTTCTGAAGAACGCTGTTTGACTTTCATGACCCCTGTGGCAGAAAAGAAATGGTAATCTTACTGAAATAACTCCACTTTTATGACAGAGACTCTGACAAATGACTCTTATTAGTTCAGGGAGTGTGTTTTGTTCTCTCAGGGCTGAGCGGTTTATTAAATTTGAATGGGCTTCTTAAAACTGTAAAGTTCTATTGAATTTGAGACCATGAGATGGAGTCGTTGGTGTTAACCACCTTTTATTCTTGCATGTGTGTGAATTGTTACAGGAACTCGAATAACTCATCAAATGATTCCTCTCTGGTTAGGAGATGCTGCTCTGGATTTGCTCAACTTGTCCGTCAGAGTGAACTCTGGCTCGAAGACATGCTAAAGTTTTCCTATGAACATGCCGTTCACTAGGCTTGGAGTTAAGAATGTGGGTGTAAGCGTAGGTGGAAAATGTAGAGGCTCAACTGTTAGCACAAATGGTGCTTCTGGTGTTAAGACACCAACCAGGACATGGTGGTAGGTAGTGGATGAGTGGTTTTTAGAGGCTGATGCTGACAGTTAGAGAGCAGGTCAGCCCCAGGTCAATCTATTACACGGATATTACCTTGTCATTGAAGCAAAATGAGAAAAAACTCCAAGGCACTCTCTTAATAATATTAAAATGGCTTTATTCTAACGGCACGGTCATGTAGACCTCATAAACAAACTTCAACATGTTTCGGCATCAAGCCTTCATCAGGAAGTACAGTAAACAGATGCTAGGTTGTGGTCGGGCCTTTTAAAGGAGTGCTTCTCCAATAGGAAATTGCCACTTGGCCTTAGAGGTTTGACCTACATCTGGTGACAACTAAAAAACCCTCCAGCAGATCTTGTTATTCAGGTCAATGGAAGTTTCAACAAAGTTTTAATCTTAAAAAAACAAACATGCGCAACATAATTCAATATGGATAAAATGAGTGACAACATATCAGAATTGGTTTACAACATTTTTTGACAAAATTACCTGTAAGTTTTGAAGCCTTAACTCTGTGCTAAAACAACATCCTTCCTTTACAAGAAAACAGTGTAATCCTATTCTTCATTTAGTCCAGGGTGTTTTTCTTATATCACAGATATTACATTGTTGTTGTCGTTTTTGAGTGGGTATTGCGTGATGGCATTAAGTTAGATAAGTTAGGTAAGTTAATAATAATAATAATAATAATAATACATTTTATTTGAAGCGCCTTTCACGTCACTCAAGGACACTTTACAGAACATATAAAAACAATAATAAAGCACTATTAACAAATAAAATCATTAATCATCAAACAGTTAAAATCAACAAAGCAACATTAAAACATGAACAACAGCAAAGGAATAAATAAAGAAATGAATAATACCAATTAAAATTTAATTAAGAAAAAGTGAGTTAGGGGTGGTGGGAGTTAAAGCTCTACATTTAGTTTTAATTGATACAGGAAATTAAAAAAAAAACACACCAGGTTGCGGTATACATTTCTAAACATGACTGATATACTCTTGTTACATTATGTTATGTTATTTTGTGTTGTGTTGTGTTATTTTATTGTTTGGCTAAATTGAGTGTATAAAGCTTTGAAAGCTCCTGCAAAGGTCTTGAGTCTTACTGTTTTTGCTCAGCTTTTATTACATGAAATCCAGCGTTGGCACATGTCCCACAATTCCTCAGCACCTGAGCTCTGCTGGTAGGATGCAGAATAGTTAAATGGATACCAAGGGGGTGCTGCAGATATATTTGTTTATTTTTGTAATCAGCCCTGTGAGTGCAGGTGGGTGATTATTTAAAAATACCATTATATAGCCCAATTAATCAGCAAACCAATTCATCAGCAGACCTGTAGTGGTCGGGGTCGCCTGTTGCTTGCCATTAGTTCAGCTTTAGCCAAACTGCTCAAAAGAGAAAGCAGTTTGCTGCATTGATTTTGGAGGAAATGGTTCATGGTGAAAGAACAGTACAGACAGCATAAAGCTATTAAGACCCTGAACCATGTCTGACTCTTATATCACAAGCTTGAAGATGCATTACAAAATTAAAGAGCATTGTGGGTGACCTCTGTATGACAGAGCCTTAGTAATGATGTCAGGTCCAAGATAAGACAAGATATGACATTCCCATATGGATTTAAAACAGCCTGCTTGGTCTTTTACTCAGTTTCTTTATTTTACAATCTAGCATCTAGACTGGTAAATCATCAGGGATTTCATACACACTTATTGTGGATGGAGACATGTAGACATCACGTAGTAATGTTGACCAGAGGCCAGCTCTGGCAGTCCCAGATTTGTGATCCAAAGAGAGACTAAAAACCTCCTTAATAATTGGTATGATCTTTGTGACTGTAGTCTGCTGTGTGCTCTTGCTGTTTAACCGTCTAAATTTGACCCACTCAGATGCACCCAGACACCTAAATGATAAGAAATTACTAATTCTAGCCCAGCTGGGCATTTGCTCTCTTAGAATCAGGCATTAATAGATTTTTTGTACCACACTGAGAGCTGAATCGCAGCGTCGGGGGTTGTTGAGATAGACTTATCAAAATTCTTACTATCTTTCTGCTCTTTTTTGGTGCAGCCGCTTACTTTGATCTCCATTATCCATTTTAATAGTTCTCTCCTTTGCTGTTTTACTGAACATACACACATCAAAATGCTGTCAAGTGCCTGGTAGGGGTTCTGCCCTTGACATAACGCATGGCATGAAGATGAAATGATTTCACACACTCCTCCCTCACTCGGAAGTCCCTCCGCTGCATATCTTGATTTTTTTCTGATTTGTTTTGCAAAATGTGTTCGGGGTTGTTTTGACTCTCCGCGGTGTGCAATTGTGTGTATACAGGTCGGAACCCTGCGATTCTGCGGCAGCACTGAGTTTTCTGGGGGCCTCTGGGCAGGAGTGGAGCTGGACAAACCTGAGGGGAAGAATGATGGCTCTGTAGCAGGGGTTCAGTACTTCACGTGTCAGATGAAACATGGTAGGTTATACCACAAAACTCATATGCTTCACCAATTATGTCAATAAGTAATAGTTTTATAGGACTTAATTGGTCAAATCAGGTGTTCACTGGTATCTAATCTAAAAGGAGATTAGATTTGTGCTCTATGCTGTCACCACAGTAAATGTTTCTAATTTAGTTTAAACTGTGTCTCTTTCACATTTGTTTTAGTCGATTATTTGTCTCAGTTCTTTGTATTTTTTATGTAGTGAAATTGTTTAAAAATTTTTTGAGTATTAAAAAATATCAGTAAGATAATTTTGAATTGAGAAAATGAATAAGCCAAATCTATAAAGGTTTATTAAGAAGTACTTCAGGTGCTTTTATACGAAAGCCCCAGCAAGGAACTCCCCGTTTGTGTTCAGTGTGATGCCCCGGAGGACAAAGCGCTACCTCTCATAGAGGTAGTTTGCTCAGTTTATGTGTAGTTGGTATTTTCTGGCTCATCTGTTTACTCTATCACTCACCGTGAATGTTTGATTTGGGAAAAGTGAAAAGGGCTCTTCATTTTTTCAGTGGGCTGTAAACGGTCTGGTTTGATGCCTGTTTGATTATGCTGTCGGGCATCAAGAATTATTGTGTGGTCTTGTCATCAGTGGTCTTGTGTGCTTCTGTAGGTCGCAAAAAAGAGGCCTTACAATTTCAGACTGGAGATCTAACTTAGTGTGGTATGGTACAGATATGCAGGACGTTTATTTTAAGAGAACTTGCATAGGAGTAGCTGTGCCTCAGGGGGAAGGTTTGGTTATCACTCAATTGGAAGGTTTGGGGGCTTCATACAAGGTCCCCAGGTATGTAGATCAAGTCAATGTACCCTTTACATTGAACAATGTTGTATTGGTCACATACTCCTTACTTTTAGACGTGGCCACATATTCAGCACTAAACATGGTGTTTGTTCTCCTGTCACCTAGAAATTTAGGAATCTCAATTTAAACGTATATTCTGGGGTAAATTTAAGTTATGGTAACACACACCGTAACACTGACTTAGGCACCCCCTCAAGAGAGGAATGTTTCCTACTGCTTGCTTCTCTAGTTATACCAACTACACAGCGGTCTACAGAGCCATGCACACCTCAACCAAAAAGCCACTCTATAGCCACAAATAATGCTCAGAACAGCACCTAACTTCATCAACAGTACATATAGGGTCCCAGCCATAGTACTAGCCATCAAACATCTAGCTTTTAGCTTTGCCTGGTTTCTTTAACAAAGAGAGTAAACACAACTCACCCACTTTCCTCCAGCAGCCGCTTGTTTGTGGGGGAGCCCTGACGAGTTAATCATAGAGCGAGTTGATCATAGAGTGCAGCGGAAAATTTATCATTATTACTTTTTGGAAATGCAATCAGACCAAGACACTAAGGCAAAAGAACTACTGTGTCTGCAGAGCAAATACAAGATACACAAGAACTGCAATTGCATTTCTATGAAGTAATAATCAAAAATGTTCTTCCTTGAGCTGCGAACTCCTCTGCACTCAGTGATCGACTCCCCCCACAAACAAGCGGCTGCTGGGGGAGAGTGGGTGAGTTGTGTTTGGTCTCTTTGTTAAAGAAACCAGGCAAAGCTAAAAAGATGTTTGATGGCTACTACTATGACTGGGACCCTATATGTACTGTTGATGCGACTCCTTCCAGTCCAGAAATGACCGTACATCATGCGGTCATTCCTAAAGTTGGTATAGTAGAAAAGCAAGCAGTCTGCAACATTCATTGCTCGATGAAGTTTCTAACAATGAGGGGGTTTCTAAACAATGTGTTTGACCATAACTTAAATTTACGCTGTAATATCCCTTTAAGTGTTCAGTGTTATGCATATTGGTGATCACCAAGTCTCTTGATCACTAGGACACCACAGACTGATCATGAATTATTTTTATCTTTTTGTGATTTTTTTCCTCAGGAATCTTCGCCCCCCTTTCTAAGATAAGCAAACCCTTGGAAAGACACAAAACCAGCGTTACAAAGAGTTCTGCACCTACACGCCCCCCTCGTCGCATTGACCTGTCACGCATCACCTCCAAAATCAACACAGGTAAAGAATCTGTTGCAAACAGCTCACAACACCTCCTAACATCGCTGTCAAATGAAATGGTGTAGTGGTACAGTGCTTCATCTGGCTCTGTTTGAATCAGTGGAGTTGGTTCTTTCAGGTCAGTGTGAGGCTCACAAGTGCTGACAAGTTTGCCTGAGAGGTTCTTGCACAAAGAACCTCAAATAAAACAGACCTCAGATCATAAAGTGATGACATAACGTTTAAAGGGAGTGAAAGTGTTGCGCTTGTACGGCCTGAGGGTGAGATTATGTGTGAACTTGTATGAACGTGGGAGCAAAAGGATGTCACAGGAGCGAATGGTTCCTCATGTCTCAGGTAATCTCATGCTTCGTCCCCCCTGAGGAGACCAGTGGATACGTTATTAGAGTTGTATTTCATACAACAAGCAATAAGGGCTGCAACAACTTCATAGACACACAAAATATTGGAGTGAGAGCATTAGTTGGATGAACGGCTCTTTAATTTTGTCATTTAGTTTGAAGAATCATGAGGAGTTTGGGACACAACTAAATGTACCACCATCTAAAGGAAACAGTTGAACTCGCTCTTCTCATCACTTTGGAAATAATGTGCTGAAAACAACAGAACAGGTCTTTGTGGTAATAGCTCCATTTTCTGCTAACTTGGTTACACCAACATCCACCTCTCATTCTAACAACCCTTAAGCACCTGAGCCTTCTGCAGTGTTTGTCTGCAGTTAGTTATTATTTGACAAAGGGTTTTCTTAATTCCCAAAAGATTGAGCTGTTTGTAAATTATTGGTAGAATATAGCTTGAAATGGTTTTACACATGATCATTGTATGAGAGTAACTCCTCTGAGAGTGATGAAGGTTAACAATAGAGAGGAGGGTCAGAAATTGTCTTCCAGTCCTCCTAATATCTTCTAATGTGATTTGTACTTTCTGATTCCTCAAACTAAATTTGTGATTTGTTTTAAGTTTGTGGCAAGAGAAGGTCAGCTCTGCTTATGAAACTTGATTATTTGAGTTTGTTACCGCATGAGTTTGCTGTCGCCGCCTGATAGTTTAGCTCAGGGGCCGCACAGTCACAGTGATGACGCGGATGATCAGGAGTACCTGTGCCAACCTCGACTATGAGTCATTTTACTTTGAACTCAAATAATCGTCTCTTAAGTCGTCAGTCGGATTTAATTACAGCATGTCCAGTCCTTATCATTAAAGGTAATTATACACAGTTAGTACATGGAAAATGCATCAATGAAGGATAAACACAGGAGGGATTCAAAAAGAAGGTCTGTGGTTAGATTAGCCAAAGGCTGCAAAGCACAATCATAAGAGCAGTGGGGACCCAACGACCTGGGGAGCAGAAAAGGAGAGGGGGCAGCACGAGTGAGAACAGTTCAGGGAATCAGTGAATTGAGCCTTTTTTTTTTTTTTTTTTTTCTCGAGCAAACTTTTTTAGAATTCATTGTATGTTCTGGTGAGCACATTCACATGCCTAGCTCCTCAACATCGCCCATAGACGTCAAATTGCAGTAATACAAATGAAAATGTATTAATGCTGCAGACATTGTTTGAAATGAGTCAGTAGCCCATGTGTCGGGTATTTTCATCTGTACCAGCACTCTCTGCTAGTTAATGAAAAAATATATTAGGAAGACTTTCTGCCACAGTATTAAAAGAGGAATCTGGCATCAATTTTAGATTTCACTTGGTTATTAAGTTTGAAATTCTTGTTTTGTTACAACCTTGAAATAGATGATGTATGTTTGTTGGGTGATATTAAAACATAGAATAAGTTAATGATATACTGTGTTGGGTGTCATAAAAATACTCCTTTTATTTAATGAATTTAGTTCTTTTGGGAACACAGCCTTTGGGATACCAAATGGAGTGCTTGTACATACGGTTTTCTCGCTGACAACGTGGAAGTGGAGCTGAGTCACTCTGTGTGTCCAGCTGAGGCCATCAGGTGACTCACAACTCAAATTGACTGCGTTTTTTAGTTTGTATGAGACATGTCGCTGCCTGGAAGGATTTATCGCATCATATTTATTATCTCCCTTGAATGCTTCAAAAAGGGATCTCTGAGGCCAGTGCTAAAGGATGATGCATAAATTAGACCGCCCTCATGGTCCTCAGATGCCCTTACCCTCGGGTCCTTAGTAATGTCCCGGTGAAAAACTGCAAAGATACACTGTAGTGTGTGGAGTTTTGTGTTTCTTGCTCCCTCTAGTGTTTACAAGTATACTGTGTTGGTATAATATTCAGATGTTTTGGACGCCAATAGATGTGGACGTGACTGGAATAGTGAACCTCAGAGAGTGGGGCCTGAAGAATTTGGTGATTGATAGTCCAATTAAGCAGGGTTTAATAACCAGGGCATAGACAGGCTGAATCGCCTGGCAGCCATTCATCAAGCGGGGTATGAGAGCGAGAGTGTTGTGTGTGGGTGCACGCTGCCACCTACACACACACACACAGGAAGCAGACTAATTTATGACCAAATACTTTTAAGGGCCTTTGTCAGCCTTTTACAGCCCAACCTCAGAGAGCCACCTGTGTTTCGGTGTCCCACTGGATCAGCCGTACTGATCACTGGCTGTGTATCTAAAGATTGGACAAGTCATTGCGGAAATGTCTCGTCTTGCTAACCAAGAGGGACGGGCACAGCAGAGTGCCACGATGGCCCCTATTAGAGTGTGTCAACTGTAGCTCAGGTCTCAAAGGGCAGCAGGAACATAGACAACACTCACGAAGCAACACCGCTTGATTTTATAAAGCCTCGGTCTGTGCTACAATCTGTCACTTGGAGCCAAAGTCAGTATGAGGAAGGGATGGATGGAGCCAGGAGGTCCCAGCAAGCTAAAGGTCAAGTGACAAAAAATGTTTGGTATTCCGAGTTGAAATGTGGTCTCCTCTTTGGAGTTCAGTGGAGACACACCACTGAGGGGAAACATTTCACAGCTTTTTTCAAATGTGAACTGAAATGGCAATCAATACCAGGCTGATTTCAGATTTCCAAAGCCTAATAATAAAGTCAAACTTGTGCTACATATCAATGAGTTGAGATGGTTTAACGGCAGAGTAATGACTGAGTTGAATCCTGATGAGATGCAATTGTTGCTGCTTCCAGTCTGTGGATATACAGATTTTTCAAATCAAATCAAATCAAACTTAATTTATAGAGCACTTTTCATGTATGGACACAAAACGTACACACACACCTGCACACTCTCACTACTGACAATAGGGAGACATTGCATGACACTGAAGAATTGAGGAAGCGCCATCTTTTGCGCCATCCACACTGGGAGGAGTCGCAGGCTGTGCCACAGGAGGCACCAGCGCCCAGGCCCCCTGACCCCGACAGACAAGTAGGGCCTCCAGCAGCAGCCCAGACACAGCTTCTAGTGTGGAGGACCCTAAGGAAATACTAGAGTTAAAACATACAGTTAAAGCTTAAGATAGGCTAAAAAACCCTGAAAACACAAGTAAAAGAGTAAACAGTTTAAAATGATAAAAGATACATAAGATAATGAAAAAAATACCTCCAATAATAGATAAAATACATAAAATTAAGATTAATATCATCATAAAAAACAAGATAGGAGCAACAACATCAAATAAGATAGAATCACGTAACAACGTAAAAAGAATGAAAAAACTAGCTAAAAGCCTGATTAAAAAGGTAGGTCTTTAACCTTCCTTTAAAAATATCAACGTTTTAATATCTGTGTCAGTTAACAATAGAGTATGAAAGGTTTTCATCTTCCTTGTGGTAAATTAAAGTCATGTCAACAAGTCAACTAAGAAGCCAGTTGTTCAGGTTTGGAGTTTTGAACTAGCTAAAAATTTCAGTCTGTAGTAAATGCCTCTGGCTCTGTGCTCTTTGAATCAGAACAGAGATTTCTTTTGAAGAATCTTTTGTTTGTTCTTTTGTATTTATTGTCACCCAGGCTTTTGTGTGTGGGTGTTACTGCTTGCTTCAGCATGTTTCAGTGTTTTTATTGTGTATTGGAGTTAAAGAGTCTTAGTTCATTGAAGAAAAATTGCCTCTCAGTATTTCTTGTTCTAGTGACAATGTCGTGCTGTCTCTCATTTGCATTTCTACTCTCTCCAGTTTCTGTTTTCTTCTCTGTGTATCTTCTGTTCCTTGAAATGCAACTCTTTTACAAAAGCTCTTTTTAGTTACCTTGATTACAATTCCGTATTACAATCTGCCTGCCAAATGTTTCTTAAACAGGTCGTGATGGTGAGCAAGTCCTTTAAACCCTATAATAAATTAATAATAGTGCAAAGATAACAAATCAAGTCTCTAACTGAAAAAAAAAAACTTTATTCCTTTATTAAAAAAAATACTTATTTTAAACAGGCATGTGAACCATAATGTGGCATCACCTCATCTATAAATAACACTCTAAATGCTTAGAAACTGAGGAAACCAGGTTTACATACTGTTAAGCCAGTTGAGTTTCTGGAGTCTTCACCTGTGGAGCCATGTGGTTTGGTCTTGTCTGGAAAAAGCATTGTTTTAGGTTGTGCCACATGTTGCATCAACACCTTGATATGCTGCACAGTACTGAAAGTGCCTTCAGCTACTTATGCCATGGTTATGAACGGATGCATCTTCATCCCATCATGTCTGCTGGATTTTGATTGGTGCTCTCATAACAAGCCAGGGGGTCATTTTCCCTTTTAAAGCAGAAGTCCCCCCCCCCAAAAAAAAAAAAAGAATATCAAATTTCAAGACACCCTTTTTCGCAGTCCATCTTACATTTGTATTTAAAGACAGTGGTTTTTGGAAGTGAGACTATGCAGTGACTTCTACTACCAACTCATGTCAGTTTTGAATACAGCACAATCCAAGGCCTCAAAGATCATCCAGTACTAGTTTTTTTGTCCATTTCCCTTTCATACAGCGATTTCTTCAGACTCTGAATCTTTTAACAGAATTATTTGTAGATGATAAAATCCCTAAATCTGAAATATTTGGACTATTTCCTCATGCAGTCTCTCACAGAGTGGCGGACCTCTTTCCATCTTAAATCCTGAGAGACTCCACCTCTTTTAATACCTCTTTTTATGGCCTGTCATGTTTCTAGATTGTCTTCATAAGTGTGTTGCTTTTAACATGTATCCTGTATTAGTAGCAGTGTTTGATTTGTTTTCTATACTTTTTTGAGAGAGTATTGGATTTAAATGATTTGCAAACCATCAAAATCTGTTTTTATTAACGTTTCACACCATTTTTGAACATTTTTGGAATAAGAACATGACAAAAATATTTAGCTACTCTTTAACGGACATTTGACGTAAGCTAATTATGACTGCCAAACATGGAAACATGTATATAACCTAGCAAAATGTATATATTGTGTATAAGCAAGTGGTCACTGTGTCTTTTGTCTGTGTGTGTGTATGTGGACGAAAAGGTTTATCTCCATCTGTCAATAAACCCCTTGAAAATCACAAGAGTGTACCTGGTCCCAATCAGGGCTCAGACGGAGACGCATCAGGGACGAAGAAAGGTATCAGAGTAACAGCTGAGTGGGCTTTACTGCACTGTCTATCAGAGAGAAGGGAGAGGGAGTCAGTTTTCACAAAATCTCTCTGTAATAACGCTTTTGTTTAAACTTTGAAACCACCTAAATCTTGGTTCAACACATCCCAAATCCCCCTGTCTCTGATTATTAGTGCACCTTAATAACTGAGTCCAACATCACAATCCATCCATACTTAGTCTTAAAACAACACCAATGACTTTTTATATCTGCCTTGATATGTAGGCATTCCTCTGAACCAATATGAAATATTAAATAGTCCTCATGGATTGGTGATATGTGAATATGTCGAAACTCTTTAGAAATTTATTACACAGACATTTTTCTCCCCCTGCTTGTGATGTTGACATGTGGTTACTGTAAGACTGGTTTTTACTTAAGTCCTATTTTTTCTGTACAGCTCTATTTTTAAAAGTTATTAGGGGGTTCATGTTTTCTATGACTGACACTTGATACAGCCTATGGGTGTACGAAGATTACATAGTTCACCCAGGGGATATGCTGTTTGAGCCGAACGTCATCACAGCAACTCTCCCGCCGAATGCGTACAACGCTACTGCGCAAGTGGTGGTTCCAGGAAGTGGAGAAAAGTCTGGAAATACCAAGAGCATTTCAGCTTCAAATTCGTATAATGACAGAAGGCGGAACCAATTTGTACATAGTATATACAGTCTATGCTATCTCCACAGTCCTATTTTCTTTTTAAAGACATGAAAGCCCTCCTTTCACACTTGTTTTTTCTGCTGGTCAACTCTAAGAGGCCCTGAAACTAAAGCTAAATACAAGAGAACAACTTTCATCAAACGTTTAGAAGTTCTTTGACCATCACTTAAGGATTTTCAATTTATTTGTAGCTGAAAGTTATATTTGTCACTAATCACTTTGGTTCTGGTTAATCAATTAAGAGTTTGGCCCTTAATGAACATGTGTCCTGTGAAGGTCTGTGAAAGTTAAACCTGTAATGAGGCTCAAATAGTGTCTAAAGGAGGAAACCTCATTCCTTGAAGTTGGAAAAGGATTAGTGTTTGCCCTTTGTCGACTCTCAGAAATAGAACAACCAACTGTGAAGAAATGTACTCTTTGATTTGTGTTGCCTTAAAAAGCCTGTGTCACTCTAAGTTTTACAAAAATAACAGTGGAGCTGGCTGCTGTTTGGATGTGAGGGCTGACAAAGCTGACACAATAACAAAACTGAAATAGAAAAATGAAAGCCTGCGCTTCATTATTTGAGTGGAATAAGTCTGTAATATAAGCCCAAATGGATGGATTGTTATGTTCAGTATTAAGAGGGTAAGCACACTGTGTGGTGCTGTGTGATTTTGAAGAAGCAGAATGGATAACAACATTAACGGCTAATGTTCCAGTGCCGCTAAGAAACAGCCGGGTCTGCATGTTTTCCAATCATGTAAAGCTGATGAAGTCGCTCTTTTATTAATGGACTTCTGTTTCTTTCTTACGATGAGGTGTTGTCTGTGCCACTCACTTTTCTGCCCCTGTCATTGCAGGTGTGCTCTCTCGCTCTCTCTCCTCCTCATCCTCTTCACTGGACTCCCGGCCCCCAACAGGCTCTAGACCTCGACCACTGCCCAGGCAACGCCTCCCTCCAAGGCAAAGGAGGGAGCGTGTCTCCCCAGGTCCTAAGACTGCACCCTCTCAGGGTCTCCACCCTTCTCCTGACACCACTGTGCTCACTGCTGCAGGTCTGTGTGATTCAGTATTCTTGGTCTAAAAACTGTCAAATCATGATGGTTGTTACGCTGAAATTGTACCGATATCACGATTATGTCAAAATGAATTAATCAACAGGCAGTAATAATCAAAATTGACCCCTTTTCTCTCCCAGCTCCCAGAAGCAGAACTCCTTCAGCTTCAAGTTCTGTCTGTGGGGGCCCCGAGGTGCGTGTGGGGGAGAGGGTGCTGGTGGTTGGACAGAGAACTGGTGTTGTCCAGTTCTGTGGAAAGACCAGCTTTGCTCCAGGTCAGTTGTTAAACTGATGCTGCCCCTGCAAATATTTGAGAGTTGAAACAAGACTTTAAACTTTGATAATATTTAACATTTGACTGTTTGTCCACTCTTTATTTGCTGAATGCTGTGCATTATCACTAAGACAAATACTGTATCTTCTTAAGCTCAATTTGTGGGGGAAAACTGAATTTATTGATCCTATTAAGCTTTGGATTATTTGAACTTTTAATGGCATGCAAATATAATCATATCATATCATATTGAATTGTAATGTATGTACACTTGGAAATGCAACTTCCCATGTTTGGAGTAAGATATGCTAACACTGCGGAATTGTTCAAACTTATGTGCAGCATCCTTATTACACTACAAGAAACTCTTCTGTTATAAAGTGCATGATCTGCATTGCAAATTCAGACAAAAGTCATTGCAGCAGTGAATAGTAAGATAGCTGTAAAATTAAGAAATAAGGAAGCTGCTGTGGATCAAAAAGCCATTGAAAACCAAAACACAGAAAACATCCCACAGTATCCATGAATAATATTTAGGCAGCAGTTCTTCAGGCTTCAGTCATGTATGAATAGGTTTTAACATATCTCACACCGTTGAGGATCATGTTTGAAGGGATTTCAGTAATAACTTTCCTTTGATACCCTGAAATCGGTGCTTGCAATGCACTGTAATCTCAGCCGCAGTGCACCCAGGACTGCAGCTCTATACCAAAAGCTGCTTTCCTTACAGAACACTTCACAGTAAATTTGCTTCTTTTTTACATTATTATTGAAAAAAAAATATTGGCTGAACTTCTATATTTAAAGAACAAAGTGGTTCATTCATACTGTGGGTGCTTTGGTTATATTGAACACATTAGGGAAAAAAAAGAGTGAGTCACATAATTTTTCACACTGAATGACTACTTTCACTCTTTATGACCACAATCACAGCAAATGTGTATTTTTCTGTCTGCAGGGCTCTGGTTGGGCATTAAGTTAGACAAGCCAAGTGGTAAAAATGATGGATCCGTGGGAGGAGTGAGGTACTTCACCTGCCCACCAAAACATGGTGTTTTTGCTCCTCCGTCTCGTGTTCAAAGGTGAGTGCAGTTCATTAACATTAAAGTCAGTCTATATTTTCATTAATGACTTTGGTTCTCCCATGGATCAGTCATCTGGAGCAGAATAAGGAGTTGGACAGAATGCCTTGAAAACCCTGAGGTTGTGTTTCATTACCCTCATCAATACTTCTGATGGCACTAATGAGCTCCTTTGACAGTGTCATTTGTGTTAGCGTTGACATATTTGATTTTGGTGGCATGGGTAAGCTGTCCTCCATGCTCATGATGAAAGAGAGGCCAAGTTTCCCAACCTGAAGCCTTAGGCCTTTACCCAGCATGATTCCTGCTTTATTGCTGCAACTTTGAGCTTCCACACCATCTCTGCCTTTAAACAGCGATTATTGATTGTGGAGGTGTGTTTTTTTGACTGGGTTAGACATAAATAGAGGTCATATGAAAGGAATGTAGGAATACTTATCTGGTTTACTTAATACTGATTAATCACAGACTTTTGATAAATAATCATGATTAATTACACTTTTAATCACATGATCAACTTTAATTGTTCTTCAATTTAAAACTGCTTCCAAGTCTGTATTTACAAAGCGATGCCGCTTTTTGCAGAGTCTTGATTTGGAAATCAAATTAATGCAATAAAATGAACTCCATGTTATTGACTTTTACATTGATTATTCAAATAAATGCTGCTCTGCTAACCAGCAGTGTCTGTAACCAACACTTAAAGGTAGGAGAGACAGCCAAAAAGTGCAGAAGTAAATGTATGAATAGCTAAGCAAATTTCTTAACGTCTCCTCCACAGGTCTGTACTGATTTTCACACTTCAAAATAAATGCTGCTCTGCTGGCTATTTCTGCCTGCTGACGTTAGTCTCATCATCCACACCTTTATGCTCAGCTTGTAGGTGGCAGCTTAAACCCAAAGTTCTTTGGTGATATTATAAGTCCAGGTTTTCAAATGGTACATTCAGGCAGTTAATTGAAGTGCTACTTTTACTGAGCTGCCTGTGAAGATATTAGGCTCTATTTTTGTGCTTCGCCAGAGATGTTGCATAGGCGCGGCGTAAGTCAGGTCCGCCGCGCTGACAAGGCATTCCCAAGCACAATTTGGTATTTTGGTGAGCGTATCCCCCCTCCCTAACTCAGTTCCTCCCAGCTACCTAAATCGTAGCGAGGGAGCAGAGAGGGCGTGGAGTGGGTTTAACACAGCCGAGACCTGTATTGACCAATAACATCAGCTCCTCTCCTCACCTTTAAATCCACCACTGGCGAGGCGTATTACAATTTTCATGAAGTAGTCAAAGAGATCAAGAGATGTCTGAAGACAGCAATGCCACACGATGGCGACAGAAGGCAGCCCCTCAACAAGTGTCGCTGTAAGCGCTGCAGAGGGTGTCCTTCACACTCTCTCATATAAGCACAGATGGATTTGGTGTGTGTAATGTTGGACCCACTGGTAAGACAAACACCCTTTCCACAAATAAGGACACTCACATAAAGTTGCATATATTCAAACCTCACGTGACAAAGGTGGGTTGTGCGCACAGATCACATCATAAATTCCAATAATGGCATTAAAATCAGAACCATCTGTGCGTAAATGACGCATCACATTCTGTGGCCTGGCTCTTTCTTTCATAGATCTTGGCATATAAAATAAATTTGGCTCACAAAACTGAATATTATAATATTCGTCTGTAGGCTTAAAGTAAATAACTCATCTGATCACTAAAACAAATCATCTGTTCAGCCAAAGCAACAGCAGCTGCAGCAGGATGGGGAGAGGACACGCAGACATGTCCAGGTTGAGCTGCGTGAGAAATTAGAGGAAGAAAGAAAAGGAGGGAGACGAATTACATATCTTGTTCGCTTCATCATGTGTGTCTAATTACTAGATATTTAATTTAATTTAATGCAGTTTCAGCTGTTAATTCGGTTAGGTTGTGTGCCCAAACGCGTGCCAAATGCGCTCATCAGATCAGATATAGATCAGAATATATCTATAAAGATCTAAATGTATGTGCTGACTCAGATTATTAGTTGTTGTTGATTATTTATTGCACTGAAATGTGCCTGACACTGTGGAAACCTGTCGGTGAGGCATCGGTGACGTATGCCGACACGCCGCCGGTCTACCAAAATACCTCGAGACCAGCTGCGCTCCGCCTGTGCTGAAAGCTGACCAGGTTTAAATTGGTGAGCTTTCAGCGCACTTAATACGCCACCAGCAAGCACGAAAATGTCTCTGCGCCTGCTGATTCTGTCGACACCTCCGTCTGCCACGCCACCACGCCCAGCTTGGCGGACCTCGGTGTGCCTCAGTCCATGAAAATACCAAACTGGCTGTACGTCGGGCTCCGCCAGACTAAAATACCACTGCGCGGGGTCCGCCACCCTCCGCTGCATCACCGGCGGACACAAATATAGAGCCCATTGTCTAACACAGGAGACCACACAGCAGATGTAACTTTATTTGGTCAGAGTCGAATCTGCTGTATGTGTGGTCTCAGTCAGCCTGACTGTCAGCTGAGGGAGATTCTCTGTGTCTTATTAGAGTCTAAAAAATGTGACATAAAAACTAAAAGCAGAAAAACTAAGTCACTTGGAATTGGGCAGCAGTTTCTCATGTATTTTATAGTCACCTTAAAAGGATATTCCGGCGTAAATTTAAGTCATGGTCAAACACACCGTAACACCAAATTAGACACCCTCTCCAGAGATGAATGTTGCAGACTGCTTGCTTCTCTAGTTATTCCAACTTTATTAATGACTGCAGGATAGCAATACACAGCGCTCTATGTCTCCACATGCACACCTCAACCAAAAAGCCACTCTATAGCCACAAATAATGCTCAGAACAGCACCTAACTTCATCAACAGTACATACCGGGTCCCAACCATAGTACTAGCCATCAAACATCTTTTTAGCTTTGCCTGGTTTCTTTAGGAAAGAGATCAAACACAACTCACCCTCTCTCCTCCAGCAGCCACTTGCCACCATAACTTAAATTTTAGGCTTGAATATCCCTTCAAAGGTACAGTGAGCAGTATTATAGGGGTACACAGCTACAGAGAAACCACCAAGAGTCAATTGGATTTTCAGAGTATCCAGCCTCTAAATGCTGGAGGCACTTTCACCAAAAATTGTCTGAAAGAATTAATAAAAAGGTTTGTAACAGGCCAGACAGATACAGATATTAGATAGTTTTTCTTTTTGTGTCACAGTACTTACACGATTGACTGCTGTAAATTGAATTTCAACTGCTTTTACAACTAGTTTTACAATTACACAAGGTATACCCTAGTTTTTAAGTTTTTTTTTAATAATATCATGAGCATTTTTAGTTGATAAAAGGGGAAACCACAGAAACATTAACAATGTTTAAAGTGACTCAGCATGTTGGTACATGCATGTAGATAAAATAAAGGATAAATGAAGCCACTAGAAAAACAGGTCTATAAAAAAAATTGATTTTAATAGGGGTGTCCCAATACCATATTGATATCGTTTATCAGTCAGATATCAGCCAAAAAACAAATATCATATTATACTGGCCTGCATCTGCATCAGCACTCCGATACAAGCAGTCCATTCCAGACTCCACTCTGGCCCCTCTGGCTAGCAGCGCCTGGATCCAGCATGCAGAGCCCACGTGATCACAACAACAGTGTGTACTAAGGTACTAACAAAGTAGCAAGGAGTAATAGTGATGTCGGCTGTGTGGCAGAATTTTTCGTTTAAGTCCAAAAAAGACATTGCAGCTGAGTGCAGAAATTGTCATGCACAAGTTTGTGCAAATATCGGATCAATATGGGTGTCGGCCAATACTGAAGGCGACAATATCGTTATTGTATTGGAAGTAAAAAAAGTTGTATCGCGACATCCCTTGATTTCAATAGCAGAGGCAGTGTTGTATTTGCAACATCTGTGAAAAAACTTGACCAGTCTATCTAAGACCAGCCAGAGCTCCAAAATAAGATCCACTTGACTGAAGGACTGAGTCGTCTCAAGGGGTTATATCAGTCTCCAGAGAGGTCTAATCCATCCCTAATGTGGCTCTCTGGTGTGTTTCATATGAGCTTAAAAGTAACTTGAATTATAAACTATTTACCTGGATGTGTTTTTTAATCCGCTCCAATGCATTTAATAATAGAGTCAGTGGAGGATCTGTTTTAGCAGAGTTAAATGAAAGTTTTTTAGGGATGTCATCTTGCTCATGGATTAGTGAAGTCACTCTTGTAGCTTTGTTCTGTTCAAATGTTGTACTTTTAATAGAAACTTACTCATAAAAAATATTCTTTGAGTACCTAAGGATGTGAGTTTTGGCCTGGTTTTGCTCATTATTTGCCATTTGGCTTGTACTCACCACAGAAAGTACCCTGAGTCCCACAAACAGGAGATTAATTCTATTCATTAGAAGTAAAGCTGCAAATGTATCTGTGTGCTCACAAATCTATCATTTAGTTCCTGTGTAGGACATTTTGTGCTGTACATCCTAAAAATCGGTGCTGCAAAAGCAAATATTGGAAGCCTTTTGCAGAAATGCAAAACAGAATAATAATTGAATCTAAACTTGGCCCTTTTCCTTCTTCTCTTTCCGATTAATCAAACTGTTGCAGAGATTTATCCCACCATTAGCTCCTGCAGCTGGACTGCTTTTGTTTGAGATACAGATGGAGGGACCACATAGAGGATCTTGTCAAACAGACCCAGACCTGCAGCTCTGTGCTGGAGGCTACAGCCATGACAGAAGCAGGACAAGCTCACACAGTCTCCCCTAGTCAGGATGATGTGAACTGACAGGTTTCAGAGCGTTATAGTCCAGTAGTTACAAGTTTTAATTCTTCTTGTCACGGTACACAGATTTTGAGTGTGAACTGGCCGGAGCTCTCCAGGGAGTCTCACTTCAGTAGAGCTATGAACTCTAAAGCTATCCCAACTGTTGGTGCTTTGATGATGCTACTGATGTAGTCCCTCCAAACTTCCAATCGGAGTTCAGCTTGGTTCAGATGTGACAGTGAAGGATATCATGATTTCATCATTTTATTGAGTTTGCCCTTTGCACATTTGTACAGAACTTGCAGAACTGCAAACTTCAGGCTCAAACAAAACTGAACCACACTGATATTTTGTCACGGGACTGTAACAGATCTGTTTGATGCACAGAACCAAGGACACTTAGTGACTGCCAGAGTGTCCTTGAACACTGAAGGATTGATGGACTCTGCCTCTGAGTTACACTGGGACATTGTTTAGACTTTCACACACTAAGATTCTCTTGACCTCTTCAAAATAGTGAACAACCCAAACACTGTATTAGAGATACAGCATTCACAGTGACGTTACCCATCCTGCTGTTTTGTCTGGCTGCATTTTGCATGTCTACACTTTTATACTTTGAAGCCAGAAGTGTTTGGACAAAAGGCTGGGACTGGATTGGAAGTAGGGGAGTATATACTAAAGCGAGAGAGCAGCCTTATGACAAAACATGTTAAATGAAGAAACGGAAAAGGTGACTCCTTGGGGTGTCTTTTACTGCAACCATACAAGAAAAAAGAGTTTTTAAGTTCCCTTTGCTCACAGTGAAGAGGTAGTTACACCCTGGAGCATGCCCAGCTTTATTAACTGTTAAACTACTAATGGGACCATAATGCATCTGTTTATTATACACTTAATACTATTTACTCTTTTTTAGTGCTGCAGGAGAACAAGAGCTAATCCCAGCTGACTTTTGTCAAAAGGAAGGGTTCACCCTGACAGTGTGGTGGTGAATCACAGGGCTGACACGTTAAGACAGAAAACCATTTACACTCACAGTCACACCTACAGGCAATTTCGAGTCACCATTTAGAGCCTTTGGAGTGTAGGAGGTGTCCGAGGGGAGCCCAGTGGGGATGCACAAGCTCCCTTGTCACTGTAAAGTGCTCCACCAGAGGAAGAGAAAAGAACTTTTAGGATAATTGTTTAATAAAGGCTGGATCTCTCATTTGTGATGCATTCAGGTGACTGCAGCACTGTTAGCTGCACTTTGTAGACAAGGTATCTGTTCACAGAGGTAAATGTGTGTAACCACCATAGATTATATTCTGCCTTTCTATCGTTCTGATATTTTATGTGGACACTCCTAAGTCTGCTGATATAGTGAACACTTAAAGGGATATTTCGGCGTAAATTTAAATTATGGTCAAACACACCGTTTCATCATTTCCTTGAAGTAATAATCATCATAATAATCATTTTTCACTGCAGACGCAGTAGTTTTTCTGCCTCTGCGTCTCAGTCTGATTGCATTTCCATGAAGTAATAATCATAAATGTTCTTCCTTGAGCTGCGAAACTCCGCTGCACTCGGTGAGCGACTCATCAGGGCTCCCCCCACAAACAAGCAGCTGCTGGAGGAGAGTGGATGAGTTGTGTTTAGTCTCTTTGCTAAAGAAACCAGGCAAAGCTAAAAAGATGTTTGATGGCTAGTGCTATTGCTAGAACCCTATATGTACTGTTGATGAATTTAGGTGCTGTTCTGAGCATTATTTATTTGTGGCTATAGTGTGGCTTTTTGGTTGAGGTTTGCGCATGGAGACGTAGACCGCTGTGTAATGCTATCCTGCAGTCGTTGCTGAAGTTGGTATAACTAAAGAAGCAAGCAGTCGGCAACATTCATCTCTGGACAGGGTGTTATGGTGTGTTCAACCCTAATTTAATTTTATGCCAGAATATCCCTTTAAACCCACCAAGAAACAGAAACCACTACTCTCTACTAAAAATGCAGACCGCTGGGCACATGTTTGACGTGTTAATGTTGAACCTCTAAATAAAGATCATTGACGTGGAGGCTTTCTCTTCTTTCACACAGTCTTTGGTGATTCATCTCCAGGCCCATATTAGTTCTGCACCTCAGATTGAGCTTGCTCACCATGCAGATTAAGTGATGAGTCAACAGATGTGCTGTGCGCCAAAGTGACTGTTTATGAAAATCATTTAATCCTGGGGATACAGAAACAGTGTCTGACTTCCACATTTGAAGCCAAAAAGTTCCTCTGCAGAAATCTTTGTGTTTTTAACATCCTGTTTTCAGCAAGTGGAGAAAAAACCTATTGACCTCTTTTATCGGGTGGCACATTAGCAGCACTTTGCCTCAAGTGCATAATGTGTGTCATAACTGAGTAAAAGCCATTACAGTTTAAAAAGCAGTTAACATCTCGAGTACTAGATGTGTATATTTCAAGGAGAGATGGGCTCTTAAGAAGGAATTGCTGGTTGAATTAACAGATTCCTTTTTTTAAAGGTATAATTAGTCTCTTCACCTTCCTTTGCTCCTAGTGTTTCACCTTTAGTGCTGTTTTAGGCAAACTTCTCCTTTTTCCCTGCTCTACATCTCCCTCCTTTTGCCCTATTTTTTTTTTTTTTTTAAACACAGCTGTTTACGTCTTCCATAAAAGCTACTTTTTTTGTGTCTCTGTGTTTTTGTCATCCTCTATCCATGTTCTTTCCCTCTCTTCTGTTCTTCCCTCATTAACCCCAGGGCGCCTAGTGTGCTAAACTGAGGACATGCTTTCCTCTGGTCTAATGGAGAATCATGTATTCTCCTCCATGCTGTAAAGTTCTCCTCTTTTCTTTCTTTTCATCTCAGCAGTTGTGACAACCCATCAGAGATGCAGGCATCTGTTTTTTAGCCAATCCTCTTCGTTGTTTGTCACTTTCACCTTTCCACTCTTTTTACCCCCTACATTTTTTTATCATTTTTATCTTTTTGATGTCAGCAGAGTCCCTCTAAATGGCTTTTAAAGCTCTAATGATATTACGGTCTTGGTGAAACATAGATGAACAGGACAGGAGCGCTTGTACCAGAAGCAGAGATCTGCTGTTTTCTCTCGGAGCTGCAGTCAGAAGAAGAAGCTGTCACTAGATGCACACCCAGTAGGGATGAGTGATATGGGCAAAAAAATTTATCACAATAAGTTTTGCCATTCTGGCGATAACAATGAAATAAAAAATATTATAATTCCAATCTATATTTTTGACTCATTTTGTCCTGAGAACACCAGTTGGAGTAGTCAAATAAGAAACTTAACCACAAGTTTGAGTGGTAGGTTATGGAGAAAACTAATGACATTAAAAAAGACTCAAATGTGAAAACATTTTATACTGTCCGATGTCAGGCATACCTGATTGCACTCGTCTAAGCCCAATCTTGAAGGAAATCCCTCATGTTAAGACTCATTCAGTAACAAACTGCTCAGAAACGTCTTCTTCATTACCTTCAACCATCTTTGTTTGTTATTCTGCTCTGTGTGGCCTATGGTTGTGAGTCCGTCGCTCGCTCTTATGTCATCAACTTGCATTTATTGTATTTATCAGGAGACGGCAAATATTTATCATGGAGGATTTTTCTGACGATGTATCATGAAAGATAGTTTATTGCTCATCCCTAACGCCCGTCCAACTCTTATGAAGTTTTGACCTCTAAAAGTTTCACTATTTCCTGGTAATTGAATGAATTTTAAAAAACAACCCTCGCTTTCCTTTGCTCTTAATAAATTCTCTGTGGATGATGAATTGAAGTAAGATAGAGAGTGTCTTTCTCTCAGTGGATTTTTTGCACAGAGGCATGACTAATGTTGAAAACTCAGTGATGAGACCTAAATGGCTGCAGAGCTTTATTACATCACTTACACCCTTTTTTCTGTTTTGACACACAGGATTCACGGATCTGTTGACTGCCTGTCAGAGCTCTCCTCCTCACGCCTCAGTCATCCTATCAGCGGTATGACTTCTGCCTTCACACAGCTCTGACCGAGCTTTATTCGAAACGTGCCTCTGCATTTATTTGCATTTCATTACACTATGAGAGCTCGAGGAGTCATTAGAATGCCAGATTCAGTGTGGCAGTACTTGACTCTTGTAATTGTCATGCAGGGACGATCCGTCGCAGCTTCAGCACATCATCGGCCATCGCCAACCCAAAGGAGTCGAGCAGGAGGAGTCCTGTTAGCAGGTGTGCCTCTCTCTTTTTTCCACATGGCCCTCACATTTCACTCTCCCTGAGCTTCAGCTTCATCCTAATTCCCTGCAGCAGTGGCAGAATCAATACCAATAAGAGGCCCTGGTATTAGTCAGCAAAGGTTCCTTTTTTAAATAGCCAATGCATGATTGTGGTTATAATGAGAAAGAACAAGGCATTGAAGATCAATCCCTCAAACACCCAGCTGCCATGAATCTCCCATTTACTTTGAGATATCCTCTCACACTGCATACCTTTTCTCATAAATCTTTCTCTGCTCCTTTTTTTTTTTTATCCTCGGCTCCCACAATTCAATAAAAAAAGGAGTCGTTCCAACCCTCACCGGCGCCGCTGGAACACCCTCAGTGGCGGTGTTGGCGGTGTTCCTAGAAGCACGGCAGGGTCCAGTCCTTCACCCAGCAGTGACAGCCAGGTCTGCCTCCATGTGGGCATGCAGGTTCTGCTCACCAGTGCCAATGAGATGGCGTTCATCCGTTACCTGGGCACAGCGGACTTTGCCCCAGGCCTTTGGCTGGGTCTGGAGCTCCGGAGCCCCAAAGGCAAGAACGATGGCTCTGTGGGCGGCCGCCGATACTTCAGCTGCCGAGCTGGCCACGGCGTGCTGGTCCGTCCCAGCCGCGTCACCTACCGTGGCATCAACGGTTCACGCTTGGTAAATGACAGCAGCTGAGAACTGTGGGAGTGGGGCGGGCTGTATAAATTCAGACGGTTTGTCTTTTTGTTTCTGATCTATTTAAAGCAAATATTTGAAGTTGAAACATTTTCTTCTTTTTTAGCTCATTATTATTCTGTCAATCATATCTGCTCTTCCAAAAGGTGGTGTGAGATACAGGAATTTAAAAACCACCTATCAATGTTTCAGAATTAAACCACTGAATTTAGTTAAAAAGGCAAAGAAAGCACTTTAAAGGATAAACTTAAATTCATAGATTTGAGGCGTTTTCACACCTGGAACAATCGCTAACATTGCTCTGAAAGAACCCGTCGGTTTTGGTCGGTAAACTTCACTTTTTTGTGTAGCAACCTCACAGAATTTTACACCATCTTTAGGCTGGAGAACTGGCTTATCCATCAGGGGGGATTTGTCTCCACTTTTGCTCAGCCTGTCTCATACTTGAACTGCTGCTGGAGTGACTTCACCTTCACGGGACACTGCCCAGCAGAGCCCTGCCCCAGAGCTCTCTTGTCCGTGTGCTGACTCACAAGTTTGTAACGACTGATTCTGTTTGTGGCGTCTGACATTCAACATATTTGATAAGGCATTTGACCTCCTTGCTGCCCCAAGTCGGCCCACAAGTCCAATTGTTGTCGGGTTAACTGGCTTAATTTTTCAGTTTGCATCTTGAAGCCATGTTTTGGTGTAAATGGTGACTTTCAGCCTCGTACTTATCCTGCAAACACCTTTAGTTTTACATCAGGACTCAACTGATGAGTATGTTTTGACATTATAAGTAAAATATACTCCAAGATGCAATTGTGAGGACTCTCTCCTCATTTCTCTCCTCATAAATGTGTCAGCTGTTGTAACCATGACAACCACTGACACATTTAACCAAAAATCGCCAGATTACAGGGTTCCTCTTTGATCTGAAACACCAGCTCCCACCATGCAAAGTCAGACTAGTACACATCAGCAGTCAGAAAACGAGGCTTTGAGGCCGTGTAGCCATGGCTTGAGGACATGGGTGCTTTGACCAGCTGTACAGTGTTGCAGTGTGACCATGAAACAACCCAAGGACGAAATGCAAGTGAGTGTCTTTTCCTTCTATAGAGCAATTGAGCCATCAGTGTGAAAACAGCCCTTGTTTGGCAGGATGTAGAGAAACGTCTGAACCAGATTTTTAAAACTGCACTACCTAAAATCCAATTGCACTGACAGATGAAAAATGATCGACTAAAATCAACTAAACAGGTTGGTGTGGATGTGCTTGCGTGAGAATGATTTCCACCCTAAAAGCTAATGTTGATCAAATAAATAAAAGATTTTTATCAGAGGGTTTTTAAGTGATAATGTAGCTGAGTTTCCAACCAAATGTGTGCATGTGTTTGTGTTTACCTGTTGGTGTGCATGTGTGTGTAATACAGAGCACTTTGATTTGAGAGGCTGATAGACTTTTACAGGGTTTATATTTGGCTTAATTGATGGAAGTCCAGCCAAAACTTCAATTTTACTCCATGAACTTACAATGTGAATCAAATCAGATATAGTGAAGGCCAGACCTTTACCAATCATCCATCATAGTACAACTACAGCAGCAAAGGTTATTTCTGTCTGCATACAAGTAATTAATTAATCCATTGTCATACTGAAGGAACAAATCAAAATCAACCTATTTTCCTATTTGTTAATCAGACTGTTATGGTTAGCAACAAAGTAAATTTCAACTTAGATTTTTAATCCAAGGTTAATGGAAATAGCTTTCAGTTGCTGTCATAGAATTTAAAAAAAAGCAGAAATTGAGTTTCTTTGTATTTTCTCTATCTGCTTTCTTGCTTGTGCTCATACAAATGGAAAGTAACTTTTCAAAAGTTGAACTGCAGCTGCGCTTTTAGAAACAGTTTTGAAAAAACAGTCTGAATCAGGTTACAGAGAAACAACAGAAACAAATTCACTGGAATAAAAAAATTGTTATGCCTCCCAGCGTGTCCATGTTTTGCACTCCTCATAGACTCATAAGTCTTAACAGTGATGTTAATGTGATGTTTATTTAAGTTTTTGCTCTCTGAACAGGAAATATTCAAACTGAGCTGTCTGGAAATCTGATCAAAATGGATTTTCCATCATCGAGCTGTCAATGTGCAGCCCTATAAAATGAGATTAACCTTAGCCTTGAGAAGAGTTAGATGGTCAGTTTGTTTACAATTCACAGAGCTGACCTTTGACAAGCAGCTTGAGTGCAAACTGCAAAAACTGTCGGAGGAAATGCAAACTAGTGTGCAATTAAATGTACTCACCGAAAATCAGAAAAAATTACATCTAATAGGAACTGTGCAAATGAAAGGTCGACTTGAACAGTGGATTTTGAGAATCATGCCAGTCTGAGGATTCAAACTTCCTCCTCTCTGAGTGAGTGGCAGAGTACTCATAGCTGTCACAGTAATGGCAAAAATGAAAAGATGTTTTTGTGAGTCGAAGTTGAAAACCACATCGCGAATGCAAAATTGCATTTGATGCTTAATTTAAGCAGCTTGACACAGGAAATAAGCAATCATCCAAAAGTTTCAGGGACAGAGTTTACTGCTTGATTAGAGCCTTCTGGGCAACTCAGCGGAGAACAAGCCATCGATTGTGCATGTGGAAAACAGACCATCTATTCAGCAAAACACTCATGTACCATCCAATTAGAGTGTGCAGGGCTGGACAGAGGAGTAGAATCTCCAATGGTCCTGTCTCATTGATCCGTCTGGTCAGGCCCCCTGTGATGGAAAAGCAGCGGTGGTTGAAGCCCAAGGTTGTCGGAAATATTTGCTGCTGCAGGTACAACAGAATAACATTTAAAAAGAGTCAGGGTCTCAAATTTCTGTTGCAACATTTAATCAAACCTTTCTTCTTTAAAAGCAGCTCCTCATTTGCATTAAGGCCATCTCCTTGATGACATCCACAGCATCTGTTAATACTCTCCCTTTTAAATCTCCTCTTAAGATAAACTCTGGCTTTTTGATGTATCTGCATTCCCAGTTGTATTACAGCATGAGTGATTTCAAATTCCACTGATGAGTATGAAAGTCTTTGGAGGCTGTGTTCTTGTGGGTAATAGATGATGGACTTTTTTATATAATGAAACTCTTAATATGCATATTTTGAGATTGTGTGAGGGAGGGTTTTGGTTTGTTGCATTTACTTGTTGTGGAAAATAACTATTTGTAAAAAAAGACATTAAAAGATTTTATTCTAATGACCTCTTTTCTCCTTGCCTGTTTCTTCTTTGGCTGTGCGCCTTCCTGGAGTACGGTTGCTCTAATGAAAAAAAAAAAAAAAAACAGCTTTACTTGACTTTCTTGGACTGCTCATAAAGTGCAGAGGGGAGTTGTCTTCAGGGATTGAAAATGAAATAGCACAAGCACTTTGAAATGGTTACACGTCTGTTCACTTTAGCATCTGATTCCTCTGGGGCTCATCTCTGCCAAAGCTAAAAAAGCCTGCTGCTGGAACAGCATTGTTTGCTTATCGCCAGCCTGGGCGTACGATTTCAAGTTTGAGTGGGGGTGACACACTCCATTATGCCATGATTGTGGAATAAATAGATGTTTGAATGGCTGCTTTGAGTTGATTTCTATCCTCATTGTTGTTTGTTTTTGTAGTTCAAACAGGAGAAACTAAACCAAGGGAAGGACCCAGAGAAGCAGTGTTTGCCTATCCAAATGCACTTACCCTGAGATTGATTTTCTAGGTGAGAATAAATTGAAACGTACACCCTGTGGAGCTCACAAACCTGTGCTTAAAAACTGACATTAGAAAAAGGGAAAAATCAGCCATTAAAACATATTAAATCAGAGCATGACTGGGCCACTGTCAGTACAAGTCATTGTAGGATAACCAACTTTGAAAATGCACAATTACCAATGAAGCAACACCAGAAGGAACAGCCGGGGTAATCTTTTCAGCCTCAGTCGTTTTACGTCTGCTGTGTCTTGAAAAGACTCAGAGTCGAGGAGGAACTCAAACTTGATCCAAAATTTGTTGTGTTTTTGGCCTTTAAGAGGTTTGAACTTGTAAATTTGTGTCAGTATCTCATATTATCATAACTAAATCACCCAGAGTCCCAGCATATTCTACTGGCTAAATTTATGGCTCATCATATCCACTGATCAGAATTTGATATCTAGTATTCAAACTGGATCCACATCAATTTTATCAGAATGATGTCTGTGTATTAAAGCTGTGTGTGTTTGTCTTTGAACTTGCTCATTCATATATGAACTAATAAACAATTCAATAATAAATCAATGTGTTGGTTTATTTAGTTACGGTGTGGACATGTACAGTAATTTGCCCAACAGATTGTGTTGCATCACATTTTAATGTTCAATCCCAACGTGTGAAACGTTGATTTAAATACAGAATTTAACATTATGCAATTTTTTAAAACTGTTTATTTCAGAAAAGAGCAAAAAACATCAAATAAAATTTTCAAACTAACAGTTGTTTCCAAAGAGAGACATATATATATATATATATATGCCCATTTTAAAATTGATATTAAAATTTTGAAGGAGCATTTCTACCATAATGTTGCATCAACTCTTCATTCTCCAGCACTGTAGTTTTTAGATTTCTAAAAGTTAGTATCTCAGCTACGTAATAATTTTTGGGGCTCTTTTCTGGTAGTTTTCATTTCATGAAGTACCAATTAATTGATGACAAGTCAGGACTGCCAGCTGACCAGTTGAGCTTCTGGACTCCTTTACTGCAGAGACATATTATGAAGCCATGTTGTTATTATATGAGCAGAACTTGATTTGGTCTCATCTCACTGGAATATTTTAAGTCTCCCCTTAAAAAAAGAGGAGAAGGTCCTTTCCTGTCACAGGTGAGGACACAGTGTCATGATTTCCAAAAGGAATGTCAAATTTTGATTCATTCAACCTCAGGACGGTTTTTCACTTTGTATTAGTCCACAGAGAAGGAATGCTCTCTGGAATGCCCCTTTTACTCTCAGTCATGTTTGTACCCTGTTGCAGCTTCACTTTGTCCTTCAAGACATTTTTATTTATTTATTATTAAATAGCTTTTTCATAGTTTTGTTGTTCCAGTTCCAACTTTCTAAAAACATGTTGCTGGCATCAAATTTAAATTTAGCACATATTAATCCTTGAAAATAAACTTTAACATTTTCACAGCTGTCATCTTTGCACCATTTTAGATTAAAATATGGAGTTGGAAAAATTTGCAGACCCTGAGAATTTGTTTTTAATCAACATTTAAGTGTCCAAACTTTTTTGGGTTCAGGGTTGTATCATAGTGTGAAGTTTTCTTTTGTAGTTTTTTTTCTTGAAACAAGTATCTTAGTACATTTCTTATCTATTCAAACTGACATTAAAGATGTATATTTATATATTTCTTTACAGACTGCAATATCAGAAATGTGGAAGGTTTGCCCCCTAAAGTCTCGATCAATATCAGTCTCCAATATCCCAGATCAGTCAGACTTTGGATTATACATGGGAATCTGTCTGATCTCCATCATCTGTTTGATATGTTCTGGCATTTGCCCAGTTTGATAACAGCAGGGGAGATGAAGAGATGATCTCATGCCTGACCAGCCAACATGCCTGTGCTTCACAAGCCAACGCTTCAAGCTCAAAGTGAAGATCTGTGAATCTCTACTGGAGGTCACTCTACAGGCAGTCTTTGTAGTGGCAGGCACCAGAGGTGAAGGAGATTGTGCTGACATTGGACATAACACTGGCCCATGTTCAGTGCTGTGTTGAAATAAGAAATGAAGTTGGTCCTTGACACTGCTCAGTCTCCACCTCAGCTCACAATAAGGTGCTCAGAACAGAAGGATCAAGTCGAAAGTCATTAACATTCAGCAGGAGTGCTGCAGATCCAAACCCTGCTTTTCCCATCATGTTATCCTTGGAAGAAAGACCTTCAGGTTTTCCATAGGACTGCTATAGGTGCAGAGATGTGCTGGACTCAGAGTCATGCCTGCATACTCACTTGTTTATCTGGTGGTTGCTCCTGTGTGTACATGCTTCAACTGGAGCTGTGCCTTGTCAGTGATTCATTTGGATTTAAATGAACAGAATTTTACATGCAGCTGAGGGTCCTGTTCTGTTTTGCACAACCAGGTTCACAAATGAATTATGAAAGTTTGGCCTGGAGTTCAGCATTAGGCCATTTTAGCCAAGGGGCAATGATGGTTTCAGTGCCTGCAGTCTCTTGTTTTAGTTGAATATAAATTCTGTTGTACTGTGCAGGATAATATTATTATTATTTTTTTTAACTCTAAGTTTCTTAATCATTTAATTTATCTTGTATTTGTATCTATGCTGCTGTAATTTTTGGAATTCCCCCTGTGGAACAAATGAAGGTGTATCTTATCTTGTCTTATCTTATAATGCAGTTTATTATTGCTAACAACAGAAACATCAGTTGTGATCTGAAATCTGTTGCATAAGTCAATGTATTTGTCTTTTTCATCAGTTTATTAAAAGTCCATTTAAAACATGAACTATTAATGAACTATAGAAACTATTCAAGATAATCATGTTGATTCATTTCTAATGTCTGTTGAATAATGGATTTAAACATTAATTTCCTTCTTTTCCACTTTGTTTCCCTTTTTGATCATTTTAGATGGATGGATGTAGATCTAAATGTACCTTGTGGCAATATTATACTTAGTCAATTCATTTTCCACATACAGTTATTGAATAAGATAGTTACCAAAGTTCAGCAAATTTCAACTGTAAGTTTTATTAAATTTTGTCAAAGGCAAAAAAACAAACAAACAGGAAAATAAAAGCAATACACACTCATCAGCCACTTAATTAGATACACCTGTTCAATTGCTCGTTAACACAAACAGCTCATCAGCCAATCATGCTGCAGCAACTCAATGCATTGAGGCATGTAGACGACATGTTGAAGTTCAAAGCGAGTGTCAGGATGAAGACAAAAGGGGATTTAAGAGACTTTACACGTTGCATGGTTGTTAGTGCGAGACAGGCTGATCTCAGTATTTCAGGAACTGCTGATCTGCTGGGATTTTTACACACAACCATCTCTAGGGTTTACAGAGAAGAGTCTGAAAAAGAGAAAATATTTAGTGTGCAGCAGCTGTGTGCATTAAAACGTGCGGTTGATGTTACAGGTCAGATGAGAATAGGCAGACTTATTGGAGATGATAGAAAGGCAACAGTAACTCAAATAACCACTCAGCACAACCAAGGTATGCAAAATACCTTGGTTGTTCTGCTCTTAGCTCCTATCAGCTAAGAGCAGAAAACTGAGGCTACAGTTCACACAGGCTCATCAAAACTAGACAACAGAAGACTGGAGACATGTTTACTGGTCTGATGAGTCTTGATTTCAGCAGCAACATTTAGATGGTGGGTCAGAATAACAACAGGTGGGCTTCAAGGACATGAAAGGATGGATGCATCATGCCTTATACCAACGGTTCAGGCTGCTGCTGGTGGTTTTCTTGGCATACTGTGGGCCCCACACCAAAATGAGTACCAAATGAGCACAGTTTAAACACCACAGTCTACCTGGTTATTGTTGCTGAACATGTCTATCTCATTATGACCACAGTGTATCATCCCCTGGTGACTACTTCAGCAGGATAATGCCCCATGTCACAAAGCTCAGATCATCTCAAACCGTGATGAAAATGCAAGATTCGCATGATGGATGTGCAGCCAACAAATCTGCAGCACCTGGGTGATGCTCTTATGTTAATATGGACAAAAATCTCTAAGAAAGGTTTAACATCTTGTTGATAGTACGACACAAAGAATTAAGGTGGTCTGAAGACCAAAAGAGGTCCAACCTGGTACTAGCAAGTTGTACCTAATAAGGTGACTGGTGAGTGTTTAAATGTCATGGGCCATCCTGCTCTCCCATTACCGGTAAAACACCTCTTGCAGTAGTCTTCTTCCTCTAGAGTCAGTATTGGTTTAAGACCATAGACTGTGAATAGAATGGACACGATCTGCCTCCTCGCTGGGTGAAGCCACCGCGAAAACAGCACCCCATGGAGATGAATAGCAGTATAGGTCATAAATCCCACCTTCTCCAGCAATCCTTATGGGGCTGTGGACAAACTTTAGAAATTTATAACAGATAATTAAAATTTTTCTCCTTCGTGCGTGCGATGTTGACATGTAGTTACAGTAAGACTGGT